ACCGTGCAGACAGGGGGCTCAGAGGCAGGTATCTTAATGATGTGTCCACGTTTTGTGTCTGCGTGTTAATTGGGAGGTGGAAGATATGCTTTTGGATGGAGTTGGATTGGATTCAAGCCAAAAATAATGGGAACAACAGGAAAATGAACAGATTCTGGTTTTGGAGCTTGACTGCATTATTCCAAAAGGTCTTTAAATCACAAAAATAAAGTGTATGAGATATAGTTTAACATTTTGGGAAATAAGACCCTTCCTTGGACAGTTTTAGATGAAAAGATTCATGCTTTCTCTGATTAGTTTGTTATATATGAAGTTACAGCCAAAGCCTGTTAGCTTAGTACAAAGAAAAGCAAAGCAGAGGGAACAATCTGACCTCCCTGAATTCATTTTCCAGCACGTTTATTATTAAACTAAATATTGCATTGTTTGTAGCAAATCTGCTGTGGAAAAATGACATTTCTCCATTTTGGATGGGCAGATTTTCACACTATTCCTTGGGAGAGTAAGTATTTGGGACGTCCTGACCTCACTGATAACAGGAGCGCTCCTCTAATGACACACAACACTATCTCTGTGCAGCATGGGTCATGTCTTTATATCAGATGCCCCGGTTTGCGTGTCAGGGCAGTGAGTTGAAATGACTAATATATGCTTTCAGAAACATTTGCTCATTAAAAGCCATTCAAATGAAACAATGTCAGTTTATGAGCTGCTCGAGGGTGACGGTCTTTATCAACCCCACCTTGAGCTATCAGCGGACGACTTGCTGCTGTTGACTCTACACCGTGCAAATTGCCTATTGGGAAATACTTGAACATCTGCGCACGTATGTACGGTATGCATATAGTCAAACCACAACTCACCCCAGAGAGAGGGAGAAGTGAGGGGAGCGGGGGGAGGGGAGGGGTGCAAAACCGGTGTGGTTGCAATATAGTGTGTCACAAACAATGCAGGAACTGCAGCTGTAGAAGCCCTGAATCTCAACCGGCTGAGTGTTTTCTGTCAAAGGAGGACTTTCAGTGTTGGCAGATGGGTCGATGGCGTAAAATGGGACGGGGTGGAGGGTTCGGCGGTTAAAAGACACACACACAGTAATACACGCACGTGCACACAATGGCTCTATTTTGCCTCCTTCTGTGTGTGCTGACACTTCACTCTCTGTGTGTCTCCTTGCTCTTTTCAGATGCTGCGTGTCTGACTTCCTACTTATTCCATCACTAACTATCATATACAGTACATGAACTCAAAGCAAAATAGGCTCATTGTCCTCGGCACTAAAGTGTAACCCAACACATGATGAAAACACAACACGGATCAGGTTCAGCTGTCGTTTTTTTCAAAAAGAAGAGAGGGAGAGAAAGAAAAGAGGGAGGAGGAGATAAACAAGCTCAATAAAGCGGTTGGGACGATGACTGGGGTAAACAGAAACTTGGCACAGGGTGTATGCAGAGATTACTGCATACCTCAAGTGAGCGTGCACGCACAGACACACACACACATTCGCAAGCACAAACACACCTGAGCACATTTCATTTTTGTGGTTTCACAGCCAGATGTTGCATACAAATGAACTGTAAGATTCATTTTGTGTGTTCCCAACATGAAAGATCGCTCAGACTTTGGTGAACACGCGGAGACTTTCGTAACATCGTGCTCTGGCAACAGGAGCGGCAGCATATTTGTTTTTTCATGCGTGGGTTATTTGGATGTCACACCTGTAAAAGTACAGAGGCAATTTAAAGAGGCACTACATGTTGTTGTTTTCTTTAAATTAATTAATTAATTTCACACTGACACATGAGCCCCTTGAAAACTGACAGAAAATGACAGATTTAAACCCTCAGTCAAGACATATGCAAAATTTCCCTTAGAAGTTAGATTTACCTGTGTTGTTTATTTACAACAAGAGCATGTTTGTGTAATGTGTGTATGCGTTTAAAAGCATTTCCACTTAATATTCTAACGTTTGCTTGTTCAGAGAGGATCTAAACACACAAAAAATATACATTTTGGTCATTTAATTTGATTATGGTTGGTCAGTTAACCTCCAATAAAGCCGACATGTTCCTCAAATGTTTGCCGTACAGGTACATATTCTACATCCACATAACAAGAGCAATCTCTTTTGTAACTACATGGACACTACACAACAAAATCCTTAAATAGAAAGGCTTGACTAACTAAAAAAACAAATGTTTCAATTTTCATCAATGCCCCTTTTCTGCTGTAATCCTGTAGATTTCCGAGCTGCGGAACTAAGAAAGTATTATCTGATCTTATCTTATTAAGTACACGCCAGCTGAACTTAGTTTGGAGTGTTATGGATTTCCAAACTTATTTTACAGCATTCATTCCATTAAATAATGACAAACCATCACATCTTCCTTCTCATGTGATCGAACTGTATTTTTTTAAATACTGTTTTTACTTTGAGTCCAGAGGCTTTGTCACCTGAGCATCAGCCGCCTTAAGCATCGATGATCTCATTTTCACATTGTTTTTCGAATCGGAGCACGACGACTGCAGCAAGAGCACAAGGTTAAAGGTCACAGGGCCCTGCTGGAATTCAAATGACAAAACCTCTCTCAGACACGTCAAATTAATATGCTCAGGAGATCTCGGTTAAAGTGCAATCTGAGGACTCTCATCTTATTCAACCTCACTATATTTCAGAGGGAAGTAGTGGTTATTACTTTGCTATATTTGTTTGACTAATTATTGGCATTATTAAAGAAACATTACAAAATTGCAGCCTCTCAATTGTGAGGCTGTGGTACTTGGCCTTTTCACTGCTTAAAGCAGGCCTTGTGATAAAATAAATTATATTTTAATTATATTTATATTGTTGTATTTTACTTAACATCATACTTACTCTAAAGGAGATTTACACGTTTACATCTTCTTTTTCATTTTAAAGGAAGGGTCTTTTCAGCTGACCCTGGTTGTCAGTCAATGGGCTGCGTAAGGTTGGGCCACTCTTTTGAAAAGCCTTGAAACAATTGAGCCACACATGATAACGCTCACACAGAGTCGTGGGAGAGGTGCGGGTGACTCACAGCAAACAAGTTGTACGTGTGCGGAACCGGTTTCTCGTGTGTGGTTTGTGAGGTAGGACAGGTGTTTTGTTAGCAGTGGAGAAACTTCAATCCAGGCGTTGGGGAGGATTTGTCAAATGCACTTTGAGAATAAAAACGTGATGATTCTGAATAGACAAATGGATTGAGTGTGTGTGTGTGTGTGTGTGTGTGTGTGTGTGTGTGTGTGTGTGTGTGTCTGTGTGTGTGTGTCTGTGTGTGTGTGTCTGTGTGAGCCCACCTCCTTGTGTCTGCGCGCTGCAGAGTTGGAGAGCCCACGGCAGCAGGAGGCACATCACCTGTTCCACCTTCCTCATGGTGGCGGTTATCCTCGCTCAAATTTCCCAAGCCGGTGACGTTTTCAAACAAACTTTGCCATCACATTTGTCCTTTCCGCATCAAAAATCGTCTTTGCTCCCCACAATCCGAAAGAGTCCTCATAGAGACGGTCGTCCTTTGAGGTCATCCAAAGCGTTTTTCTTAATCCTTTGCTTCTCTTTTTTTTATGTTGAAACGAAAACCTAAATCGGGCCTAAAACGAAAACCTGTTGGTGTTTTCTCTGTTTGACATTTAACTGAGCTGTAACTTTACGATCTGCCCGCTTCATCGCGTGTGAGGGAAATCACTACAGCTCAATGATTGGAGAGCACGCAGCCAATCAGCGGTGGGAGCGTCTCTTCCTTCAGCACAGATTTATGTGGGCGGGTCTTCCGCAGCCACAGGCTAATACACATGACAGATTCAATCAGTGAGTTTCATTCTCACACACACAGGAAATTAGGATGTTTTTTGGCCATGAAACACAAGGATGGATGCATTTAGGGACAGGTGTCAGTCTTCAAAAATGTTTTCTGAACTTCTTTTAGGGTAATTGATCAGTATTGGGAATTAAACCCTTTTGTAGGACCCGTTTTGTAAAATTTAAGTTTTTATGCAAGGCCAAAAAAAACTTTGGATGTTATTGTTTACAATAGGTGCAGTAATTGGGTTTTCACGAATTTTCAAAACAAAAGTTAGCCTAGAAAATGGTGCACAACAAAAGCTTGATCTACAGGACAGGATAAAAGTAGAACAACCATCAAATAGTAATTACAAACATTTGTAGAAATATTAATAAGAAAGCATAAAGGAGGATCTATTAGTAAAGGCTAAATTATTATGTTAACAGGCAAAACAACAAACACCCATATCTCATTTTATTTCATGTTGAGTTGAGAAAATGAGGACACAAATAATACAAATTAATTTAAAAAAGAAAGTTGGCCAATGTAGAACAGAGAGTAGGTGGGATGACATCAATCAAATGTCACAATCAAACTATAAATTTGATTACACTGCCCTTTGAGCTCTAAAGAAAAGACCAGAAAGAACCCTTCCTTATATGCATGTGAACAGGCATATGAAAACACCGAGGGAAATGTGATGGCAGCAACCTTGAAACCTGTGACAAAGTATGACAGCTTTTTTGTGACCAACCACTATGAAAATGCAACTACAGAGTCAATGTATTGTTACAGTCAGAACAGGTGTCACGTGCTCTTTGAACCTCACAACCAATGTCGTACTTCTGCTGTCTTAACGATCAGGCTTTGACCCCTCCACTCCTTTATGCCGTGGTAATAGAAGATGGTTTTATTGCTGCATCATTCTATTGCTACTTGATCTTATGCACTTCGGACTTTTTGGGAAGGTTAACAGCTTCAGCTTTATCATATTGAATAAAGTCAAGCTGCACAGCAAGAAACGCTCCACTTGACGCCGGCCATCTTATCTTCGGTCACCGTGTTAGTTTGTCACTCAAACTTCGTGCAAACATCGTCTCCCTGTGAGAGTGGGCGAGCCAGCTGAACTGCTGTGTAAAAACTGGGTCTACCAGCAGTTCTGGTCTCTCTGTATCTCACACAAACACACACACAAGCAATAACCACTTTTTCATCTAAATAGGTTTAATTCCATAGAGTTGTACATCCAATGAGAAAATGTTTGTAGTTCACCAGAAGGTCATACACTTCCAGTCACTTATTAGACATTTAAAAGGAGCGTTCAAAACAAATAGTTAATATTTGACTCCGACCAGGAAGTCTTTCTCAAAAGGTTATTTTTCAGAAACACCGTGCTGAGGACCAGAGGGACACACGATAAGAACGCAACATCAACGTAACAAGTGGTTACAAAAGGAGAATATCAGTCTGTACTCAGTCTGTGCACTTTAATTCTCAATAAAAGCAAAGACAAACACGCATGCACACAGATTGGAGGGTTCTGCATCTGTCAGAAATGTGTTGTGCAACAGGTATGCAGGAACCACTCTATCGACTTGAACAAAGGGGCTTTTCTACATAGAGTAAACTTGTTTTTAGCAGACTGATGGAAGAATACAGGATAACTGAAACCTATAGTTGTCAAAACAAACGTACTGAATGTGACAAGAATTCAGAAATACTGGGGCCATTGTTCCAAATAGCTTTCATGCAGACCAGAACATTTTGTAAAATGCATTATATGTTTCAATGTTTTATTCAAAGGTGTTGCTACTTTTGAAAAGCTGTATAAAAACACTTGTGTTTCCCAGAGTTTTTTTATGTTGGTCTTCAGTGTTTTCTCCAACAGGAGTCCACGCTGACCACAATTTATTGTTATTGTTCTTGTAAAAAAAGGACACAATCATTCTAAAAAAAGTGGCATTTTCCTTTTAATCTGTAAATTTAGTTGAAATTAGCTTTCCCTCCTCGTTGTTTGGGGATTCACAGACCCACCTGCTAACGATAAATGTTAAGTGGGTTTTTTCGTTAGCGACAGATAAGCGAAGCAGATAAATTAGACACCACTTTGATTTATCAAGTGTAGACACCATGTTGTGAAACCACAACAGCACTGTGGCTAAACGCTGCTCTCCTCTGGTGACAGCTTGTCACAGCAAGATCTCCTCCATCTTTTCAGTCACTTGTAAACATGAATTTAATATATTTTAGTCTTAAATCCAGGAGTAACACTCAGTCACAGTTCATGAAAAAGGTTATAGAGAACACAGATGTCTCGTTGCATTCAGCATTGAAACAGTTTTTTTAATCTACTTTTACGGTACTACGGTACTACTACTTTTACGGTTTTATCTCTGATTCAAAGACACAGTCTCCATCAATTTGTCTTTGAACCGAAAAGAAAATAGAATAAATCTAACAGTGAATATGAATAAAGTAAACCTTCAGGAAAAAAGACAAACATTTTACTGTATCATCTTCAACTGTGGTGCAAAAGCCATATTTTGACAGCATTGACAAATAAAGCTATAAAATAATTCAGTATCGAAGTTAAGAAGAAATCTTAGAAGACGTTTTCACTATATGTAAGGCCACAAAACCCCAATAATCAAAATGATGATTACAACATATATGCTGATGACAAACAACGCACTCATAACTTGGTGGTGGAGTGGACTATGTTGCACTGTCACTGGTATATGAGTAGGACCCATGTATGGCACACAATAAACTGTTTTATTCATCTGAAGGCCAAATGGATTCTGCTGGTATCAGTGGTGGCCAGCTGATGAGTGAATTGGCCCTGCCTTACCCTGCTTTCAATCACAAAATTATCCAATGTCCAATAAATATTACAGTAATTAATAGATTCGTCAACAATATTCACATTCAGTAAGATAAAGGTATCTTCTTCCAAATAGGCAAGTCTGAGGCGAAACACACAGCGAGAGCAACCTGATGCAGTTTGAGTACTGTGGACATATGAAGGCAGACAAGCTGTGCAGGTCAGCATTGTTTGTCTTTTGTATACGGCTTTCATGTTAAAAAGACCATGAAGCGGACCAAACTGTACCGAGGACACATTGACAACTAAATGCAGAGAGTGGTTGTCTGGTTAGTATCTGCATCCAGCAGCAGAACACAAGGAGGGAAGTTAGAGGAAATCCACAAACAGCTTCAACATCCATGCAGCTCCCAGGATGGAATAGTATGCAACAATCCCGGCGAGATCAACCCGGGTGCATGCAGCACAGGCGGTCGAAAACACGTTGTGCGTTTTAAAATATTTAAAAAGGGCGGCTTCAATGCTCGGGGTTACCATGCGGGGAGTGAAAACACACCACAGATATCAAAAGATTTTCAAAATGAGGCAGTAAGAGGACACATGACTGGGGAAATTCCAGTCCTGGTGCCTTTTGCGTGGTAAACACTGACTTTACAACAGTGTAATACTGACACAATTTAGCTTGTGGGCACGCTCACACACTTAATCTGAAATCATCCAGCTGTGATTGTTCCCAAACTCAAACACCCACAAACCCACACAGGTACGGAGTACTAACAGTTGAAAAAGACACCTAAAAAGTCATATTTAACTCATTGTTGACTCAGTGGAGTCACACACAACTTGGTACAGCACTTAAGGACATACAGTATGTGGCACCTAAGAACGAGGGGTGGACACCGCAAGTGTTTGCTGTGAATGCCTACATTTAGTTTGCATTTGTTTGTGTGTGTTTTTGTGTGCGCATATCTGTGTGTGGTTGAATATGAAGTGCATGAAAATCTGCTGTTGAGAAGGGAACCTCCATGGACAGAAAATGAAAGCCTAAAATCTCCCCCAATCCCAGAATCTGGCCTGTTCATCAAAATCCCCTGTCAGGTACAAGTAAATAGTTCGGCTCCTTTCTTCGAATCTTCTTCTCACTTCTTGTTCTTGAGCTGATTGGCCAGCCAATCGAGACCCTCATAGAGGCCGTCGCCGCTGGTGGCGCAAGTGGCCTGGATGTACCAGTTGCGGTGGCGCAGGGAGTGTAAGCCCAGCTTGTCTGTGAGCTCAGCAGCGTTCATGGCGTTGGGTAAGTCCTGTTAAAGAGGCGCAAGTTCAGTGAGGTTGAGTGTGGAAAAAAACAAGGATCAGCAAGACCCTGAAGGCAGCCGGTGTCCTCTTTTATTGTGTGTATTAAAACATGCACACATTTACTATGTGAGTGTGGACTTACAGGCGCATATGTGAAGAAAATGGAATGATTATTGTTTTGGATGCAAATCGTTTAAATCATTTTTTAGGTAAACATGCCAAATATTCTCAGGTTTCTTCTTTTTCAATAGGACGATTTGCTGCTATTATTTGTCATATGACAGGATTAAGGATTAAGTATTTTGGGATATTTGATTATTCTTTGGACAAAAGAGGCAGTTTGCAGTCATCACTTTGAGCTCAGTGAAACTGTGAAGGGGTTAGTTTAGTTTAATTGACCAACACCTAATGAATCAAAAAAAGAATTGGCAGACTAATTAATGATATGTGTAGACTTAGTAATGTGACTGTTGTTATACAATGAAAACCGGGAAGGTAGACTTTAAAGGAATATATTCAATTTTTTAAAAAGTGATATATATGATGATAAAATTGATACTTTGGCTGTGTGGTGAGTATGAAGCTACAGCCTGCAGCGGGATTGCTTATATAATCGTATTTGTTCAATATTTACATATGTTTCTTCATCACCATTCCTAAAATTAATACCGTGTTTAAACTTAGATCACAAATAGACAACAGTTGGGATTTCTCGCCTGTTTGTTGGCAAACACAAGCAGGACGGCGTCTCTCAGCTCGTCCTCGGCCAGCATCCTCATCAGCTCCTCTCGCGCTTCGTTTACACGCTCTCTGTCGTTACTGTCCACCACAAAGATTAGACCTGGAATACAAAAATACATGTTTTCTAGAAAAATATGAGACATTTGCCCTGAGTGACCCCTAATTAACTCTTCTCACCCTGTGTGTTCTGGAAATAGTGTCTCCACAGGGGACGAATCTTGTCCTGCCCGCCCACGTCCCAAACAGTGAAGCTGATGTTCTTGTACTCCACCGTCTCCACGTTAAACCCTGAAAATAACAGCAGGGTCACACAAAAGCAAACATGGTAGTCCACTCATGGTGCGCGTGACAATATGGTATTTTGACTGTGCTACTACCAATGGTTGGGATGGTGGTGACTATTTCCCCCAGTTTGAGCTTGTAGAGGATTGTTGTTTTTCCTGCAGCATCGAGCCCCACCATCAAGATCCTCATCTCCTTCTTCCCTATGAGGCTCTTCAGCAAATTCCCGAAAATGTTCCCCATGATTCAGATGAAGTTGTCATATATCAGCGTGTTGCTATAATTGCGATTACGGACGCCTTTCTGTGAAGTTAGACTCCTCCAGCAGGGATACATCCATATACATATATATATATATATACACACAGATATATATATATATATATAGATATATAGGAGAGCTGAAATAGAACAGAAGAAATAACAATTTAGAGATACTTGTATGTCTGTTACCATAGTGCAAGATAAAACTAATAAAATAAAGGATATTGTACAGAATCTCAAACATGTTGCAAGAAATACAAGCTAGCTAATAAAATCCCTGGTTGAGTTACCACCAACGGAATACTCAACCTCACCTTTCACTTTTCTGAAAAGGCCGCAACACAGAAACTCTCACTGCACACCCAAAGACAATGGCCCACAGTCATGATCACGGAGCGGGTGAAGGAGATACATGTGGGTGCCATCGCTCCAGGCTGCAGCACAATCTGCTATTTCTCGCTGATTCTTTTATCTCCTTCAAATGTTATCCTGTTAAAATGCCAAGCCCTCAGGGCGTATGCAAAATGCCCTACATTACAAGGAACACCTTTCATCTCATGTGTTCCTTGCAATATATATATATACAATATATTTATACAGTTTATATACATGCAGTATATATATACTGCATATATATGTAATCTCAATTTATACATAATCTCAATTTCAGATGATTATACAGACATATAGAAGGTGCGTTTGCAGTGGTCGGTGGATAGCAGAGCTATCCGTGGTGCTGAAGAGGATCCCCTCGGTGATCACCACACCTGTCACCCCTTAACGCTTAATCCGCTCCCAGTTTACAGGTTTAACTCAACGTGAGCTCCCTGAAGAGCTGATTTGTGCAGGAGCAGGACATCGATACGAGTGATCGTGTCCATTCCACTACGGGTGATTCAGGTGACCCGGGTATGCAGAGGTAACATCGGGTAACGTCACGGCTACAACGTTACGTCAGTAGCGAGCGTGTTCACCGCCCCATTCATCCATTCATCCATCTAACCATGACAACACGGAGGCAACGATCAGAAACACACCTACACCTGCGTGTGAATCACCAGGCTGGCGGATGAGCCCGTATCCTCACGTACCTTAGCCGGGGAGTCCTCTGCTGAACGCCTCGCTGGATTCTCTCTTGCGGGGACAACTCAGCAATAGAGGAGATCTCGCGCGATTTGGGGACAAAACCCCACCACCGTGACGTCGTTGACGGGAGAGGGCTGAGCACCAGGTGTGTTCGGCTATTGGTGGATTTTAAACTATACAATTCTGTTTTCTCTTCTTCAATTGTTTCTAGATAAACAAATAACAGACCATTAGTTGCCACTAATTGCCCATTAGTGTGTAAAGTTGTTAGATGTGGGATGGTCATTTTTATGTGTTGATGGAGAGTTAGGTGTACTTTGCCAACACATGCATGTTGTAGAGTTTTTACGTTTGCAAACTGTTGTTAATTGTGCTGTTTTTCTCATTTTCTTATTACAACTATGCTTTGTGCCTGATTCGCTGGTATTTCAGGACCCTGCTAAGAAGCCACTGGTTTCTTTCTGACAGCATTGTACGTTACACGAAAACCAAAAATAATATGAAAGTGAGTCATGGGTGAAGAAAATGGCAGTTTTACAAACGTCTCATTTTCTATCTATATGTTATAATACTCTTATATAAGCATGTGCATTAATAGACAACACAATGTTGGTTTTGTTTTACATATTTAGAGCCCACATTTCAATTTCTATGCGGTTACATTACTTTAAGAGCATTGGGAAAAGATTTTTTAATTTTCTAATCTATTTCCCAATCAGCTCTGGTTGTTGTATCATTCTGGTCTTGCTTTACTTAAGGCGCATTACATCACTTGGAAAAAGTGATGTAATGTACTTCCATGCTCCAATCAGAGTTTTGCAAGTTATGGGGGTGTTATATGTATGTCAGTCGTCTCGTCTGCTTGAATAAAAATAAAATCTGTACTCTTTACATCGTCCAGAATTTCATCCGCCTGTTGATAGCTTCAACAAAAATGCGCAAGCTTGGGGCGAAACTAATGTTGCCCATGTCTACGCTGATTGGCTTTATTGCATGAACAGGTTTTAAATGTTATCAGCAATTGGCTAAAATGCTTCTTAGATGCGCCTTCTGATTGGCCCTAGCGCAGTTAGAACGCACATGAAGACAGGACGTGACTATGACAGGCAGGGACGTGTGAGAAAACATATTACTGTTCTATTATAAAAAACATTTTTGATCATTTAATGTTATCTTTTGGGGGGCTCATTGCCCTATTGGCCAGTTGACTTTTTCAGTGTCCAAATTCTTCATATGTAGTAAATAATAATGTGTTTTCCCAAAAATATTATTTATCCCTAAACGTTGACACTTTAGAGACAAAAAAACAAAGTATACAAAAAAAGTATTTAAATAATTTATGCAACATGTCTTTCATGCATGATAGAATAGTGGCTTTGATTTTTTGCCTAAATGATAGAACACAGCCTCGTGCATGGAGCAGCAGAAGAGCCCCCCCCCACCCCTCCGCCCCCCATATGTCTATGGCACCCCCTACTGGCGCGTCTGCAGAACTCCGCTTCCGCTCCCCCGCCCCCTCCCGGCAGCCCGACGGGATGCTGGCGGAATGTTCTGAGGCGGGATCTTGAGGGAGACCCAGGTGTTGGGACAACGTCCACGGGGGTCCTTATCGCTGCAGGGTTGTAACACATCAGCGTTACTGCGCGCTCAGCCGCTTCTCTCCGGTCTTCTTTGGACACAGAGGCCACAGCGCGCGTGTGTGCGTGTGTGGAGAAGAAGAACAAGAAGCCTACGCGGAAGTTGATAGTCCGACGGCAGCTGTTTTCCAGAAGTTTGCGATGAGGAGCGGCGTCTTCCTGCTGCTGCTCGCGGCTCTCACCTGCGGCCTCGCCCGGGGGGACGACGGCGAAGGCGAGGAGCTGCAGGTGGAGACCCTGGTGAGTGAGACGCGTGCGTTCCGCGGTCGCAAGGCCCGCTGCAGCGGCCACGCGACGGACACCCACCGTCACACGTATACTGTATGCAGCGGTGTTAACGGTGAACTCTTCTGACCCGAGGTGAAACCCGAAACGTGCTCCGTGCTTTCCACGATGGGGGACACGCTGCGAATCCACTACACGGTGAGTCAGAGGGTGTACGCACACACGCGTTTTAAACCAGATTCGGGCTGTTTTTCATAGTAATAACATGAAGGGAAAACCGGCCCAGCTGCTGACGAAAGCAGTTGTTGTCTATGTGGCACCGTCTGCGTGACCCATGTGGACTCGCACCGCTATGTGCGCTCGTGGATGGACATGAAACAGTTCTGCAGGAATGTCTTTTGTTATTGAACGTATATGACCGATTGGTAATTTATTTGGACCAGGGGGTCATTTATTACACTCTATCATGTGGGCTTTTTTTTTTACCTCGCCTCTCGCTTCACTATGGAGGGGTGGGGTGGGGGGGAGGTACACGTCAGCAATAAACCCCACCACTTCATCCATGTGTAGCCCGCTGGAGGCTCGTGGTTCCTCATGCATGTTGACCCTCAGGAATTTTAAAACTCAAAATGTTATAGTTATTGAACCGCAGCATCAGGAGCAACTACTGGGTTTCAAATAAGCTATTAAGACGAATTAAAGAAAAATCTGTGGCTCAAATATATTGGTAATACACTTATATACGTGCATACAGTGTGAACAAATGCACACAATTAGAACCAATATGCCATAGGTTTCGATCATTGTTTATTCAAGTAGTTGTTTCTATTCTACGTATTACATATAGATAGGCTATAATAAATATTTACACATTGTGCACTACATACATTCAATAAAAAAATTCAATATCACTATTATAACACATCTTCATGAAATAACGTCAGATTTTAAATTGAATATATCCTACAATCATTATCTGCGACAGGTGTTTAATTTGTCAAGATCTAGGTCATTCTTATTCACAATTTCAAATTAAAACGCCAGATAGAAAAGAATATATTCCCTTTACTCCTTCATTTTGCGTCATTGAAGAAAATGTTATAAAGAGTTACACAAATAGATCCAACATTTATATCTGCCCTTTTCATTATTTCGTATTGTTTACGTTTAAACATGTGTAGAGTTCTGGCACATGGATCGTGTTAATTTTAGCCTAAGCTAACATGCTTCAGACGGTAGCTTTAAACAGACATGAATGGTTTCAATGTTCTTCAGTATCTTTCATTCATGTCACCATCTCATACCTCACATTGTATGTTTCACTGTCCAGGGTAAACTGATGGATGGAAAGGTGATCGACTCGTCACTATCCATGGATCCTCTTGTGGTCGAGCTGGGGAAGAGGACGGTTATTGCCGGTAAATGAACAGTAAATCCTTTTGTGTCGCTTAATTTGTGACAATTTGATTTGCTCATATCTGAGAGATAACCTCCTCCGCTAGTGTGCCGGCTGAGGAATGTGCTGGCTTTGCTGATTGACCTTCTCTGTGTGACTTTCTTATCAGGTCTGGAACAAAGCTTGGTTGGTGTTTGTGAAGGGTAAGTGAAAAGTAAAGGTCCACTTGGATGAATGTACGGTGGCTCTGAAGTGCAAAGCACAACGGCAAATAGGAGAACACAACGACAAATAAGAAAGCACAACGGCAAACAGGAAAACACAACGACATTAACGTCTTACGGAAGCGGTAGGGCCCATCTAGCAGAGGACGGACCCTTCTGATTGGACAGACGGACTGACTGTCTTTTAACAAGAAATGATACAGGGCTCTCAAGTGTCACGCATTGAGCGTGACAGTCACGCATTTCCGCCACACATCCAATTCCTCACGCCAAGAAATCGGACTACGGTCGCCAAGCCGTGTTAGCCGTAGTGTCCGCGCCCCCCCCCCTTTTTTATTTACTTTTATGTACAACATCTAAATATAATTTAACAACAAAACACCGGTAAAACAATGGTGAAAAACTAGTAGGGCACTTTTAAGACACTCGTAAAACATCGCCATCTCTGCGTGACTTTCTGCTGTGGCTCTCCTGCTGCGCTCACTTCCACCCCTCATCACAGGCTCTGAGTCCCGCCACTGATTTATTGATTGCCATAATATCTAGAAAGCGGCATTTCTCAGCTTTCAGAATCCGTCCGAATTACGTTGAATGTGCAAATAGTTAAGGAGTCACGGTAATTTGAATCCTCCATGTCACTTTCCGTCACCGGCGAAAGGCTTCGGATTAAGAGGGTTAAAAAACAGACAGTCCGTCTGTCCAATCAGAAAGGTCCGTCCTCTGCTTCCTGCCATAAGGCCCTCCCCTTTCCGTAAGAATGTCGTTGTGTTTTCCTATTTGCCGTTGTGTTTTGCACTTCAGAGCCACCGTATGAAAGAGCAAAGCTATAGATTCTCTTGGCAATGGCTGCACGCAGTCATGACCCAATTTGTTTTTGTATTTCTCTTTCTATCATTTAGGCAAAAAATCAAAGCCACTATTCCATCTCACCTTGCATACGGAAAAAAAGGTTACCCTCCCACCATTCCAGGTAATGAACTTAACCTTATACAGAAATTAAATGTAATGAGCTCTGTTTGAAGAGTCCAGTATCTGTACACACTGAAGATCAGTGCTTGCACTTTACAGTGTAACTCTACAAAACCACAATCACGTACATAATCACACTACTGTTGTCAATAAATCCCATGAAAAGACCCAAGACCAATGATGGGATAGTCAGTGTATCAAGTTTAGCTTAATTAATTAAATTTTTTTAAATGTTCCAACCTTCTTAAACAACATGATACTAACATTTCAGCAAACACGTCTTAAACTGGAGTATATAATGTGTGTAGTTGTCAGGGACTATTTCCTGTGATATATTTACCAAATGATGCTGCATGTGGCAATGATTCTAAATAAATTCCTTTGTCCAATTTTATCACAATGAAGGAACGTGTCACGTAATGTGGCTGTTTTTAAATGTGTACATGACACAACAAAATGTAATATAACAATATTTATTAGTTTACTAATTTAAGTTTTTGATGAGAACACAAAAAATAGAATATCAGCAGTTGTTGATGACTTAGTTTTCTTTTGTTGGTGTTATTTGGTACCTGTTATATTTTGTATTTCATGTCCTTATTTATTACATGTACATGATGTAGATGGGTGAAACATTAAAGGAAAATCCCAATCCACACCTGATTTGACCAAACATTGAACATGTCGTAGGTGACGCTGCCCTTGAGTTCGAGGTGGAGGTGGTTTCTCTGACACAGCAGACGTCGTGGCAGAAAATGGTCAACGACGTGTTGCCCCTTGTGTGTTTGGCTCTGGTGCCCACTCTGCTCGGCTTGGTGGGACTTTACCTCTACAAAAAAGCCAACGTTGAGAAGCCAAGCAAAAAGAAGGCAAAAGATAAGAAGAGCAAGAAGAAATAAGGACACGACACAGAATTATTTAAATAAAATTTTAAAATTGTACTTGTTTTTTTTGGTTTATATGTTCAGAAAATTGAGTAGATTAAACTGCCAACTCTGACACCACCCACTGAGCCACACTTACAAAAGATAAGTTTACTTATTGCTAAAAGCTGAGAGATCAAAATGTAACACGTTTAGTTTAAGAAGCAGCTGTGCCTCAGCAGAACCACAAAATGAAATACCTGTGACCTACTTTGTGTTTTAAAGTCCAAGCACACCTTCACAGCCTGCTGAATGCTGCACTAATAATTTCTGAACATTTTTGTTGTATTTTATTGTGAATGTATTAAATAGCACAGATGTGCACAGACCTGCTTCATAAATGGCAGAGCACCATTACATTAGCACCATTACATTACATGTCATTTAGCTGACGTGGTGTCTTTTTATCCAAAGCGACTTACAATAAGTACACAAGCACCATTGAGTAATAACCTTATGAAGAAACATGATTACCAAAAAAGATGTGTTGTTAATAGATATCATTTGGAGATGCCACACACTTTAAAGATACATTGAAAAAAAACTAGCAACTGGCCAAGAAATATGCTTATCTGCAGCTTTTTTCATTTGAATGTTGGTGTGTTTGGTGATCTCATGTGGCTGTAGTGCAACTCCACAGATACTTTTTAACCCAATGCTACAGATGCTGAAGGTTGATCCACAACAAGCCCCACGGTGCGACTTGAAAGTCCAGTGAAAGAAAAGAGGGAGGTATCAGGATTATGCATTAAATACAAAAAGCTGTGAGTCTACAAACATTTGTATTCAAATTGATTAAATAAAACCTCTCCTGCTGAAAACACCTCCACTTTGATGTCATCATAAGTGCTCATAGATTTTACGGTCCAGTGTGTAGAAATGTTGAAAGTTATATCCTACAAAAAAATGCACTTTTTGACGGATTATTAATTAAAGAACAGTCACAAATGCGACTGCCAACATTTTTGAAGGTTTACCATTGAATTTGTGATTTATTCTGTTAATAGCACGACAATCTGGAAATATTTCAACTAGATTAGTTATCAACCACAGTGGAGATTATGTAGTTTTATTTTGTGTGTAAAAAAATGTACTGCAGAGTTCTGTGGCAATTACGTTTCTACAAAGTTAAATTTAGTTAAAGTTATCTAGTTTAAATCGTAAAATTAATTTTCTAATCACGCACCTACCTCAAAGGTAGGAAAACAAATTCTAAGACCAACCTCTATGTTTTGGAACATCCACCGATAATTTAAAATTGATATAATATGCAAAAATATCATGGCAAGGTAGAGAACTACGGAAAGTCGGTAGGCTTGTTTAGAACTCCATGAAACCTTGACTTTCTTGATATCCCTCCGCCAATATAATGTTTTTATGTGATTTCCTTGAAGATCATGTGTGGAATTTTTTCTTATTTAAACAGATAAGTAATACACATACCGCTGTATATGTTAGTCCAACATATATAAAATACATCAACGGACCCATAATTTTGTTGAAAAATGTATTGAGGGCGGAGCGGAGGGCACTACTTCTCGCAGTGCAACCTCTTCCGGTTCTCTTTCCAGCTTCCCGTGCAACATGGTGAGTGTGTGTCAGTCGCTGCCGTAAAACAAAAACCGAATTAACAATCGTTTTATTTGAATAATCAATCCTACTTCACTCTCATTATATATTCCCGTCGCATAGTTAAACCACAATGTGGTGGATAGTTGGGTAATGTGGTTGGTGTCACTCCATTATATTCAAAATAAAGTCTTGGCCTAATGCTAGCAGTTAGCATGCTAACCGTTTTTGTGCATGTGTTCCTGCGAACCGGCGGAGACTAACGTTAATGTGCCTAGAAAACCGGCAACCCCATGTGGATTCAATATGTATTTTGGTTTCTCACGGTGATATTCACCAATCCGTCAGCTGAATCGAAACATTTTGAAATGATTTAAACGAGGATTACGTGTGCAATGGCAGCTTACTCGAGTCACCGCAGCCATCACATCGAAGCGTACGATGGTCGTCTGTTGTAGTGCGTGAATACCAGTCCAATGTGGACCAGTCACCACCTCTAACTGATGGAATGACTCCTACATAATTGACATTTTGTGTTAGCACGGCCAATTAAACTACAGCTGTGAGGATTCATTTAAAAACCATCAACCAGTTTTATTTTTCCCATGTAAATGTGTCATTTGAAATGGCCGCATCTACGGAATATGGTTTTTAGTTGGGCTTGGAATTGCCTTTTGTAATAAACTAATACAGGGTCCATTATTAGGATGTCCAAACAGTACTGTACCTTTTTTTTATTTTTATTGAATAATAAACTGTAAAGATCATTTGTGTTCTTAATTGTTTTAAGCACATGGCAGTGTTTGATGAACCGGGCTGTGCACTCAACACAATGTACCAGAGAGAACGTGTGTCTTTTAGTACGCAGCCCCAATTTTCTGGCTGCAATTTGTATTTCTCTCAAATTCTGGCATTTGTTTTTACAGACTAAGAAAAGGAGGAATAACGGTCGTGCCAAGAAAGGCCGTGGCCATGTGCAGCCCATCCGCTGCACCAACTGTGCCCGCTGTGTCCCAAAGGACAAGGCCATCAAGAAGTTTGTCATCAGGAACATCGTGGAGGCGGCGGCCGTGAGAGACATCTCTGAGGCTAGCGTCTTTGACTGTAAGCGTGATTGTTGTTGTTTTTTTTCCTGTAAAACCTCACAAGTTGTCTTTGTATTTTGACCCATGTAGCTTGTTGTAATTTTAACATTTCTTTCATTTTCGTTTTGCAGCTTATGTTCTACCCAAACTTTATGTGAAGCTGCACTACTGTGTCAGCTGTGCCATCCACAGTAAGGTGGTGAGGAACCGCTCTTGTGAGGCCAGGAAAGACCGCACCCCACCACCCAGGTTCAGGCCCGCTGTGAGTACCTTCTACTGCATACTTTTCACTGTCAGATCTGTTTCAAGCTCTTAAGTCTTAGCTTGAGTGGTATTGGCGGGTAAAGCACAAGTTTAAGTCAAATGATTGTTTTGTCTCCTTCAGGTGAGTGAGGAACTGTTAACCTGGCACACCTGAATGCAATACATTTTTGCACCTGTTTGACCATGTCCCATTGTCCAGTTTAAAGGGTCTGTATTGGATATCAATTTTAATTATTTTTCTTTGATTACAGGCTGGTGCACCAAGAGCCCCTCCAAAGCCCATGTAAAGCAGAATTTGAAGATGCTGTACAGCTGAATAAATTCAAAAGTCTTGCAAAAACGTCCATGTGTGGAGCTTATTGCTCTTGACAAAGCATTATTTGTGTTTTAGGAAAGACAGGCCTGTCAAGTTCTTTATTTGGGATATAGTTTCTTGCTGTAGTAAGATAAAATTCTACAAATTCATAATGACATTTTTAGAAAGTTCAGATTTTTTTTAAAGCAAATTAGCGATTACCTCTTTTTTGACCATACATGTGCATCCCTGAATTAATTTTAAAGGAAACTAATCGCGCTAGAAGAAAGGTTTGAACACAGGGCCCAAAAGTCTCTCTAGGTATTAAAATACAGATTGTTTATTTGGTTGTCCTTGTATCTTAAAAAAAAGGGTTGGGGGGGGTTAAAGCTAACAGCATTGATATCACATGCATCAGGCTTACTGATCGGTGTTGCACTTAAGAATAACCACAAAATCCTGAACAAACACTTAAAATGTGGGGCCACCTATAATCTCCGCTTGCACCACATGAGTTAATCGCCACACTTCAAAATGTTAGTATTTTAACTGTCGAGGGAAGAGAGAATGCAGAAAAGACATGGCACAATAGTAAAGTCTACAAGAAAGCGATCTGAAAAGGGTTGTGTGATTAAAATCTGTTCACATTACAATAGAAAGTAAGATGTAATTTGTATTTTTCGCTCATGCTAACAGACGTGACATTTTGAGCTAAGATGTTAGATTAGGTTGCAGGAAACTTCTGTGGTAACATAAATTAACAGTATTGTATTATGACAAAATAATTGTCGTTAATGAAGCAACTTTGGAAGTCAAAAGTAATCAACTTTCAAAGTGTTTCTATAGCCACAATCCGTTGTAAGACTCTCTTTTTAAAGTCAGCAGGCGTTAGGGCACATGAGTTTCTCACACCATCAATCAAAAAATAAATGCAGTTCTATTGAACTTGTATCAAGGTAAAGGATGAGGAAAAACAAGAAAATGTAATATTCTATTTGAAATGGAAATCCCCAAATGTTTTAGAATTGTCCACTGCAAAAACAAGGAGAAAAAATACAATTAACATCTACATGGTTTTAGTTTTCACTAAATATTACCTTGTCTCTCCTTCCTTCCGAATTTAGGCTGTATGTACAAATATGTTGATTGTGTATATGGCCACTGTAATAGGGAGTATAAGTGCTAAATAGAAAGTATTTATTGGTTCAACCATGGGGGAACCATTATTTGGTACAATACCAAACCATACACGGGGATCAAAGGAAATATTCAAAAACCTCTAAATATGTACATTGGTTGCATGTAGACCACTACTTAAATGTGCAACCCCATACAGTACTGAGCTAAGTATGACAAAACTATGGCATGAATATCTAAAAAGTAACATCTTTTGATGCTACAAATCACAAGTTAAGGTAAACTCAGGAGATTCTTGTGTTAATGGCCTCTAGCCTCTTGGACATCAGCGGATCAATCACTTGTCCTGATCTTAATTGATAACTTATGCATTGATTTCTGTGCCCAATTCTGTAACACAGACATAAGAAATGTGCCTGCTTAAACAATAACCCTCAATGTGCTTTAAGTCAAATACAAAAGGAGTTTCTACAACAACCAGATTCATCGTTCTAACACATAGACGGATAAAGACCATCAAGAGATGATGATCTTATAACTGACACAAACCTCTTGACATTTAATAACATTTAATTTCTGCACCATTTCACTACCTCAGGACAAATTAAGATCACAACCAACAAAAGCTATTTGGAAATAAACACCTGTTTCCCCGTTTGGACTGAAATATTATTATATTCAAATGTTATAGGAAGTAAATTCAAATATATATTTTTGAATTACGAGGACGGCAGCAAACGGCACTGTACTCGACATGTGGCGGTTGGTAGGTCATGTTCGTGTGATCATGGTGAAGAAAGGCACAGTACCATTAGATTAGTGTTTGTTTGCAGTGAGATGTAGTTAAGAAATGTAAATTAATTGACTTATAAAGGCCCATAACTTTACAATAATCTCTGAAATAGTGGCAGTAATAATCGTATTCCTTCTGAGAAAAACATTCCATCAGTGTTTCTCAGACTTTAAGAGATTTGTTCAGGTCGTTAATGTATTTCATAAAATAGTTTAATATAATAGTATTCTGGCAGGGATCAGTGCAACAAAAGCAGTAACAGAAAAGAAAAACAAACATTTCATACATGCATTCACACAAAGGCTTCCATTTTGCAATTATTCTATTACCTTCCATAACACAAAAGGGTCTGTCACGTGCTCCCTTTTTCTCACACACTCAGATCAATCCACCCCCACCCCTTTAAAAACAAAAGTGCATTTCTAATTCACGGACAACCCCTCAAATGAATCTTGGATGACTTGGGCCTAGCTTATGAGTTTGGTCTGCACCTTGCTTCTCATTTTAAAAAGCAAACCATTTCAGAATACAACCCACATTGGAAAAAGATATTTGCAGAACGCAACATTTGTTGGTCAATCATTTTGTTGAAGTCCTTTAAGAAGTCTTGAAAATATATATTCCATTATGCCTATAAACGTCAGATTATTGTTTTTGCAGTTTCTTGTTACTGACAAAAGTCAGATTTGTTGTAAATTATTTGTTTGTAAATTGTGCATCAGGTTTGAATCCTGTATTTTGGATCAAGGCACATCTGCTGATTGAAAAGTTGCACTGGCTCTACTTTATGATACATTATTTAAAAGTGCATCTTAAAATTGATTACCTGTTCAAAGTGCATTAAAGACAACAAGGACCCTTATTGTAATTTTAGAAAAAAAACACATAAGAGCATGCCTGTAATGCTGATACGTTCTCACTGTACCAGTGCCTGTTAAAAATGTTCATATCACTTTCATGTAACTGTCTTCTTTAGCTTCTGTGCAGACCAAACCCAGCCGGGTCGCTGTCTCAGTGTAGAAATAGGTCTGTAAAGCAGGTCTCACTCTCAGTCGAGGACGTGCTCACCACGAACAATGTGGGAAGAAAACTCATAGCGGTCCTGGCTGCGGTGGCCACAGATGTTACACTCCAAAGGCTGGCGGAAACCGTGGCAGCCCATGTGGATCGTATACATGACATGGTCCAGGAAAAGCACACGACAGTGGTCGCAACGGAAAGAGCGCACGGCTCGCCCCTCTCCATCTACGACACGAAGCGACTCCCGAGAGGTAGAGGAGGCCGCCGCAGGCGAGATTCGAGTGAGCGCGTCACCAGAGGGCCGCAGGGCCGGGTGGCCAACATCTTCTCGTTTCACCTCCATGTCTTTGGCGTGGCTGGGATTGTGTCCGCACCGGCTCCTGTGGTGTGCAACAGGAGGAGGTGCTGGTTGATGGTGGTTGGAGTGTTGAAGATGGTGGCCGTTGTTACTGAGCAGGGTCGGAGTCATCGCCGTTCTGTTGCAAGGCTCATCCGCCATGCTCTCTGTATCCGTAGAGTCCTGGCAACCGTTGCTAGGCGATTGTGCGTGACTTCGGCTCGCTGGCTGATCTTCATGACCCTCCGCGGCCTCCCTTCCACCTACAGCTACAGGTCCCAACTCAGCCCCAGTCCCTGAGCAATCCATCCGTGGGCCAAGAGCGGCAGAGACGTGAATGGAGCTATTGATTGGCCTGAGTTCTGATAAAGATGAAGGGTGAGTCGTGAGATGGTGTGGAGGCTTCCGTGTGTCTGATAAACCTCCACCTCCATTTCCTGCCACACCTGCATATTCTCCTCCCAGACTGGGGAAGTGTGGGGTTTCAAGGTCACCTGCAGGCATTTCCACGTCTTTATCCGAACCAGCGCTGAGCTCATAAGGTGCATCTGGAAGGTTGAGATGTAGGTGCGTCTGTCCTGCAATTAAGAAACACAATCTCATGATACTGTTCTGTGGAACTCTGGGGAGAAAACAAAAATAAATACATGGGCAGGCAATTTGCTCAGGTAAATGAACAGCCTGCAAAGTTATTTGGATTCATTCTGGATGCCAACATTAGGTTGGAGGTTATGGTGAATGCGTTAAATTCAAAAAAGCATTTGAATTACAGTGCTTTTGTATTTAATAAGGTTCATGAGAGACCTATAAATGGTTGCTTGGTAATTGTCAAAATATACCATTTGTCTTGATTTCACAGCTCTGTTGCACAGCCATGTGTAGCTGCTACCAATAACCCTCAAAACAAAGCATGGAAGTTCCCTTATTTACTTTGACATTTGGTTTGGCCAATCCTACAGCTATGAGACATACAAATGTAAAATGTCATATCTCTCCAATTCAACCAATTAAACTGCTTTCAGTTTCCTCAACTTGTCCACATTGAGACCAATTGCTCACCTACAAATTTTTGTGGTGTGGATCTCTTGCGTTTGGTGATGCTGTTGGCGAGCCGATCGATAAATGCCATCTTGTCTGAGGAGGGTTGCAGTAGAGAGTCTGGTATAAACTCTAGCTCTCTCATCTCCTCCCCTGTGTAAAGTACAAACAAACTGCAATGTTATTTTGCGGGTTTACTTATAACCCAGACAGCATTTATCCCAAATGTTTAAGTTGTGTCCTGGTTTTCAACATTTGGACAGAAGAGAAACTAAACCAGGGGTTGTGTGTGCAACAATCTCTTGGTGCTGATATTTACAAAACCATTTCATAATTTTTCAGTTATTGTCTTATTTGTAAGTGTGGTTCTTTTGACAGGTCATATGCATGAAAGTTAAAGAACCATACCTGGATTTTGCACACAGGAGGGCTGATGTGACTCCAGACTCTGTAAATAGCTGTGGCAGCGTTCACGGTGCTCCTCCAAGGTGCTCTGCTGCTTGTAACTACGGCCACAAGAACTGCACTTATAGGGCTTCCCTACAGTTGGAGAAGACACTGGGGAGAGGGGGGGGTTGTTGTTTTCCCAATATTGTTCACTATCATGAGAGAATAATGATCAAGCTTGAATTTGTCCAACCTGCATGAGTGCGAAGGTGGCCAGTGAGCGCGTCTCGTCTTCGACAGGCATAGCTGCAAAAGGGACATTTAAAAGGCTTCTCTCCTGAGTGCAGCTTGATGTGGCGGAGCAGGTTACCCTTTTGAGTGAAGGAGGCGCCACACTGATTGCACTTGAATGGTCGCTCACCTGCAGACAGATCGTCAACCCAACTTGTTTGATTAAATCCAATGTGTCAGGTGCATTTGGTCTAGTGTCTTCTTGGTCTTTCAAATGAAAAAGTTTAGCAAGGTATTCAAAATATTATCAATCATCACAGCAGCTTTTTTGTTAATTTCTTGTGTCAACTGATCGGTTACCTGTGTGGCTGCGTTTGTGTACCATGAGAACATTAGGCCCAATGCAGAACATTCCACAGATGTCACACTTGAGCTTTCCATTTGGCAGTCTGGTCGCTCCAGCTTGCATGGTTTCAGGATTGGTGAGCTCCCTGTAGCCTCCGACTTGCTCAGATCCTTTCTCTGGACCTCCATCCTCTACCCGCTCCCCTCTTTCATCTTCCGCAGTGCGACCTGGGTCTTCATCACTGTACAGCTCCACTTTAATGGAGTTGGCTACAGACACACAGGAGCGAAGATAAATAAATCCCTAGATTAGATTATGCGTCAACCAACGTGTGGCCGGACTCAAGAGAAAGAGACAACAGAGTGTGCACAGTCTTACATGTCATTTATATACACTAGGAATTGATAGTTTGATTTCTGTAAAATAAATTAATTCCAAAAATGCCTATATATTGTTGCACAACATTCGACTGATCACAGTAAGATTCTATATTACTATATGTTGCATTATGGGAGGAAGGATATGTGACCTGAGGAATAATTAAGGTTTGGGGCTTTTGTGAATCATTACCTTGTCTGTTATGTGGGATTAAATGTATTTCACTGACCGCTGAGGGAGCGACTGGGGGAAGTCTCCTTGCTGTTTGGTGTGCTCACTGTTGGACCTCCAAGAGCCCCAGAAAACTCTCTTTCCATTGAAGAGTCCCCACTAGCTGCAACCAAAAAGGAAAGCAAAGCAGAATGTCATTTGAACACAATTCAAGTAAGTTCATATGTAATTTAAAAAAAAAGAATTCTACCTGATGTGTAAGACCGGCCATTGCAGTCATCAACATCCATACTAGTTTAAGCTGAATACTGAAATGACAGTCATGTAAGGTGTTAAGATTTAACGGTATGATCTCTAACATATTCACTCAAAATTAACATCACATCAATCCTCATTAACGCAATAGGAAAACAGACAATATTTACAAGTTGAGGTCAAATTGAAAACCACGTTATGAAATGAAAACGAAAATGTTGCACGTCAACTTAAATTGGTATAACTTATGTTATGATAAACACTTTCAATGACCTCCCAAAAGGAAAAAAAGCACTCAAATCTAGAGCTAATGTCAGCTAACAACCATACATTAATAATTGCAACCATACCTAACTGTAACAATTCCACTAACGTGTAAGTCGTAAGTTAATAACGTTAGGTTGACCAATGCAAACATTGATAAAGTAACTTGATGTTGATTCAATCTAACGTTTGGGTCATCTGACACATGTCAGTCCAAAATCCAGATAATAATAGAGAGGAGTTTACTTTGACGTTTAACGTTGCATAACGATGGCGTTGAGGTAACCTGCGTTTACAGGTCGGCCTAGATGGCTAACGTTAGCTTACTTCATGTGACGGAAATTACCATTAGCTAAGTTAGCTAAACTCAATACACAGTTACACCAATCTGTCATTCTGGACAGCTAGCGTTACCCCACAAGGCAGTGGGCCAAGTTACAGTTCATTAATGTGGGCAATGGCGAAAAGGTAGATAACGCGGAATTGTGACATCAATTGACTGAGAAACGCTAAATTGGACGGTCAAGTCTCTAACGTCTTGTTTGTTGCTAGCACAACAAACCAACGTTAGCCTGAACTGTCTCGGCTAGCTAGCCACCACTCAATGTTTCCTAAACGGTTGCTATGGCACCCACCCCCTCCCTGATGCTATGGCTAGCCAGCTAGTTGTTAGCTAGCTAGCTTGCTCTCCCTGAAGCCCTGGCGCTGACAATTACAGCACAAAACAGCAGAGTCAACTATATAAAAAAGGTACTTGTTGTTCGATTTTTCCTGCTACGGTGGCATTACCTGTGCCTGTCAGGTCCGTTTCAGTTAGGTTATTCTGTATTTTCATCTGCCTGTTTATGACGGCAGCATCTCCCGACAGCGTTTACCTTTAGCCCTATTTCCGGTTAACCACCAGGAGCGAGCAGCGTTTACGCTACCTCCACCATTAATCTGCTTCAACCTTAACATTGGTTAATATTTATTTAACATGCAATGTTACACATATACACAGATGCATTATAATAAATAATAACTTGGCTGGCTTTTAATTAATTAAGACTTAAAACTGAGGAGACAACTTTTGTTTTCTGGTGGCAGTTTCAAAGTTTGAAATGACCCCTTAAAAGGATCCAAGATTATTTACAGTTTATAAACAGCAGGTCTTGGTGTAATCTGTCGCATCTGCAATGCTTGAATAACTGACTATGTGACTTTTTCTATGTTCAGAATAAAGCACAGTGTTGACTCAAAGCAGGGTTGGTATGATAGTATTCAATGACACCTCAGTTTTGTTCTCAAATAAAGCATACCGAAGTAACATAACTATAAATGACGGAATACAAGATATTTCAATACAACCTCCCTTGTTTGCATCAGCATCAGTTTTACTTTGTTTTAACAACATGCCTTTACATGCTGTTGGGGCCTTCAACACGGACCATAAATAAATATAAACAATTAGTAGTAAGTTCAAGTAAATGAAATGCACATTTATGCTCACTGTTTCCTGTTTAAGACATCCATCACATTTATCTACATTTTCAACATTGCAAAAGACCAGTAAATATGATTCAGAGGATGGGTGGATGGGTGGTCTTAAAATGATTTACTAGCATAATGTTGGACTCTGTATTTCACCAACAAGAGGTAGGTGAATGTAATATAAAATAAAAAATCTCTGGTGCCATGAAAAAAAGAAAAGCCATGGTATTTTTATGTAAAATTATTTTCACACATAAACATGCTCTTCTTGCTATTTCCCTTTAATCACCAAAAGAGATTTAAATCCCTATTTGGCCCAAAAGAAAAATAGCATTATTTAAATATGCGTACACCGTGGGTGTATTTGTGTATATCAGTCCTTCGGTAGAACGGTCATATAAGGACAGTGTACTTAACTGAAGACATAAAGCTATTTAACGTCTTACACACTAATCCCAACAGCGTCTTCTCAGATGGGTTTTCTGGGATTAAAATCTTTTCAGATGACGCTGTGACAGAATATCTGTCCGGGTTACTTTGATTACATCGACCAACTTCCCATCCATACTGTTGTGTAATGAATCAATGGAAACCATGATACGAAGGACTCAAAAATGCCCTGGTGATTGTGGCCTGGAGGTCACTCTGGAAACATCGAAAAGGTCTAGCTGAAAGAAACAAGCTGGGACGCACAAAGAGTGACCTCTGCTGTACACAATGCGCGTCCATGTCAGTTGTGACGTATTGCCTGGTTTTACGACGGTGCGCGCTTACACAATGACAGTTTCCGTCATTTTGACTTGCAAATCGTTACCGCGTTGAGCGAGCGTGTTTTTTTCCATTTTTATCTCAAATGTCAATTTCATAATTTAAAACTTCCGATCCTTATCGATTACAACATCAGATAAAGAAATAGATACTTTTTGAGATCGGTACAAGTTGTACTCGCTCCACTTAAACTCCGAACTTCCAGCTCGAGGCCCAGCAGAGAGCTCCAGCAGCAGCTGAAAAGTTTGTTGTTGTCACGTGATGTGAGGCGAATGTGGCGATAAAAGTTTGCTTAGATAGTAAAAGCCGGTGGCGTACTTTCATATTAAAACACCTGGAACACAACATTGACCAAAATGCCCCAACCGAAACATCGAAAGATTGCTGTTATAGGTTACAGATCTGTAGGTGAGTAAAGCACGCGAGCTCGTGTTCAGCTAATGCTAGTCAGCTAGCTGGCTAACATGCTAACGTCCTGGCTTTGTTTTCCTCTTCGCTCCATGCGACACGAGCAACGCAATGTTTCCCGTGTTCCTGTTTTTGTGTGTGTGTGGTGAGCTGTTGACCACTAAATTACACGTCCGTGGTCTATGTTGTTGTACAGCTGTATCCATCTGTTACTAACGTTGTTAGTCGTCATCTGTTATTGGAAACACATTTAGCGACGACATCCTGGTATAGAGCCAATTGGTGTGTCGAAACTTAACTTAGTAGAGTAGCGTGTTTTACCAAAAACACCGGGTTCATGACGGTCATCTTGCAATCCTATTCTACCAACCCACCAGTTATTCTAGTCTTTATTAACTGTAATATATTCTAAAATGTTCTTGCGTTGCTGGTGTTTTGTATGACCAATCAGATTCGGTGTTAACTAGAATAAATGTATCTTTATTATCAATTAGTTTGTATTATACTCGTCATGTATTATACATGTTACTCCGATTGTATCACCAAGTTGATCCTCTGGAATGATCATTTTTACAGATTTCAGTAGCCTATAGTCACCCTGTGTGACCCTCTCTAAATACCTCCGCTACAGTATGTGATTTATTGTGTCCAAAACCTTTCCCTGATCCACCCACCCACTGATAACCCACTATGACGTTTCACATGAAACTGATTGTGTAATGTCTTTTTTTCCCCCTCTAGGTTGTCATTAATGGCTTTAAGCCATTAAATTCTACACAATACTGGCACAGTATTTGTGAATGTGTTTTTTATATTTCTGTAGAGGATTAGTATAAAAAAATGTAAACAAAATGGTAGTTAAACTGTGTTACGTTTCTTTGCCTTGCACAGGAAAGTCATCTCTTACAATACAGTTTGTGGAAGGACAGTTTGTGGACTCCTATGACCCCACCATCGAAAACAGTATGTTTAATTATAAGTTTAAAAGTCGCCATTTTTCTCTTAATAAAAATAAATGTTTTGTAAAACTATCCCTCTCTCGCCAGCTTTTAACAAACTAGTCAGCGTGAATGGTCAAGACTTCAATCTTCAACTGGTTGACACAGCTGGACAAGTAAGTTGTTCATTTACTAACTCTTTACTTGACATTAGTGCTAAACTTTGTTTTAAATTTAACTCTTGGTTTGAGATCAACACTTGATCTCATCAGAATTAATCTGTTCAATCTTAATATTTTACCATAAGTTAAATTCTTGAATTGTTTAGTTCACATTCAAGCGAGACGTCATAGCGACACTCGAATGTCCAGTTGGGCGTTACAGTGAATCTGGGGAGTCAGCGGTATTCCCCATGCCCCATTGCCCATATTACTTGGCTGTAACTGCTAATTTAGGATGGAATAATGATGTCAGATCGTCCGTTTGTATTGAAAGTGGTTACTATAGTGCTATATTCTAAATCTAGCTCCATTTAATAATGCGTTGTGTTTGGTAATCGTCAGCCCCAATACCATGTCTCCCCTCTGTCTGTAGGATGAGTACTCGATTTTTCACCAGTCACACTCAATGGACATCCATGGTTATGTCCTAGTCTATTCAGTGACTTCCAGTAAAAGGTAATTGGATGATTTTGTTGTAACATCTGTATAATTAGTGTGTTATTTGCTGTTAAAGTCTTGAAACACTAAGAGGTAAACAACATTGAATGTCTTAGGATTAATGCCATTATGGTCTCATTTATCCACTTACCCTAATCATAAAACATTAATCCTGAACCAAAAATATTTTCAATGGTTAAACCTGCTGTTGTGTACACATACAAGCAGTGGTCTTTATATTGCCATACATTGCCATATAAATAGGTTTATATTGTTCCCTTTCAGGCATATTTCATAGTGTGGGGGTCGTTGGGCTGGCGTTGTATTGCAATACTAAGTTAGTAATTAACACAAAGGTTAGTTTCATACTGAACACTCTACTCACAACATTGTCTTGTCTTTGTCCAGTTTTGAAGTTGTGCAGGTTCTACATGACAAGCTGCTAGACATGGTTGGAAAGATTCAGTAAGTTTAAAGTTGGATCCGTAAAATAAAATGCTTCAAATTATTTGTTTTCTGCAACTTTGTTTTTTTTTTCTTCTTTTACAACTATTTCTTATGTTTATTTTTAGGGTGCCAACTGTTCTTGTAGGGAACAAAAAAGATCTCCACATGGAAAGGTGAATAATTTAACTTTTTTTAGTTTACTTATCTGCTGATATTTTGTGTTTTTCTTGTCCAAACCAACAATGTATTGCATGTGTATCCAAATATCCTTCATACAGGGTTTCTTGTGAGTAAAATCTTGTTTTGATTTTATTTTCCAGGGTCATCAAGGCAGAGGAGGGAAAGATCCTTGCTGATTCCTGGGGTGCTGCATTTATGGAGTCCTCAGCCAAAGAGAATGAGGTAATGATGGACGTCTCGTTAAAAACCAACTCATCCATGCGGTCCCATATATATTCTGACACAGATTCACACTCCAATGGAAATATTCTTGAAATGCAGACGGCTGTGGAGGTTTTCAAGCGGATCATTTTGGAGATGGAGAAAGCGGATGGAAATGGACCCCCGGAGGAGAAGAAGTGTGCTGTGATGTAAATGTGTATCCAGGACATCAGAAAAGCTAAATTGCTGAAGACAGGAGCCAAAACTTCACCAGCTCGCCAATCGAGATCTCACCGACACCGTAGAAGCCGCAGTGGAATCTTTCTGCTGAAATGTGATATCTTATTGATTTACATAGCGATTCAACTGCCCGGCCAGTTGGTAAACTGTGCCATCAATTGTAACCAAAGGCAAGAAGTTTCCAAGAGCAAGATTTGTTTTTGAAAAAGAGTCACAGTTAGTGAATTCTTTAAATATTGAAACATTATCTATAACTTGGCTAAATCTTGACTTTGATCCAACTGCTAAGAAAACATGATACTATCAAACAAATTGGTCCAGATCCATTACATTTTTTCTTTGTGAAAATATATAAGTAACTATTTTTAAATCTGATGTTGGAGACATCATTGGCTTAACTCATAACTCTTTGGGTAGTTTAGTTAATGTACATGCAGGCCTGGTTAACCTTATTAAGGACTGGTATTATTTCAACAGTGATGGAGAGTCAAAATTCACATTGCTTTAAATGTGTTAAAATGTCAGTACCCCTCACAAAACGGTAGATTTCTTTGAACAACCTTGAATGAGATTTTACTCAAGACGTGTCACTGTTTCCATAGTTCTTCTCTCTGTAATTCTGATCAACTCTTCGGGTACCTTTTCACCAATGAACTTCCAAGCTGCGTCTTTGCAATGTAGGAATCTGTAAATCCAACTCACATTTTCAGTTCTTCTGCTAAGCAGATTTGGCTAATCCTCTGTTTATACAGTTCAATGTCTCCTTATTCACTGTAATAAAGATGTTATCTTATGGACAGACCTCAGATAAATTTAGTATAGCTTGAAATAGATCTTTGATATTTACCAGTTATGGCCTTTTTATACAATTAAATTTAGAATCTTAGAGAATGGTTTGATACTGTTGGTTATATTTTGCATGGTGAAAGGTTGCGCTCCCGTCAATATCCTTATTATATTCCTAAAAATGCAATATAGTCAAGAACATTGTTGAGTTGCAATTTTGTGATTGCATTTTATCACTGCACCAAGGCCATTTAAGTGGGTGGAGGCTACAGAGTTAGCTTAGTAATCGCATTTTGATGTGATGGGTTATGCAGGCTTGATATAACCAAGCCAGGATGGCATGCAGTCCATTTCATTCTTATGGTGGACTTTCGTGCACACTGTCAGAAGCTAGAGATCCTCAATGTCTTGTTTTTTCTAGATCCAGTACCCTTACAAAGATGTGACACAATGTGGATTTCCCCTCATAACCCTCATGTTGTGCTTGTGGGTAATTGTAACTTTTATCACGTGCTTGGCTCAGTAAGTAGTTGATTGATTGATGATGGTTGAACAGAAGCTGGTGACGCTGTGTCTGGTGCCTTACAGTTCCTCAAACTCCCTCATCTGCTGCCCTCCATGACTGAAGGTGCTCTTAAAGTTATTTTTTTTTCTTTCTTGTTTCTTTCATTCTCCTTCTGTTGACTTGATACCGTTGTGCAGGTGTGCACCTGAACACCAATATGCTCTTGTGGGTCATGTTAATTCACAGATCTTGCTGTAAACAGTTTTGTATATAAATAAATCTGTTACTCATTTGATGTGCTGATCTCTGCTGTTTCATTTACTGCGATGGGTTCTTATTCAGACTTTGACACATTACAATTGTATAGAGGTATAGAAAGTCAACGTTGTATGGTCGACTGCAGACATTCATTTTATTCATTTTTATAAATGCTTACAGACATTCAGCCTAAGGCCCAAAAGATTAAAAAAAAAGATCATGTAGGAACAGGAGTCGTCCTGCGGGCTTTGAGCTTAATACCACAGATCTTTTAAACTTGAAAAAGTGAATTCGAAACTAACGTGTGCAATATATTCACAACGTGGACACGAATGCACTGTGTCAAATATATTAAAAGAGTCGGAGTTAACTAACTCCAGAAGATGGCAGTAGTGCAGAACGAGGGATACAGTCTGACATTAAAACACAAAGAAGAAGAAGAAGAAGAGCGGCCGATCATTCATCAGCTCAGTGGCTCTTTGCGAGAAGGAGCGGAAGAGCTGCGCGGTTTGGATCCTACCTGCTGAGAAGGGACCGACCACAGGAAGGAGACTCGGCGAATGAAATATGGAGTGTGTAAGTTGTCCAAGACGGACTGCTGGCCTCTACAAACCGCTCTCCGAGTAACGCGACTTCTCCAGGAATGCTAATGGTAGCCACCAAAGAGCTAACCAAGCTAATTCTTGGCAGAGTAACTTAACGTTAAGTTTTAAGAGGCTAGCGCGCTTCTTAGTGACGGTCGGTTGTCAACCGTCACCGAAGGCCCGTATTTCCCCCTCAGTGCCACTACGGTTTACTATCATTACGTTTTGTGTCACACAACGTCAAAGTTAACCTCAGGTCAAACCAGTCAAACGTTATTAGGCTGCTCCGTGTCAACAGACTGGGACGCTAGTTAGCCTAATGCTAATGCAAGTTATTTATATTTTTTCTTTAAAGAGTTGACCTCGACACCCTCTAGTTTAAATTTCCCCAACGAAGAATCGTACATTTCAAAATAATATTTCACAACAGCTGCAGCGCCACAACTAAAACACATTTTTACAATGCGCTCTCAAGTTAAACAGATTAAATGAGCTAATTTGTTGACTATTAACGTCAGATAAAAAGCAGCGAGGCAGTGAGTCATGTGTTGTGTCAGATATTCGGGGTAATGCAAGAAAACGCCTTTCAAACAGCGGTAAACTAAGGCTTTTAAAAAAACAACTTTTTTTTACTCACATTCCCCTTTTGGCTTTAATGCATTTCAAGATTCCAGTGGCTATGGATGATCTCGAGGGCAAAAAGGACCCGATCATAGAGGGTAAGAATTTATATATAGATCTCAGAAATATTGCTAATTAAAAGCAGTGATCAGTTCTTTGAATAAAAATAATACAACTGTCTCATTCCTTCAGACCCGGAGCACAATGTGTACACCAGGTTTATGAAGTCTCACCGATGTTATGACCTTGTACCGACCAGCTCCAAACTGGTTGTGTTTGATACATCACTTCAGGTAAAATAAAAGCTTTGAAACAAAAAATTTAATAATTTCACTCATGAGCTCATTTAGACTTTAATGTTGATCCAATTTATTTTACAGGTCAAGAAGGCGTTTTTTGCTCTGGTGTCTAATGGCGTAAGAGCAGCGCCTCTGTGGGACAGCAAAAAGCAGTGTTTTGTTGGTGAGGGCCGTTCTCATTTGGCACAGCTTCGCTCTGTTCAAGACTAAATAAACAAAAGACTGACTCCATTCTGCTCATGCATCTCTGCAGGAATGCTGACCATCACAGACTTTATTAATATTCTACATCGCTACTACAAATCTCCATTGGTAAGATGGTAGACACCAAATGCTTATCGTACTCGACTTGTTTGATGATGTGTAACATTTAATTCTCAAAGTGAGATAAAATCCTAAATATGACAATATATGTGGACGACTGTGCCCTTGGCAATTTTCTATTGATATCACAAGAATGTTGTTTTCTTTCTTGGTTCTTCTTAAATATGTGAACTATTTTTATATTCTTTCAGGTACAGATATACGAATTGGAAGAACACAAAATTGAAACATGGAGAGGTGAAAAGGTTTAATATGTAATGTATGTATTTTCATTAACTCTTGTAATCTTGGTCTTGAATATATTTTGTCTTTGTTCATAATAGAGTTGTACCTTCAAGACTCATTTAAGCCGTTGGTTAGCATATCTCCCAATGCTAGGTGAGTTTTTATTTTATTTTTTAAGATTAATGATTTGTCTCACTAGTATTTCCAGACAAATGCATTTTGTTTGTGTAGACTTCTGATCCGTACTTTCTGTTGTCTAAAGAAAGGTGCTGGGAAACTTGAGGTTTTATTTACGTCATGATATATATCTTACAAATCCTTTTCTTAACTTTCAACTATTGCTAAAACTATCTTGGCTATTTTTACTTCACTTTTTTTATGCAGCAATCTTACCTCACAACATGCTGTGATTAACTTGTTCCTTTCGGAAACTATTTGTATCACAGTTTGTATGATGCAGTATCATCTCTGCTGAAGAACAAGATCCACAGACTGCCGGTAATCGACCCCCTGACTGGGAACACGCTCTACATTCTCACTCACAAGAGGATCCTTAAGTTCCTGAAGCTTTTTGTAAGTGCCGTAGCTGCTCTCGCATTGAATACTTTTCAATTATTTTCACATTATTTTTCACATCCGTTCCCCTACCGTTTTAATGAAGTGTGGTCTGCGCAATGTCTTGTTATTCTTTCCAGATATCAGAGATGCCGAAACCCTCGTTCTTGAGACAAACGCTAGAGGACCTGAACATTGGGACTTTCAGGAACATCGCAGTGGTCCGCTCTGACACGCCGCTCTACACGGCGCTCGGTATTTTTGTTGAGCAGCGAGTGTCGGCGCTCCCCGTTGTTGATGACAAAGGTGTGTGGGCTGCTTGAAATGACGTCCATTCTGCATTAATGATCAAAGAACTCCTGAATTGTGTTTGTCTGTGTACTGATCTGCTGCCTCTTGCAGGTCGAGTGGTGGATATATACTCAAAATTTGATGTCATAGTAAGTTGTCATCTGACTTAATAATTTTCCAGGATCACAGTTGAGCAATATGACAATTTATAGAAAAAGACCATATACTTTTTAAAAATTAAAGCAAAACACATGCTTAATGGAAAACTCAAAATTTATAGGATTCTTTTGGGGATGTGAAAATCTCAACTTCTTAGGTATTTAATTCACTGGATGACCCACAAACGGATCTTATGTGATTGTTTTAAACACTTCTTTACTAATCTACTTAATAGATGCAGTATAATGATCAGTATTGCGGTAAAGCATTTCTCAGCATCACTCCGCTTTGCCTGAGAGAATAATTCACTACCTGGATTTGAAATATTTCCTTCAAACTAATTGGTCCGCCATCTAAGAATGAGAGACATTTTCAGACGCTAGACTTCTGTTTGTATAGAACCTGGCAGCAGAGAAGACGTACAACAACCTGGATTTGACGGTGACCAAAGCGCTGAAGCACCGCTCGCAATACTTTGAAGGCGTGCTGACCTGCAACCGGCACGAGACCCTGGAGGCCATCATCAACCGACTGGTGGAGGCTGAGGTGAGAGCCGGACGCCACTGGTTTCATGTGTTGATGCATTCTTCCTGCCAAAGGAACGGTAAAGGTAACGTGATGGTTCCGCGGTGTCTCCTCCAGGTGCACAGGCTGGTGGTGGTGGACGAGCAGGATGTGGTGAAGGGGATTGTCTCCCTTTCAGATATTCTCCAGGCACTCGTGTTAACTGATGGAGAAGAGGGTAAGTACAATCTTGTAACCGTCTTACGATTTTGGATGACATACATTTGTATTTGCTACAACAAAGTATTAAAGTACCAATAAAAGCAGTGTAAACATTTTGTGTTGGAGTTACACAAAGTAATGATTCAATTTCTCTGTCCATAGGCACAGCTTAAAGGAGTCCTGATCCTGATGGAAATGCGACACAGTCTAAAGAGGAGGGTGGAGCAAAGGGAGAAAGAACGGGCATGTAAGAGTGTCATATTGACAGTACATTGAAGTATCCTCACCCATTCCCTGTAATCCGGCTTCCCATAGTCACACATGAAGACATCTCCCTCCCTGCAGAAATGTGAAGCCTTAGCGATGCAGCAATATAAAATTGTAGCAGCACAGACATACAGAAGCTCTTGTTAAAGTTCCAAGCTACAAGAGACGGAGGCGAGAGGAGCTGCTGCCTCTGAGATGACCAGGCGTCATTCCCACTTCTGTGCTTGTTGATTTACGTGCAGTAGAGATCGACCATTGACTAGATCAGTTTTTTTCCCCTGTAGTGTGAATTGGAATCAGAATCAAAAATAACTGATTTACCTGTACTGCCTTTGGTTGGCAACAGTTAGATTTTTGATAAGACGGCTGAAATCTATATGCACACAAAGCCGGGGAGTCATTTTAAACGCTGTGTAACTTTGATTAACAATGGATGCGTTTTGACATTTGCTTGAAACTCAAACTCGTATTCTATGTATATAGAAATGTTGTTTTCCCAGCTTTAGTTGTTATTCATCTAGTTTGATTATTTTAACGGAGGTGGGGATTGATTTCTTAATCGTTTTTATTTCTCTTTTTATACACACAAAGACAAAATTCATGCCACTGAGCTCATTTATGAATCTGCGGTTAGTGGACTGTTAATTGTGCTCTATCCTGCCGAAAGGCACCAGCTCTGGATATTTTTGGATTTCATGTTTTGCCATTTGGTTTGTGCTGTCAAGAATAACAAATCTTTAATGTATTCCATATTTTACTTTTATTTTACGGTTTGGTTACTCATATTGTGTGTTGGCATCTGTTGCTTTCAACGGTGGAAGATCTCACCAGCTTCTCCCATCATTTAAAATGTAAGCCAAATTAACACTTTGGCATTATTTGTTTTCTGATTTAAAATTTTTGGAGTCTAACAGTCAGTAATGAACATAAAGTGCATTTATTCAGCATTTTTTTGTCCGTTGTGTTCAGGAACTTAATCAAAATCACCAAATACCAGCTTTCCATCCTTTTCTTTTTCCTAAAGATGGCCCATGGGAATGTTTGTTTTGGTAGATTTCAAATGGAAGGTGAAGAGCTGTATGGACATGCTGTTTTAGTAGTAATCTGCATTGAGATTATAAGCAATAAAGTTTCAGTTTGTCTAAAATGGCATTGTTAAGTGCTTCCATCTGATATTGCATAATGTATAAAGATGTGGAGAAAGATTTACACAGCAGGATTTAATTAAATCAACACACAGCTTTTTTGGCCAGTTGGGGTGAAAAGAAGCTCTGGAACCTCCACGTGGAAAACCTTTTTAAACAAGGTCGCAGTGGGTCATGGTGAAAGAAAGTAAAATAAATAGACGCCACTTAGGAAAACATTTGCATTTATTACTTTATATTAGAATGTACATATTCACGCCCTGAACTTTTTTTTTTTACATGCAGTTGCCTATTTGCCTCACAGCCTCCTATTCTTCAATGGGGGTACTTAGAGTAAGATATTATGCATTCAATAAATTGTGAGGCAGATACAATTTAATGACCTCATCGCTGTATAGATACGATCAGTTGTCAAACTGAGCCCCTCAATCCTTTCAAGTCCAGTCTATTTGTTCCAACAAACATCCTGTGAGTCTTGAACAGTAAGGAGTCAGCAAGTGGTGGTCAAACATCGGAGGAACTACATTGAGACATTTCAGTAGTATTAGTTTCAACGTTTCTTCTCCCAAAGAAAGAAAAAGTAATGTACTGCAATCGGTTGGCATGGTTTGTACAAACAGTCATTTTTCAGTGGTATGATCTTAGATAAACACTAGAGGCCGTGACCAGATGATTCTGAGAACAATTTGGTTTTAATGCCGTGAGGTCAGTAGTAGTGCACATGGGACTCGCAGCATACAAATATAAATAACACACACGGTACCTCTGGAATTTGCATACAGGTAATGACGAAAGTACACCTCTCATGAAAACATTTAGACTGATTAGCTCGAGGGAATAAATCCACAATCCAATTTGTAGATTTAGGAGGTATTGTATGGTTAACAAACAGGAGCTGTAATGGGAAACATTGATTAAAAATCAAATACTTCTCTGCTGTCGTAGAGGGCTGAAGGAGAAAGTCAACACGTAGAGCAATGTCGCTGCAGAGGTCAAAAAGTAGATCGGTACACAATTCTGTTCACAAGCTGCAAATCAAAAAAACAAAAAGGTGATATAAAGATTCAACAGCCTAAAACATGACTCAAGTATCGACTTACAAATGTAATGTCACATTTACAAGTTCTACCTTATAGTAAATGTGCAGTAGTTGTGCCCCGAGGTGAAAAGAACATTGCTCATGCTTCAGTATCCAACTGTTTTTCATATTCCTGGGTTAGTGTGTTTAAAAAGGGACCCACAATGGAAAAAAAGATTGTCCTGTATTAAAGTACAGTGTAAATACGACTATCTGAATGTCGGCTTGTCTGAGGGCAGCCAGCAACGTTTGCTCTCGTGGCAGATTAAAGTCTGTATGTGGATCCAGAGATGATTGAAACATCATTATTTAAATATTCTTCACATTCACTTCACGTGTTTTCTTCAGAAGTGTGTCATCAAGGGTTGATTGGTAAGCATGCGGAAAACCTGAGGTGTACAACAGCTTACGGGCAAGTGGTCCAAAGGCTAAACCGTGTTTGGCAAGTTGCCCTAAAAAAACAAAAAAAAACCTGGTGACTTTAAAGTCTTAAAACACCTCGTAAAGTAAACAAGCTGCAGTTGCACAAACTGTCTCAGCTGCTTTGTACATGCTTACAAAGTAGTCAGCAGACCACTAAACAACACACCTGTAGCAGAAACAGATGGATTATTCTCTATAATCAGTTTGTAATGTACCTGGATGCTTTAGGTGGCAAATAGAAACCTGCACAATAGCTTCATAAACGCCCAAATATTAATAACAAAATCTAGTTATTAAATACCAGAATGATCAAATGTACGTTAAAAATCCTCCCAAACCCACCAGCTTGACGAAAACCGCAAATACTATTTCTTAACTCTCGAAGGACTGTGATCAGAAAGACCTTGAGGAAATATAAGGAACTGCTGTTCAAAAATGTTAATCACACATCCTGCCACCGATTGCATACAGGTACGCAGGTAATCCCGGGTGGAAAGGAACAAAAAGGGCAGCAGTAGCTGAGGACAAGACAGGAAAGGTGTTCTTGGTAGTTTGGCTGGGCAAGCGAGGTAGGGTTTGTAAGAAATCAAGTGGCTTCAAAACTGGCAGGAGTATCAATGGAGTAATATTTTACAAAGTGCACATCTCCGTCCAGTTCTCCTACTTTGTGCGTCCTCCATAGGGCCCAGCCCCGTCCCCGTCCTCCTCTTCCTCCTCCTTCTCCTTCTCCTCCTTCTCCTCCTTCTCCTCCTTCTCCTCCTTCTCCTCCTTCTCCTCTTCCTTCTCCTCTTCTTCTCAGTGTCACACAGTCTGGAGTCTGGTCCCGCTCGGGGCTCTTTGTCTGTGCAGCGCTGACTCAGACTTTGAGGTCCTCTTCGATGCTGAGCTGGGAGAGGCTCTTCTTGATGCGCAGGGCCGTCAGGCGGGCCGCTCCATTAGCATACCAACACTCCCTCATGATTTTGCCCATAACCCGCAAAGCCTGCAGCCGCACAGGGGAGGGGAAGCAAACAAGGATCAAGAACCTACAATACAGTATAAATGATTGGGATGATACGAATGTGGAAGTTGAGGCTTGGTTGAAACAACCTGCCCCTGTAGGAAGCGTGTTCGATCAACTAATTTGGCTTCAGCGTGTAAATTAATATATAAATGATAATTCTGTTTATTGCATCATTGGTTTTATATAATGTAATAAAGTTTTTTTTTTTGTCAGTTTCCAGCAGTAACTCACTTAAGTCACTGCTGAGAACTGGTAAATTCGATTGGACAGGAAGCAATCCAAACAAATAAAGAAAATAAACAATCCCCGAAAAAAATCATAATTATTAGCAGCCCTTAAATTGTTTGAATAAAGAACTAACTAAATAACTGGGACGTACCCACTGATGTATCGTGCTCTAGTTGTAAAGAAGAAGCGCTGCTTAGTGATTTCAGTGTTCCTAGAACTCAGCAACTAATCTTATGTCTTAATAACCCTCTGCTGTGATTGCAGAACTTAAACTGTAACATTTCTGCTTTAAACAATTGAAGGAATGGATACATTTTATACCTCATAGCTCTGCCACCAATTGGGGATGTTGGGTCGTAACTTTTGGTCACACACCAGCTTTCTCATCTCCTCTATGGTGGGATCAGAAGGTACCAGGTCGTAGTAGGGCAGCTGGTACTCTTCATGGATACCTGACAACACAAGACAACGTCAGGGTCTGATCATTTGCGAACATCAATACAAAAACAAAAGAAAAATCAAATAACAGGTTGAGTATCCAGAGTAAAAACAAAAGAGTCTGACCTCCACTATTACAGCGGCGAGTAATCTCCCAGTAGACCAGCCCCAAGGCATAGATATCAGCACATTTGAATGAGTCAAAGTGTCTCATATTGATAGTCTCGTCCAGAACCTCTGGAGCCATGTACCTGAGATGTGAAAACAATCTTTTTTTCTAATCATGGCTGCAGATAAAATGATTTTCTGGGTAAAGTGTCAATGGATATCTGTGAGAATGGACGGTCAGCAGCTGCATGCGTGCATGTTGACACAGACCTCTTGGTGCCCACCCTCTGGTTGGGCGCAATGTCGATGGTGTCTGTGGCAGAGTCGTGCCGGACGGCCAAGCCCAGGTCAGCGATGGCGCAGGTGCAGTTCTTCTTCACGAGGATGTTCTTGGACTTCAGGTCTCTGTGGGCAATGCCCGGTTTTCCTACCGAAATATAAACGTACATGTAAGTACTGTATAAAAAAAAAAAAATTCTTCTTGTCCTATTTTTCCACAAGACTCCATTTACTTATCTTTTCCCATTGAGCATGAGCTGAAATCTTGCAATAAACATTTACACAAGATCATCATTTATTGATCCATTCCTGTTTTATCTTCTATTCATATATTTACAGCAAACGATGTTCAGTCTTATAGTGTTATTTTTGTGGGTAACAAATAATCAAATTCTACTGTGTTACTGTGACATATCCTATCGATTTATCAGCTCCAAGGTCAGTTGTTAACATCAGAGGCCTTGTGGGGCGGAAACACAAGGATCTGGCTTCGGAGTGGAGCGAGCACGAGAAGCGCTGAAACGTGTCGCAGTCACCTTGTGTTCCTAGAATCTCCATGTGCAGATGTGCCAGACCGCTGGCGGCTGACAGTGCCAGTTTGATCATCCCTTCGATATTGACGGAGTAGCGATTCAGGTAGTCAAACAGAGAGCCGTGCTCGTGGTAGTCCGACACCAACCACAGCTGGGTCCACGTGCCGTTGTCTGGGAAGGAGGCGGGAATAGAGACGGAAACGATACGTTTAAAATGAGAATGATTCATGTTCTCCATGACAAACAAATGTGCCGTCACTGTTTCGCACCTTTGTTGTCGGCCGCTATGAAGCCTAGGATGTTTTCATGGCGGAGCATGATGGTCTGATAGATTTCCGCCTCACGGAACCAGGAGCGCTCCTCTCTGGACGAGAAGATCTTCACCGCCACATCACCACCTCGCCAGCGCCCTCGCCACACCTCCCCAAAACGCCCTTTGCCAATGATCTCTTGGAGGACTATTGTTCTGGCCACGGTCCGCTGGACAAACAAAGGCAGGCCTGTTCGAAAAGGATGAGAAAAGTCATCAGAGCTTTTATGAAAACAATTATAAAAAAAGAAGAAGAAGAAGAAACTGTGTAAACTGCAACTTGAGTGCCGGCCTGCAGCTACTACTCCCCGCTGTGCACTGACCGGAGCCTGAACCAGACGTGGACAGATCGTAGATGAGGTCCTGCAGGGTCCTGTCTTTGGTCATGTAGAGGGTGTCACACGAGGGGTCCTCCACCTCTAACCTTTGCCTGTGGCTGTAGGCCCTCTGGTGGTACTGATATAGGAATGCGCCCATCAGCAGCAGCAGACACAACAGAAACAGCGGCCCTGCGATCACAGCAACTAGTTCCACTGGCCCCCATGAGCCACCTGGGTCGTATCCTACTCCGAGACCTTATTGACAGGATAACAGGGGGGGCATTAGAATAAAACATCTGGCACAGAGAAGATGAATGAAACGGACATTGCTCCTTGATACCAACTCCTTGGTGTGCTTAGCAGGATGACCTAATGCTCTCGACAACAATTGACTCTTCTTCAACTTCAACTTCTGTTAATTATTCCCAAATGTTTAATAAATAAATGCTACATTTCCTAAACTGAAAGGCTTTTCCTGTAAAAAAAATCAGTGCTAGTTTGTCCTCGGCCCCACCTTTGATCCAGAAAATGCATGACCTTCGCCCTTGAAACTGTTACATAACCTGGCACAATAATCATTAGAAGATAACCTAACACACTACTGATGGGACACACCCATTTTCCATGAGAATCCCCTACAAGTCTTTTAAAGGCTGGGGATGAATTCTATTGTTTTTTACTGTCACACTAGTATTACATTAACTCTGTATTTAAAATGTATTTGCTCCGAGTGTTACAATTGACTTATATTTGTGTTCAGATGTTTAAAAAAAAAAAAAAACTTGAAGTCCAGACACTTGGTGAAAAGTTCTCCAAATGTGTATTCTGCGCGATACCTGACAGAGCTCACCTGAGGGTACTTTGAGGTCAATGTTGTTGCAGTAGTTGGTGTAGCAGCAGTGGATGTTGAGGAGGCCCTTTGCACTCAGGCAGTAGAACGGTTGTCCAGGCGGCACAAGATTGTCTCGTGTGATGCAGAGACGGATGTGCTGCTCTCGGCCATCGATGAAGGACGTGGAGGCCATGCAGGCACCATCGGTCTCACACTGGGAGCCGGTCTTCTCACACTCCGCAGTGGAGCAGTTACACCGCAGAGCTGGAAATGTAATAGTTTGTATGATTAAAAAAAAACAAAAAACTACAGGGCTTAACAAAACATATCTTTGTAGCCGTGCAGGAACTTTGAGTACACAGGATGGGCAGCTAATAGGGAAAGTTTACATTACTAAGCAATGTGCAACATATGATGCCCCCAGAACATAAAGGACAAGAACTAACAATACTTTGTCACTGATGAACCCCTATACGGAGTGTGGCGTCTCACTTTCTGATGACACAGGATGGTGGTTGCATAGTTGGTTTGGTTTTGCGGCAGGCCCGCTTGAGGCAGCCAACTCACGAGGTTAGAGAGAAAAATCTCCCTCAAGAGTCTCAATCTCCTTTCAGATGAACTACAGAGGCAAGGACAGATGGTTGGAGGATGATGCTGGTGGGGAAATAAAGGAAGTGCTGGAGGTGGGGTGTGTTGGGCTGGCTGGGGATTTTGGGAGGATGGGTGGAGAGGTTGTGTGAGGACAATATCATTTGTAAAGAAGAGACAGACTTCCTCTTTCAAATTGAATAATATCATTAGGACACAGAAATGATGTGACAGTCCACTAATTCTGGAAAAGCCGCTTGTGGGTTCCCTGTAGAAAAGGGCAGAGCTAAAGAGCCTGTGTTCTTGCTGTCATAATAATCGCAAACACATGCAGCTCGGCATCAGTATCTTGTAGGTCAGGTCATCTGGTGCTGACTCATACAATGCAAACACCTACTTGACAGATGCGGGAAACAAAACAAACTGATGAAGATAAATGATGACTAAATATGAAATCCATGTCTATACATGTCAGAAAACTCCAAACCACAGATTGAACACATACAGGCAACATCCTGACCACAGCAGTGCAATTGTGCTGAAAGTAAATTGTAAAAAATAGGGTTTTGTTAACCTTTAACACAGAAAAGCATTTCCGAGGTTATGAATCACTACCTCTAACCCAAGTACACAGCAGTTTCTTCCACTAATAGAATTCCGCTGCATTCTACAGCACCGGCTTGTGTCTTTCCGTTTCCGACAATAACATCTCCAAATAAGAGGAGATGTTTACACCCCGAGCAACAACTGTACGTTCCATACTCCATACTTCCATGAAATATTCTGAACAAAATCAACATATTCACAGTGAACTTCGTCGGGATCCAAAGGGCTGTACTGTTTAGTTAAGAGGAGTTCCTGGCACTGTTTTACTATTCCACAAGTTGCAACGACAGAGGAAACATAACCTTCCTGTCCTACTGGCGGTGGGCGGGTTAGATGACATATACTATTTATACCAGAATAACTATATTTTAATGATGTATTACTACTAATAATAATAATATCACCACCAAATGATATAGTAATCTACCAACAGATAAAGTAAACGTGTTAATATCCACAACATTTATCTTTACTTCAAAAAAGTCTTAATCTGCACAGCTTTGCCTGGAGGCGATAATAAGGCATAATTAATGTTTGACATTTGAGCACTCTGAAAAACTTGTCTAGGAGCAATAACATCCACATTGTTATCCAAACAGGACATGTCTAAATATAACAATGCCTAAATCAAAATTGTGATGCAAAGAGGTGATTTGAAACATTAGCCGACAACAATGTATTTAGTTCATTTATTTTAAATGGGCCACAGAGGGATTTACAATGTGTACACATGCTGTCGGACACCGGCCACAGTGCGATAACAGAGATGTCATGTGTGCACAATGAACAACATGAAAGGTTTTTACAATTCGTCCAATGCATATGACAGAATGAGTAACGTTAAATGAAACAGTCATTCATTTTTCTACAAAAATCTGTGCTGCACTGACCGTCCACAGTTGTTTCACCGGAGCGGTCGCTACACAAACACCTTTCACGTTACTGCTGATCCAGTCGTTAGCCGCACCAGCTGCGACAGAGACACGGCGAGGTACCGTGGCTGGTCACATTTAAGTTAAATGACAGCTTGTGAAGATCATTCCCGGGTTTAAACAAATGAAGGCTGACCCGGTTTCACGTCTGTGCGTCAATGAAACGTGTCGTTCCGCCCGCAGTAACGTTAGCTCACCTAGCTAACACCTAGCTAACACCTGCTAACGGCAGCTAGCAGCTAAGTCCGCATTCACAGCGGCGGCTCATGACCAACACAAACAGAAATTCACTCACCCTCGCATGTTCCGTACAGGACCACCTGGACAACAACCACGGCTACCGAAATCCGAAGGTTAGCCATGATCATTAAACTCCCCGTTCATCGCATTAAGACATTGGCTGTGAGGTTAGATGGTGCGTGATTGTGACAGATAAGCCCGGCTGTCAGGGAACAGTCGAGCGCACCCACGTGCTCCACCAGCAGGGGGCAGCAGAGACTCAGGCCCGATCAGCACAAAGTATTTAAACCAGTTTGTCCCCAAGAGCAAAGTCTGCGTATATATATATAGCCTAATTTGTTTTGTTTTTTCACATTTATTCACATACATGTTTGTATGAGCAAGGATTGCTGTCTTCAGCATTTGGACATTACAGTTAACAATGAGTTTACGGTTTCAGTTTTACAATGCAGTGTGATGTTCCTTTGGTAGATAATGGTCGTTTTCCTTTTGGACCTTAAACCCTTTCACAGTGTGTGACCACTTTTCATATAATCTGAAATTGTGATCACATTTTCATATGAAGCACATATGGTGGAACAATACGAAAAAATAAAATGACCTGCAAAAATAAATATCTGTCTCTTCACCTGTTAAATGTTAGCTACTACTACTACAATAGCTAATTGCTAAATCTTTCTGCCTGTTTTCTTTCCTGCTGGGGCTGGAAACAAGGTGATAGGTGTAAAACCCAGAGAGTGAGCTGAAATAGACTTAAAAACTGAGTTTGGTGATAATTTATCACTACGAGTCCCACCTTTCACATTACACGTTGTCGTTTGAGCCACTGTTAATATGACAGTATTGATGAATGCAGTTTTAAACACCAATTAATGAATGAATTAAATTAATTTTTCATTTTTATTTTTTATTTTTCACAGTACGATAATAAGATATATATGATCATGTTCACACACACACACACACACACACACACACACACATATATATATATATATATATATATATATATATATGAATACATTGTTGGCATTTTGATGCATGTTTGCTCCATACTGTACAATATTTACAATTTATTGTGGTTAGCTATTTACAAAAAAACACCACACATAAAACAACATTTCATAATAATACAAATGAGCTATGATATAGCTATATTTTTATGGTATATATTTCCAATTTGCATGGGAAAAGGATGCAGGTACACATTCAGTAGGTTCCTGCCTGGCTGTGTTTTATGTTTATGTTAGTAAGGTAGATACCATAATAGCACCTGTGAAACTGAATCAAAAATATGGGTTTCATACATTGTGTCCTAATTGTTAAAAAAGTAATCTTGGTATTTTTATATTTTATATATTTAAACATATATATGAATGATTCATACAGCAGAAGAGCACTTTTTAAGCTCTTAAGTTTGGGCCTTCATGTTCTCCTTTTCTTTCTTTTTCTCTTTTTTTGCATTTTCTTTCTCAGCTTTCTTCTTCTCCTTCTTCTTCTCCTCCTTGATCTCCTTGTACCTCCACATGGGTGGTTCCAAAAAGCCCTTGCCTTTGCTCTTCTTCTTTTTCTTTTCTTTCTTTGGCGTCGCTTCGGAAGGCCTGCTGACATCAATCTTGGGGATGCAGCCAGAGGGGAACACGCTGTTCCTTCTCGCCATAGAGCGGGACATGAATGTGCTGTTAACTTTGGTGGAAGCCAAAGAGAGGATGCTCTCCCGCCGCTCTCTATCGCCGCAGCACGCCACAGAGATGGAATCGACATTTTGTATTGTGGGCATGACGTGTGACACCGAGCCGTTGCTGTGGCACACCGAGCTCCCTTCTAGGTCCTTGGCTGGGTGCTTTTTCATCAGCTCGGGCACAGCCAGGCGTCTCTTCCCCATCTCGGGGGGGCTGGTGGGGCACAGCGGACGGCATCCCGTTGAGATTAGGGGACTGTGGACGCTGGTGGTAATGCGCACCATGTGGTCCAAGGCCCCGTTGTCCTCGGGGTCACGAGGAAATCGAAATACGAATGTGTTTTTGATCCGCTGGGTGATTTTTTCCCTGCTACTCTTCTGTGCTGTGGCCTTTTCCACCCTCTCCTGGAGCTCAGGCCACTCAGGGACATAACTTTCGCAGCACTGCTCCGCTACTGGCCGCATGTTGAGGCGGCGGAGACGACACAGCGTATCATAGCGACCTGTTTTCGCTGCCCATTCCTTGGCGCATTTTCCTCTTGTGGAGTCTACTGCGTGTATGTGAGCCCCTGGAAATAAAGATGGTAGAGCAGGGAAATGAGGAGAGCAATGGTTCATTTTGATTATAATAATTGTTATAGCACAAAATTCATAGGTGTTGTTAATTCCCTTAACAAAAGTATATTTGAACTTACAGCTACTGTCCCAGTGCAACATACCAGTTAGCCAACTAGCACAAAACTGAAATGTTCAATTTATCTCAACCATTATTAATGATTATTTACATTTGTTGGTTTTCAGTTCTGAAACTTGCCAAATATGTACAACAAAAACAGACAATTACTGCTCTAACCAAATAATATATAGCTAATATTTTGATAATCTCTCTACTATATGTGTTGTTTGTAGAAAAAGACCCGTGTTACGTGATGCTGCGATACGATGATGTCTTCAGAATGATCCCTTAAACCGGTCACAAACAGCGTTAGAGGCTTCAGGGAGGGACAGATAAACCGTGGGCTCAGCTACTCTCACCACCTGTGCAGTAACTGTTCATTTAGAGCTGTAAGAGTTGTGATTAATGAGATAATGTCAGGGTGTCTTAAAGACCATCATATCATAGTGCAGTATCGCTACTGTGTGAGAGCAAAGGTTATTAAACCGGTGAATGAAGGAAGCTACAAAGAATAGTGTTCTAAAAGTTAAATGGGTGCGAAAGGTCAGTCATGTGAGCTTTGGTCAATGACCTGTCTTATATTCAGGCATGAAATCTATAAACACATAAAAGACTGTGCAGTAATATGACTTCTTTTTGCCTTGGGATTTTATGAAGTTGTGATATTTTGGTTTGAGGCCGAATATTTTGCCAAACGTTTTCATGCAAAAGAAATAGTCAAAAAGAAACGCCAAAAACTCAAATGACATGAAATGGGAAATCAAGCAAGCAAAGATGAGACTCACGTACCGGCCATGAGGAGGGCAGCCATGACGTCATTGCGGCCGGTCATTGCAGCTTTGATCAATGCGGTGAAACCGCGACAATCCTTTATTTCAGTGTCTATGCCAGGGTAGTAGTTCAGCAGGTACGTGACTGTGTTGACATGACCTGCAAATAAAAAGACCAAATCAGTATTGCGTCAAATTTGTAATGTTTGAAAACCGGCCGGACCTGTATGCATTAAGATGAATGTAAACATCATCTCTTATTAAATTCTAATTGTTTTGTACTACTTTATCATCTGAACCTGACCTTTTCTTTGGATAATGTTTACTGTGTAGCTACCACTTACCTGCTTGGGATGCAATCATCAGAGCAGTGTTGCCTTCGTTGTCCTGTTGATTTATGTCTATAAAGGGACACGCGTAAAGCCCATATACAATGTCCACGAAACCTTTGCAGCAAGCCACCATCAAGCCGTTCTGTTGGCAGTAAAGGAGGATCAATGACTTGGGATAAGGCCGGGTGAAATGGCCGAAATCGCGACACAGCTCTTTTCATAGCTTGATTACTATGAATATCTCAATACAAAGCATCTGTTATGTTTGTTTGATTAATGATCTATATGAAATGACCACACGGTGACGTCTATTTCTGTGTACTCAGTAGCAGTGGCTTTAAACCTCATGCGTCCTGGTCTGATACTTGTACTCCGCAGCCCTGAACTGCTAAAACTTAAGCAGAAAAATTAAGCATTTAAATGCTAATTAAAAAATTACAAATAACATTGTAAAAGTAAATTGAAAAATAAATATTTTTGAATATAAATCATTTTCGAATTTGTTCTTCTGATGTGTCACCGGTCGTTCTCTCAGTTATTTTGTGTAGTGCTACTGCAAGTGAAGTTAGTTTAAAATAGAATAATTACAAAAAATAAAGAACAAGATTTCCATCTTTACACTGACTTTGTTTTTGTGCATGCACACACTGACTGGGACGTCACATTCAGATAATAGTTCTAACCGAGTCATTTGATCAGATGTTTTTATCATGTGCTTTATCATCAATAATGTTGTATTACAACAATTCATCATATCAAATCTGATTCATTCCATTGCGATATAAGACCCTCACCATGCCATTGATGTCCAGCTCTGTGGCCTCCTCCTTTGTGACCCCTCTCTCCAGAACTCTCTGCAGAGAAGCGACCTTGTTGTGGGCGCACGCTCCGTACAGCGTTGACGCCGCGGAGCCGTCTGTTTCCTCAGGCGTGTAGTCCGGAAGCACCGAGTCGTCAGAGAGGATGCTGTCTGAGTCGGACTCGCTCCCCGACGGACCCTCGTCGTCCTCATCAGGGCCCGAGCCCAGGTGGACATCGTTGGCTGCAGAGGCCATCTTCCAGCAGCAGGTGAGATGTTGTCGTGTCCTTTGGCTACATCTACAAGGAAGAAAAAAAAAAATGCGTGAAATTTACCGTAGCAAGAAGAGTGTAATCAGGTGAGTTCAAGAGATGGGAAAATAGAAAAGTTCATCCTTCTATATTCATTACCAAGTTTAAATAATCTCCTCATTGTAGACACATAATTGTCAGATAATCACAGCCTTCGTGAAAGGCTTCAGATCGTCCACCCAGAAAGATCAATGGTTTGCTCGTGGTCAGATTGACGAAGGGAAAACACGTGTCTGTCACCCAGGGATTATGAGTGTGTTATCTGTGTGTCGTGAAGTGGGGGTGGTTGAACCAGCTCAGTGTGTCTTTTGCGGTTGAGTAACTGGATCAGCATCTTAAAGCCCTGCTGGACGTACAGTCGCGCTAAATGAGGAACAACCCACCTCGGAATAACCTCAGTCACATGTGGCCAAACTCATGTTTGAGCTCCTTTGCTGCTTCCTCAGGGCAACGCAACATTCCCCAATAATGTCAACTGAAATGTAAACAATTCCCAGTAAACACACGTCACCTGCGTTGTACAAGAAAGTACTTCTCTCGATGAAAAATGTTTGTGAACCTCAGACATGTCAAACGTCTTATGCCACAGACCAACGAGGAACAACAGATCAGCAAAGGAGTGAAGGTGCAGAGGAAGAACGGCACAGCTCGCAATCCTTCACCAGTACAGAGAAATCGCTTCGATCAATCTAACTGAACATAAAGAACACTCACCATGAATCAACCAGTTGTAACTGCAGATGTATCCACCTGTCGGCCGGTGTAGATCACGCCCTTGTGACTTCTTGTTGGACGCTTTCTGATTTGCTCCAACACTCCTACTGTGATTTCAGAGCAACAGAGAGGTCCCGGTTTCCTCCTGGGACTGTAAATACTAGGTACTTTACCGATTTCCATCCCACATATCGTTGCGATGTGGAGAGGAGGAGTCTCTGCAGACTATTCTCAGAGACACTTGAAGTTCAGCTTCTGTGCTTAGCTCATCCCAATTACAACAGCTTTATGGAGAGGATTACTTTTAGGCCCTTTCATCTTTCAACACAACAACACTGTTGTCCATATCTCCTGCTAGTTTGAATCGTTTGAATTGTTCAACTAAAGATAGTTTCTTGAAGTTTCACACCATTTTCCTCTTATTTTCTTTGTTATGATATTTTGGGCAAATAATTAAAATAAGTTATTGTCATAAATGGCTATGAATAAATACGACTCATAATGAAACGGCCCAAATCAGGCTGAGATTGAAAGAAACAACAGTCTTCTGTCACAATCTTTTATTAAACAAACATGTATGTTTTCTGTAAATAGAAATAATAAATGTAAATAATAATGTGAATTGTTCACTGTAAACTGCTTAGGCCAAAGGAATCTGATGGATTGTACAGACGGACCAGCAGAACACAAACCTGACCTGCTCTGAGCTGATGGAACACTTAAAGGACTCAATAGTTTAAACATCAGTAAAGGTCAGTCCACAGATCTGCAGCGGCAGCCGAGGCTCAGTGATGATGTTTCTCAGACGTATCGCACAATAAGCCTCATGCACAATTTCATCTTTTATAATTTGGTCATAGTAGAGTGAATCTGGTTGTAAATGTGTCCTAAATGTCAGATTTAGAATCTTCCTGAAAATGATTTATATCTGAGCAGCATTCTTTGAAGTGAGACTAATATAGATTTTTTTGTTTTGTCCCATTGCAGGTTTTGCAATTTGGTAGTAGAAACCTTTAAATGAATGAAACAGGACAAACACAAAAAACCCTCACCCAGGACCTATTGACCCTCCTCTTATCAAGTAGGGCCCGAGATCCCACTGCAATTTAACATCTGTCCCCAGATTGTCTACTTTTGTCCTCCTTTTGGACGGCAGGCAGGACGACAAAATTTGTTTTTCTCTGTGAAGATTTTTTAAATTATACTTATAATTAGCCATATGCTAAAACAATCATATAATATGTGCTGATATAATGCTGCTGTTCATGTGGTAAATCAAGCACTGATTTCCCTTCTTTAGCATTGCATAGATTGAATTTCTAATTTGAAATTCAACTAAATCATTCATTAGACATCATCTAATTACTTTATCCAACTGTCCTGATCAGTTTAGTCCCTCTCTGAAATTATTTAGATAAGATGAGAAACTACTTAACCAAAATGAGGAAAAAGAGAAGGGTGGAGAGAGAAAGGTGAAATTCAGTGGAAAAGTGGCATAATTAGCTCAATCACTCCTTTTGTTTTGTTTCTGGCTGTTTCAAAATGTGTCACACATGTACTTTAATGCAGCTACAAATCAATTGTAAATCGAAATATATGTTTTTGATCTAACTTGGATTAGTTGACTATTTTGTTTGTTGTTTTGATTAAGGTTCCAGACAGATCAGCCGACAAGGACTGTTGTTGGATGAAAACAACCAGGACTTTCAGACGCAGTTCAAGAGGGCTAGAAAGTCCAGTGGGGATGCAGGAGACAAAGGTAACACATTATCTGTTCTACTCTTATCTACTGTGATTTTTTGAGAAATACTGCTCTGTGCCCCTCTTATCTCAACCAGGTGAACTATCCGAAAAGAAGCAGGAGCATCGGAGTTCTGACTGAAGATGTTTCACTTTGCCAAAACCCATCATGGATGCATTTGCACTTTTAAATACCAAAAGCAGCACCAAAACAGAAAAAAACATATCTTTATATAGGCTAATTAAGGTGTGCGCGCATCCATGTACACATGCATGCACATATAGTATAGCCCATGTTGTGGAGAGATCAGTGCTTTTCATCGTCATGTCAGCAGTTTTTCAAAGCTTAAGAGAGCATTTTTTTAATGTTTATAGCCGTAATCTGTCATCAGTGGATTGACCTTTTGGGGTAATGTTGGTCCACTTGTGACGTGACTGTATTCTTATCTATCTTTGCGTGCATGGACCTTTCCATTTTACTAATATGTCTCACAGAACAGAGCAGTCAAAGTAATTTCTTCCTGTCTTTGGGTTCACTGATTTTGTCCTTGTTTTGTTTTGTATGTATTTATGCATAAATATTCTTAAATCACACCACAGCCTGCCACGACCCGGAACAGCTGTGCTCAGAAGATCATCGACTGGTGAATGCTTAATCTTGGCTTTCAGATTAAATCGGTCGGCCTCCATATCCGTCCTGCCAGCTCAGTTTGCTGTGTGTGGGACATTTCCACGTGTTGTTTTTTCCCCATCAGAGGAAATGCTCTCGGTACCTGTGGGGACAAAAGAGAGCAGACAACTGCCCTTTTTGTCAGAGAGGCAGCTTGTTTAGCGGTTAGAAAAATCATGTATTGTGGATCATCTTTGTTGATCCGCAAGTGCAAGTACGTGTCAGTGTCTGGTGCTGCTTTCATTGAGTTTGAGTGAAAGTGTGTCACGTCCCTTTCCCGGTAAGGTTTTTGAAATTCCTCTAAAACAATAATATGTATACTGGTAACCTCTCAATAGAGTTTGTACATTTTAGAGGTGATCGTTAACATTCTCTTAATTTGGAATTTTAAAACATTTGTTTCTGGCCAGCTCATCTAAAGAAAGCGTATCACAAGTCAAAAAGGAAATATCATCATCTAATGACTCCATACATAAATCTTGTCTGACCCCCAGGTTGGGAACCAACCATCACACTATACATTCATTCGGTGTCTGCTCATCTGAAGCTGTTAGGGGGTTATTTCCTGTGACAGTAAGTCTTGCTCATACAATGACAGCAATGAAGGCCCTGCAGCCACAGTGCTTATACCGAGGAGAGAAGCTGATGCGGGAAGTGTGAGGGGAGAGTGGATAGGGGGCAGAAGAGGAGGCGGGACTTGGAAGCAGATGCTGGCACAGCAGTGCAGCATGTTAGCCACCACCCCCTCCCTCATCAAAGCCCCTCCCATTCCCTGCCTCTCTGTCGCTCCCTCACTTATTGCTGGTCCCTCTCATAATCTTTGTCCACTATCTGACCACCCAGAAAGGCTGACGAGTGGATGGGAGTGCTGTCTCCCAGGAATTTTCTGCTATTATTCTTCAAATCATGGGATAGAAGCGGGATCTGTCCCAGTGGTTTCTACTGTTGGGCTGGTTTGGTTGGACTACCGTGGAGCTCTTGGTGCACTTTACCTCCCATCTCCTCAGGGTTTCACCACAGGAATAGCGTGCGTGTGTGTGTGTGTGTGTTCGTCCAGCATGAGGTCTGCATCAAATATTCTTGAGTCTCGCAGCAGGAGTGGATCATCATGAGAGGGGGTCACCATCAGCGAGGCTGTGGGTGTCACCACCTGTTCAGAAAACTCCTCAGTAAATGTGGCTGCTGCTCTGTTCGGGTCAGAGGTACGTCGATGCTCTTCCTTCTTTTACTGTAGCTGTTCTCTGACTGGGGAGTACGGTCTCACTGATGCTTCTACACAGTGTTTGGCAATGTTTGGGGATGCACTCGGTTGTTATTTATGTTATATATAATACATCACAGCCAATGGTTGTTTTCAAGTCAAAGCTAATTTTATAGAAACTTCCTTATTCATGTTTTTTGCAGTACCTTTTTTTAATCATTATTAATGTTTTCTATTCATTAATCCCCCAGACTCATTGTGCTTGTCTCACTAATAAGGCAGCAGCATTTGTACAAAGCTTTCAAATAAAAAAGCGTGATTATTGTAATCATTATTATTGGTTATATGAAACAGCCAGAAAACGAAATCTGGTGTTGTTTACAAAATCATATGCTTCTTGACGTGTGTTCTTCATATTTACACACGTCAATAAAAAAGTATGAAATAAAAACACATATTCACTATTACAAACTCTGACATGCTACTCGCTGGACTAATTGTTTTTATTCCTTTTGTGAATTCCGATTAGCTCCCACAGAGTGGTTGCTCGTATTCAAGGCCTCCCGGTTTATATTATCAACACAATGGGTGTCCTGTTATTGTCTCCACCAAGAGACTCCGTGAGGAAGTGTGGGACTTTGTGTCTGTCTGCGGTTAATGTTCTGCATTCTGCCGCAGCAAACTGCAAACGATTTTGGGTGCCCAGTTATGGCTCAATGCTCACAGACCTTTTTATGGTTGCGGTGACTCAAACTCAACTCAACTCAAAAACTCCTTCTCTGCCATTGACTGCCTGCAGCCACCTCATGTCTCTTAAATGGTCCCCAGCCGGAAAGGGCAACTAGAGATAACACAGTTGAGTGCGTCTCCCACCTCAAGCCACAGAGGCACAGTGGAAGAAAACCCTTGGACGTTTGTTTATGGCAAAAACAGTTACTTGTATTGTTAAGCAACCAACATGTGACAGAACTAAACACACAGATGACTGCATCACCGCTGCTCGGCTGCCACATATATGCTCCCCCGGGCCCAGAGACACAGATATTCTGTGCCTTTTTATTTATTTATTGAATATTAATATTAGAAATCTGCTAAGATTAAAATGGGAGGGTATTTTTGTGTGAGATGTGCAAATAAAAGACTAACCTGATGGATATCACACGTTGCATGTAGTGCATGTTTATATGCATCCATATATATGGATATATATGTATCACATGAACCACAACATAAAATAATTGGCGGGAGCAGAAACACATTGAAACACACTCTTGCAGAGTTAATTGAACCAAAGTTGTTTAACCTGCATCAATGAAAGTTTGTTTTTTCCTGTTTTTCACTCAAATCCTCCAAAGTAAATCCAGTACAATCTTTTCATACACAAAAAAGTCCCTACACAGTAAATCCAAGCTGTGCACTCAGTGCTGGACTACTTCAGCTCACTCTAACAGGGACATTCCCTACGGAACATCATTAACGTTATTGATCGATAGATTGTTAGGTTGATAGATAGATATATGTTGTTTATGCTGCTTCCTGATCAAAGAAATATGTTTCTGTTAGTACCTGTTCAAATATATAAATGTTAACTTGCTTGTTATACTGTTATGATCAGGTCTCTGGCCTCTCAGGTTAACTTGTTTTTCTATAATAATCTAGTGAAAACCTTAATACCAGTATCTGCAAACCAAATGTTATTGCACTTTTGTTCAGCAGTGCGTTTGAAATATAGGTGCACACTATGTTTAAATTCATTCTCAACAGAAATCAGATATGGAGTCACATAAGGATCTTTGTTGCTCTCAATATGCTTCTGATTCACTTTCTCAACATTTCTCTCTCTGGAAAACTAGGCTTTAGTACATAGAAAGACATGCACAATCAATGTTAGCACAACTTAGAAGTGGTTTAATGTGTTTGACAGGAGAAAAAAGACAAATCTACAAAATATTAAGGATAACAGACTAATGTCCACGACTTAAGAGTCTTTGACTCTCAAATGCGCTTAGCTTAGTAAGCCTTAGCTTGGCTGCTAAAATGCAACTACATTTTCTAATTGGAGGTAGAGATAAAACCTAGATTATTTTATGACCCAACTGATCTGTGGTTGTAGTGAAATTGTTAACCATCCTTTTAGAATTATTAATGAATAATATTGTCATTTGACTAGACTTTTGGAGTTCAATTTGTGCAAACTATACTAAAATAATGATGATAATATTCATTTACACTGGTAAAGACTTTTTATAGACTATAATTTTCATATCAGATGCATTTTTCTCGACTGCCTGTAAAACCTGAGTGAGAATTATTTTAAACTGCACCTTCACAGAAGACTCGGCTTGAGAGCAGAGGCAGCTGTACCCACACTCACTCTGGAACGTGCACAATCCCCGACACACAGAAAGGTCCCGTTAAATCCTCTGTTGTTCCAGTTGCTCTGGGAGTGATTACAGAACAGCTCTTCTCTGAGCTCTTTCTTTGGACTACACATTACTACTATAATGTGGTGTCAGTATTGCAGTCATACAAAGTATCTTCCAGCCGACTCTAAATGTATCCTTTCTGTTCATGACTCACTGTGGGTGAATTACAATAAGGAACGCTGCTCGCCTTTTCTGTTTGTCTTTCTTTCAAAGTCGATCTGCCTGTGTGGTTGGAGGAATACTTTTTCTGGGGAGCTTTTTCCGGGCCGGGTAACTCCTTCCCTCTTCCGTTTTTACATTTTGAAACATTCTTAGTGCCGTTTTTGTTTTTAAATGATGGGAATGGGGGAGAGTTTGGGGAGGAGGGTGGGGAGGGGCGCGAGAGAGCACTTTATGTGTGGGGGGGAAGAAAAGGATTAGAAAGGGGGGGGGGTTACATTCAAGGGGGTTTCCTACACAGCGAAATTGTTCATTTTCCGGTGTTTGGCAAAAGTGTTGAAGTGCAGTTGAAATCACACTGCAAAAAGTTGATTCAACTCTTGACAGAGTCAATTGTACGAAAGAGCTGGAGTCCTTATCCAGTGTCAATATCAGATTCATTTGTACACTTAGTAGTTAAATTAACTCCAGGAACCATAAGGTTGGCAGTTCAAATCCTGGCTGCTCCATGTCTCGTGTTGAAGTGTCCCTGAGCAAGACACCTGACCCCTAAGTCCTCTCTTAAATAAAAAGCAGGGGAAAAACGTGCAAAGTAAATTCAATTGAATAAAAGGATCAGCTGGTATATTTTGGTTTAGGTTCTTTCTCTTCCTGCTTTTAAAAAGGTCATTGTCCAGTTCTCCAGGACGCTCTGCTGTCTTACTAGAACAGGAAGCATCTCCAGATCCTTTTTAGAATGAAAGGTCTCTTAACTTTTTTCACCCGTGGCGATGTCTCGAGGAGAATGAATGGTTTTATGGGATTTGGAGTCTTTATTCGTATGACTGGATCTCTTCAAGGCATAGAAATGATACGAGCTATAAAAAATGATCAACAAAAAGCCGCTCCACTCTAGGAGGAAAACTAAAGGCTTTTTAACTTTATCCGAATATCGAGTAAGCACTACGAAAGATTATCAAAACAAAATTCACTCCTTGAGGAGGAAACAAAGGACTAAAAAAACATTAACCGTTAAACTAAATCTATGATACAAAACTACAAAATCAAAATAACTCAACAAAGCCGAACACAATGGCGTGGTTCTCGAAGCTTGAAAAACTGGTGAGGCTGGAGCGGACGCTAGTTTGGGGCTCCCTTTTCTGTTCTTGTGTCTTTCTAATACCCCACCACCTCCCTTTTTAAAACTCCTTCATTCTGCAATCTCTCTCATGGAGAGTTGCATGCTCTTTGGCTCAATGTCCAACAGCTATAAAGTCAGAGAAGGGCCTCCAGATAAAGTATGTTTGGGAGAAATGTACTTAAACGCCAACAAATCTCGCCGTCTTATTACACACACATCACTGAGGTTCAGAAACTGCCATGACTCACTCTCCATCAGTCCACCAGTAAGGTCATCACTGCCAGTAAGCGAAGACGTCAACATGATGACTAACAAGCACACAAGTGTTGAGTGTGCTTGATTTAGGAGTGCGTCTGGTTATTAGCTAGAGTGAAAACAAAGCATTGACATCAACAAAAGTATTAATTATCAATAGGACAACAACTGGCACCCATCGTGAAAACAGGGATTTATAACCAATTTATAAATCAAGTCTCAGAATTGATGTTCAGTCATTATGAGAAATAGACGCAGGTTGAAGTTCTAGCGGATTATGATAAAATACAGTAGTTATTACGCAGCAATTGACGGCCTCTGCGGCCTGAAAATGTGCGTAATAGTTAAACAGAGCAAACAAAAGTTGAACTGCACACGGATATTTGTGCAGCATTTAGCAGAGCTTGGCAGTTAAACGCACACACTTTATTCGATTAATCACTCAAATCGAGTCAGGTCATCAGGTCACGTTGACCATTATGCACCATTAAGAGTCAGTTCATAGAAAACGCTGATGTGTTTGCATAAAAGCCTGCAGAAAGGTCCACTTTTTGTATCCTTTCAACAGATGGTAAGGTGGTTAATCTCGATAGATAAAAAACAACAGCACCAGATGTCTGTCTTTGTTTAGGATGATAACACACAATATGTGTTTATTTGAACGTCTGGACATTTGCACCAACTTGTTCTGTTAACTTAATTCTGTCATGTTCTTACTTGAGTCACAGGTTTATGGTGCCAGACACTAATTGTTATTTTTAACTGCGGGGAGGTTTGTTGGGCTCTCCATTCATTTGTGTGGTTTTTATTGGTAGACCAAAGATTAGGTTGTCTTGCTTTAAAAGATGGTTCTAGATGCTACGCTGTAATTATCCAATTATTCAGCGTCCCTTAGAAAGTTTATGCCGTGGTGATGGAAACGATTCCCCGGGCGTTTTGGAGGTTGAGGAATACTTTGCTTTATGACTGAATATCTTCAAAAGCTCGGCAGTTAAACATACACACTTTGTTTGATTAACCACCCAAATCGAATCAGGTAATAAGTCCAGGTGGACGTTTTAGCGAAATTTGAAGAATTTTTTTTCCTCAGATATTGAGCCGAGAATGCTCCATATGCACAGACAAAAGAAATAGAACCGCACTACCACAAGTATTCCCATTCAAATCAATGCGCTAGACATTGTTACGTGAGTAACTAATGCGACTGGTGACGTTTCACAGTAACGGTTGAGGAGTAATGTTACGAAGCAGAGAACCAGTCAATAAAATAGTAAACCCTCTTCTAAGTGTGTTAGTACACCAATGATAGATCATGTGATTACTTATATCTAAAAGGGGATTTTGTGGCAATGAACTGTTACATAAATATGACCCAAATCTGCAGTACCCGCTCTGCAGAGCTTTTTTGCGTCTTTCAGCTAATTTTGGGGAAATCATTTCGGGCTGCAGGAGCTGTTATCAGCAAACATATTAGACATACTGACAGTACACCTACTCATTAATATAATAAACTAAATCAAAACTATGACCCTAACCAGACTTCCAGTAAGGGTGGATAGACTAGAGGGAGTTTATTGGAGTAGCGAACAAAAAGTAATCGTGTTGGTTGACAAGTTCGGGCGATCAGCAGCCGCACTGTGGGACAAAGAAGGCACGAGGAGCAGATGTGCTGCTTTACTTTAAAAACTGTAACTGGGTCAGTTGTCAACATCCAGGATGTATTTGTAAATGTATCTTCAAGTCCCTGGTGTACCTCAGTTTGGCGGTACCTACCGAACCATTTTGTGATGCAGCACATAGCGGGAAGCAGTATCGGCTAGCAGCAACAAACGCAGTTAGAAGAAAGACTATTTCAAAGTAAATAACATTAAATACCAAAGACTGTCAAGTAAAAGCAGTAACCACTGTAGTAAAGACTACATGTTGAAAAGCCTTCCTGGGGTTTAGGAATGAAACCACTCATTAGTGTAATGTGTAGCAAAGAGTCGCTAATGTGTGTGTGTGTGTGTGTGTTAATGTGTGTGTGAATGTCTGGCTTTTTAATTCTCTTAGTCCATCACTCTGCTGGATTGATAAACCGTGCGTCGGCGCTGTTTGGCCGTGTGCTGTAGACAACATGAAAGAAGCTGATTTGTAGTTTTCAGCGATGAAAGCGGTGTGGGCTGAGAAGTATTTTCCCTGGCAGTATTCCAACAGGATGTGAAGCAGTCTTAACCCCAGAAACGACTGGGCTTGAATGCAATAATGATCATTTCCTACGTGAGCATGTACGGAATATGAAGCACAAACATTAGTTACATCGCACACGCAAAGAAATGAAGGCCTGGCAGGTGACATGTTTAGAGCTTTAGACATGTTTCACCTCGATGAGGTGTCACCGCCCGAGTAATTCCTGCTGTTGCTGACGATGACCATTTATGGGGTTTTAATGGGGAAGATGGAACTCTCCCAACCTTCTGCTTTAACAGATAGGGAGACCTTATTTGAATTAGGAAGCAGCACAATTATGTTCTTGCTTTCATCCCACACCGTAATTATTATTATACCATATGTGAGAAGAAGCATCTTGTCTTTATACACATTAAGTGCAACAGACAGGATTACTGTCAGGAAAAACTGACCCATGTTTTATTCCTGTTTGTTGCCTTAATCCATCCATCTGTATCTGTAATGTGGCGCATGAGAAACACCACTAAAGAAGTTACACAAAACCCAACGTGGTCACAGAAAATAACTTCCCGGACATAAGTTGGATTTTACCATGCGCTTTCATGGACAGATCGACAAGAAAAAAATGTTGAACATCATTTTGATTTGCGCAAATCCTGCAGGATGCATTCACAGCATGGATGCCAGCAGGCTGACTGTACACACGCGCTGGAGTCCGGATGATGGTCCAGCTGTTCTCTGTGGGAAAATGACACATTACATAAGTGTCATAAGCAAACATGACGTGTTGCTCAGCTCGGAGGTGACTTGGACGTCACGTTGACCATTATGCACCATTAAGAGCCAGTTCATAGAAAACGCTGATGTGTTTGTATAAAAGCCTGCAGAAAATTCCACTTTTTGTATCCTTTCAACAGATGGTAAGGTGGTTAATCTCGATAGATAAAAAACAGCACCAGATGTCTGTCGTTGTTTAGGATGATAACACACTATATGTGTGTATTTGAACGTCTGGACATTTGCACCAACTAGTTCTGTCATGTTCTTACTTGAGTCACAGGTTTATGGTGCCAGACAGTAATTGTTATCTGCGAGGAGGTTTGTTGGGCTCTCCATTCATTTGATATCATATCTAGCGGCTCGCTAACATCGTCATTGCTAGCATTTTAGCATGCTGATTTTAGCGTCACGCCACAAACCGCTAACTCCTTCTCCTTATCTCCATCAATTATTTGCCTTTTTAGAATTGCTACATCTACAGACCTACCCTCATCCTGTCCCTCTCCATCATCCCATTACACAGATGGGTTTGTGTTGTTCACTGCATGAAGTACCAGGCAATGAATTAGTTTTATTACAGTCTTTTTTTAATTCAACCTACTTTACTGGTCTGCATTGTTTAGTCTGAGGCAAGAGACTTTTGTCTGACATAATATTACATAAATGTAGAGTGCATGTATTTTAATAAAATCCTTACAAAAGATTGTCATCAATGCGGTGAACTTATTATACAGTATGTGTGCCTGGAGAAGTTTTTGCTGAACGATCTGACATTAAGAGGAACTGAAATGAGAAAAGCTCATTATTTAACACTTTACTGTCAATGGGACGTCTTGTTCAATGGCAGTATCAGGAGGTTTAGGCAAATGGATGACCCAGATATCCACTGGCCTCTTGAAAGCTTGTTATTATGATTGCAGCTTACATAAATGTGCTGACAGGAAATAGTGGCTTCCGGCACGAGTCCAGATTGACAAAATGAGCCCCCTGAAAGATTCCGATTTGCTGAGATCAGCAGAACAGATTGAAATGTAAATGCTAAAGTCGATGATTAAAACAGTGTGGTAGACCATCTCGTACCAGTTTCCATAGTCGAGAAACGTGGAATCTGGTCCAGTCTGAGTTGTGGACGGGGTCAGTTCAGTGCAGATGAGATGCGATCAGTTATAAAAGATTCAGGGTATTGAATTCTTTCTCAATGATCATAATGCTCGAAAGACCAATGTCCTGTTATCTGGGTGTCAGTTGAGACAGAGGACATAAGGTGCACCAATGCAAAAGAAAACAATGCGTGTGTCACTGGAAACCTGATCAGTTATGCTTTACTTCAACCGCCTCTTCACTTCAGCATTGTCTCTTAAACAGCTTATGAAAGACATCTAAAAATGCTTTTCATCAGAGATGAATCAGAGCTTCGGTTCATGTCACAGAATTTATTGGTTTACGTTTTTTTTTTTTTAAATGTCTGACAAATGGACAGAGTCAAGCAGCCTTATGTAATCTCCACTTAAACGTACGAGTCCTTCCCTCGTGAGAACTGAGGTACAGTAGCTGCAGCTACTAAAGTTACAGTTAGAGCTTAACACAGGAAATTGACCAACATTTTTGTGCAGAAATCTGTCTGCAGGATTTGACCTGAAAGTTTGTACCCCACAAATAACATCTGTATGTTAACCCATTCCTTTTCTGTTTTTTCCTTGTCTCTGCAGCAGAGTCGTACTCTGTGGCAGGCAGTACCGGCAGCATCACCCAGTCATCGGTGGGCCATGTGCCCCACCATGCCTCCGGCGGCTCCAGCCCCTGCTCACACTCCTCGGCTGGAGGAACACGGCACCCTGTCAGCACTCTCAAGAAATGGCTCACCAATCCCGTCCGCAAGCTGGGCGCTGACGCCGGAGGAGGAGCGGGAAGAACGGAGAAGCAGATGTGCAGTTTAGACAGGAGGCAGCCACCATCGCTACTTTCCCAAAGTGAACCTCAGCCGAGGCCTCAGGAACCGCACAACAACAACACTGTCCTCCCGTCGGGAGATATGGTGAGACTCTAGAGAAGGCTCCTGAGGAAATACTTTTTATGTCCTTTTATTTGTAACGGTTGTTGCGTTTGTGTTGTACAGGTGTGGACAGACGGTGTGTCGAGTCCTACGACTCCTCCAACACAGACGCCCTGCCAGAGACACTTATCTGACCTCCCGCAAGACACAGACACTCAGTCCTCAGTAACGTCTCTATTCTGCTCTATTCTAGTCCATTCTGTTCTATTCAAAGGCCTCAGCAGATAAACTGCAGTTGCAGGTCAGCCAACTTGTCAAGATGGAAATTCTGTGTCACATAATAATATGCATTAGAAAATAAGAGGAAAACTGAGTCGCATAACCAAATATTGCGCTCCCTGGTGGCTCGACCTGAGCGCAACATAAGGGCAACAGGTCAAGGCAAGTGAGGCGTTAGCCAAACAAAATCCAATACATAAAACGTAACAAAAAAGTATTTATTTTTCAAAAGAGCAACACAGGGATCAACAAGGACTGTCAGTGGCACCAAAGAAAAGATTATAAACAACCCCCCCCCTTCCATTGACCGGGGCTTAGCACCCAAAAATACAGTGGGTGGTGCTCACTCTAGCCTAGGGTACAGGTACACCTACGTGTATGCAATATGTAAACCCCGGAGTATCTTACCTGTCCTCATTGACCCTGTGCACACAACCAAAAGATATTACAAAAACACCAGTAGGCTGTTACTAATTCAATTTTAACACAAGCCAGTGCTCTTCAAACCGCGGGCCCAGCTCAACACAAAAGAGCCTCCCCCACTGAAAACAAACATTGACTCTATAAAGGGGAATGGTTGATGGGAGATCTGGAACAGGTGTGGTGATTGGATGAGGGGAACCAGGTGTGCACATCTGTGAAGTGAGAGAATAGCTTCAGGGTACCGGATAGCTACACACATTATAGTTAATAGGAACTGGTTACCGGATTTCGTTTTTGGCAGAGGGCCAGCACAATCCACCAATACATGCTGAAACGGTTCCCCTATAGCCGGGACCGGGTGAAGAGGCGCAGGCTTAATAACCTGATTACGCTTCACCGTGACCTGACATACATGGCATGTACAGTAAAACAAAGACACATCTCTCTTCAAACCTGGCCAGAAGAATTGTCGCAGCACTCGGTCATAGGTCTTCGTAATACCTAGATGACCAGACCAGAGATGTTCATGAGCCAGAGATAAAACAGACTGTCGGTACTGTGTAGGAACAACAATTTGACTGACATTACTCCACTTGTTATCGAAATCCACGCGAGATTTCCATCTCCGCATCAGGAGATCATTTTCCATAAAATAATCGATTTCTTTATTTTTAGCGCTCTCCGGAGCAAGAGCCGCAGCAAAACACTTGGCTAAAGTAATGTCCTCCTTCTGAGCAGCAATTAGATTACTTCGAACCATGGGCAACCTAGTTGTCTCTTTGGTGGACGGATCACACTGAACCTTAGGCTGGACACTCGGCTCAGCAGTAGACTGAGGAAACACAGGGGAAACAGTCTGGCCATTCAACTCAGTCGCGAACAGAGTATCCGACAAAACAACTGCTTCACCCAAGCTACGTGCTTGAGCACGGGTGACCACACACACAGGGAACACTTCAGGGAAGTCCTGAGCCAACACATCAGGCTGCAAGATCTCAGGTCGTTCTAGAATTTCTAAAACTGGCATAACTTTACCACCAGCGATGTCATTCCCTAGCAGAAATGTGATGCCTCTAACGGGCAAAGACGGGCGCACCCCCACTTTAAACACTCCATTTCCAGAGTATCACCCTCCATCTCCGGGGCTAGTGACACTGGAGCCACTAACGCACGCACTAAACCAACCTCTTTTGGTCGTTTGCTTGGCTGTGACAGCTTGCGTTTCAGCATAAAACAGTCATTCTTTATGTGACCTGTTTGGTGACAGTAGAAACACTCTCGTTCCTCAGTGGAGCGGAGTGGCGATGGCCGTGGCGGACTAGACCGCATTCTAGCCGAGGCAGAAGGAGTAAAAGACCTACTCTCATATCGGAGAGTTCCAAACGTTTGTTTGTGTGATAACACAAACTCATCAGCAAGCACAGCAGCCTGTGCTAATGTCTCCACCTTTTGCTAATTGAGATACGTCACAATTCGATCAGACAGACTATTCTTGAATTCTTCGATGAGAACTAATTGCGACGGAGTGTCAAAATTAGTCACGTTGCTCGCCTTGCACCATCTATTAAACAGAGTCTCCTTCTCGCGGGCGAACTCAACAAATGTTTTGCGAGACAATTTTTTTAATGTTCTGAACTTTTGTCGATATGCTTCAGGCACTAGTTCGTAGGCACGAATCACAGCCGTCTTAATTGTTTCATAACACAAACTATCTTCCGAAGATAGTGCAGCTAAAATCTCCTGTGCCTTCTCTGTCAGCTTACACTGAAGCAGTATTGACCAGACCTCTTTTGGCCATTCCAGTGAGGTAGCTACTCGCTCAAAAGCAGTAAAATAAGAGTCTACTTCCGCCTCACGAAATTGAGGAACCAACACAATATTTCTGCTCACCTCAAAACCTCTTGTAGGAGCGGAGGGATCCAGGTGTATGGACCTATTAGGGCTAGGAGATGGAGCTATACTCAACGCAGCAGCAGCAGCTTCTAGTTCTAGGCGCTTTAGCTTCACCTCTTTCTCTGCTGCTATTTCTAATGCCATTCCCGCCTCAATTCCTAACTCCATCTTCCAAATAGCCAACCTGTGACTATATTCTGCATCCCGCTCTTTCTCCTGCGCCTCAAATTGCAAACGTGCTAGGCGTAGCTTATGGCGGGCCTCATCGCTTACCTTAGGTGAGGAAAACGGAGAAAATCGGGGCGCCGTACGAGGAGGCTTCAGATCTAAATCAGGGGCCGCATCTAAAGGAACGGGCTTATCCGCAACCAGCCCTCCATCAACTACCTCTTCCTCACAACTGTCCTCTGCGCTGGAAGACAAGGAATGTGAGATAGCGGCCTCATTAGCAGTCGCACTGCTGTCCGTACCAAGCACTTTTTTGCTTACCAACATATTTACAACCGCTTCCTTTAATTCTGCCTTTAGCAGAACTGGTGAAAATGCAAATTCAAAATGTGCCGCAATGGCATACAAATCCTTTTTTGTGCAGTGATCAATCTGCTCCACAGAAGGATCATCAAGAAAACCCTGAAGATCAATCATGCTCATGTTGTCTTTAACTCAAATTAACCAATACTACCAGCCTATTGGACATGTGTACTGCACACCAACACTCATCCAACCTGTTGCTTACAAAGGATCAAAAGATCCCGGACGAGCCCCCATTTTATGTTACGTTCCAAGCCAAGGTAGATTTTTTTGGGGATTTAAGTCTATTTGGATCAGTATTTAGATCAGTGGTGCTCTCGCCACAAAATTCTTCTCTCTCAATGATTGTAATTCTTTCAGTAGAGTCTCATGAGTTATCAATGTATAAATAATCAAACAGACTTTAATGTCAAGACAACAACCATAAAACATGCATCATCCCTCTATACCATGTTCACCCTTATTGCTATGTGAAATACAGCTATTTCACCAATTGTTTCAAATGAAGAGCACATATTTTTGCGTTTTACGGCATATTTTAACGAACACAGACAGGCATAACCCTACTCTCCTAGTAACTCTACACTAGTGGATACTCTTTGTGAGGCCCTGTGGAGTGGAATCAAACCTCCGGGCTTTTCTGGCCGGCATCTGGAAGTAATCAACTAGCAGAGCAGTCTGAAACAGTCTGAAACGGGTTAGGGTTCGGGGGTCCGGAGTGTCCCTTCACAACACCCGAGCAGCCCCAGCTAATTGGCCAAGGTTCAATCCAAGGGCTCCTCGCTTGCCTCCTCCCCCACCACGGCATCAATCTGTAGTTCCTTCCTTTCTTGCCCAGCCAGTGGTCCAGTTCCTATAGCATTGTTTGACATGTTCTGCTTGATAGATGACTTGGAACATTTTAATTTCAGAGACACCTGAAACCTTCTCGTGCGGTTACTAAATACAAAAAAATATTATTAAAATGCCAATTCATTCTCAAACAAAACTAAATGAACCAATTATTTCTTTAAAGCTTCTGGTAGTCTCAGGTACAGAGTCTGACTCATAAAACTTTTGTTATTTTCCCATCGATGAATAACATTTTAATCAGGAAGCTTGAGAGGAGCAGGTCAAAAGATGTTGTTACTTTTCAACAAACTTTACAGTGTTACCCCCATTTTCCAGTCTTTATGCTAAGCTAGGCTAACTTGATATAAGCACCAGATATCAATTCTTCAGACACATTTCACAACAGCCACCCTCAGCATCACTAAAAAGGGAGTATAACATTGTTCCACAGATGAAGGGCTTGATACTACTGCTAAACTTTATACCATACTTCAGCAGAGGCTCAGAGGGCGCTTTAGATGGAACTCATGGATTTTGAGTTTGAGTACTTGATGCCCAGTGGTAAGACATCACTCCTTCACTCAAGTAAAAGGACCATACAAAATTGTAAGGATGCTTTATAAGGTGATCACAAGGGTCAAAAGAGGACGAGCCATTGGTTTCATTATTAGCAATTTGCTGTATTTTATAAGCTTAACAGGTAGCTATGCCTTCTGAACAGTACCTGAGTAAATGCACCTGTGCCTCACAGATCCTGCTACTCTTCTGTCGGCCTCCGCTTACTGAAAGCTGCTCTTGTTTGTCTGTTGCAGAGTCAGAGATCCAGCATCAGCACTTTCCAAGGCAAAGACGTCTGCTCTGCGAGTGACGACTCAGGGAGCCAGTGGTCCGGCGCAGTGGACAGCGAAGAGGAGAGAAACATTGCCCTTGAGAAGAGCATGCAAGTGTTGACCTCTGCTTTAAATGAGTTGTTTGTTTACATTTTGGGAAAAGCACTCATTTCCTTTCTTGCAGAGCGCTAGACCAAAAGCCATGTCACGTTCGTTTAATAAATATGAGGCTAAAACCGGCAGACAGTAAGCTTAGCTTAGCAGTAAGTCTAGAGACAGAGTGAAACAGCAGGGCTTGTCCAAAGGTAAAGTCTGCCCACCATCATCTCTAAACACAGTAAATTCTATTTGAATTATTAGATTAATAATTAGAATGAAAAAATACAGTATATAAACGACAACTTGTGGTTTTATGAGAGGAGAATTTTTGTGTCCGTGGAAAGTGACTTGACCCCTGTGCTTTTCACTGTGATGTGGTCATGCATCCTGCACAGACTACTCGCCAAATGATCACAGTTTGACAGACGGGATATGATATCAAAAATACTATATTTGACTAATTACTAATATTTAAATAGTGAGCTTAGGATGTGCTGCAAGGCAGTATTAGTTTATTTTGGACTGAGTCCAGCTGATTCCCCCTTTACAGTTCTCATACCAAGCTAACCGAGTTGTCTCCCGTTAAGACCTGAGAGTGATATCAACCTTCTCATCTAACATAAAAATTGATTAACCATATTTCCCAAAATGTTGAACATCCTTTACCGTGTAAAATACATTTTCTTGTTTTTATTCTGCCAAAAATTTACATTTACATTTCTCTATGCTCTTTATTTGCTGTTTGAAACCCGTCCGTCAGATATGTGCTGACGGAGCTGATAGAGACGGAAAGGTTGTATGTGGAAGATCTTGGGCTCATAGTGCAGGTGGGTCCCTCTTTCAGCTTTTAAATAACCTTCTCATTTCTACATAACTGAGATCCCTTATCAGTAATATGCTGTAACATTCACGTCTCAAAGCAAGAGACAATTTTCCCATCTGGAAACCTCTGATTTAATCGGTGAGGTGTGTATGCGTGTGTTTGTGTGTGTGCGTGTGTGTAGGGCTATATGGGCACTATGGTCAATCAAGGAGTTCCAGAGGACCTGAAAGGAAAGGACAGGATTGTGTTCGGAAACATCCAGCAGATCTATGACTGGCATAAGAAGTGAGTCACACTTCTACTACTTAGCTTGTGTCATGTCACTCGTGGCTGTTTTATTCCATGTGTGTGTGTTTGACTGGATGATATTCCTCCCTGACCTTCTCTGCTTCGTGTCACGCAGTTATTTCCTGGGAGAGTTGGAGAATCGTGTGGCTGATCCAGACAGCCTGGCCCAGCTCTTCATCAAGCACGTGAGTCTTCAGACCAGTGAGTTACAGTTTGCAGGAAGGTTGCAGCCGTCTCACTGATCACAGCTCTGACTGTGTTTGAAGCCTTGGGCCCTCGCCATCCAGATGTGTTTTCATGTAGCAGATTGGTTTGTCTGCAGGTGCTGCTGCAGAATGAACAGTCTTGTTACCGTCAGCTCTCAGAGTTGACTATCAGCCTAAAAGATATTCCAAAGAGGCGTAATTTATCTGGAATTACAGACCTGAGAGCTCTATAAGATATATTTACGGAACCCTTGAAGATTTTCAAAAGCGGTTGTCACACCACACAAGTTAATACAAGGAATCTTGAACTGGTTATGACACAATCTCCGTTTGACCTACTTAAGCAAACAAGACCACAAGTGAAAAGTTCTCGTTCTCTTTCTACATAGTTATTCTTAGTACTTAGTACAATTTCATGCAACATTAGACAAAATAATTTGCACAAACCAGATCCAGCTTTGCTGCTGACTTCCTTTGGCCAGGATCAGAGCTTTGCCTTTCTGCTGGTCCCTTCTGGTTCCTGCTGGTCCCTTCTGGTCTCTACCAGTCCCTTCTGGTCCCTACTGGTCCCTGCTGGTCCCTTCTCGTCCCTTCTGGTCCCGTCTGGTCCCGTCTGGTCCCTTCTGGTCCCTTCTGGTTCCTGCTGGTCCCTTCTGGTCCCTACTGGTCGCTGCTGGTCCCTTCTGGTCCCTTCTGGTCCCGTCTGGTCCTGCTGGTCCCTTCTGGTTCCTGCTGGTCCCTTCTGGTCCCGTCTGGTCCTGCTGGTCCCTTTTGGTTCCTGCTGGTCCCTTCTGGTCCCGTCTGGTCCCTGCTGGTCCCTTCTCAGCTCAAGCTTTATTGCTGGGCATAGACACAGAATAACATCTGGATTGAAAGACATGGATTCAGCAGAAAGAATGTTGGGACTGTATCTCGTTACAGCATAAAAATAAACTGCTGGAAAATAAATTGGGAAACTATCGCAATTTGGCTTTTCCAGCACAGCTCCTCTATCTGCTTCACTCAGTGTTGCATGCTGAATTAAACCACAGAAATTCAAACCATTTCTTTTTCAGCCACCAGAAAAAAAAAGAGTCACATGCTCTACAACCTTTTAACACCCCCCCCTAAAAAACTGGCGAGGAGGCTTAATTCTGCACCTCACACAGATTATTGGAAATATTTACCACATAATCTCTCTCTCTCTCTATCCAGGAACGGCGTCTTCACATGTATGTGGTTTACTGTCAGAACAAACCCAAATCAGAACACGTTGTCTCTGAGTTCATTGACACATATTTTGAGGTGAGTCAACTTTTTTTACCACAGCCAATACTAGTGGAGCTTTTTTAGGAAAAGAATCTTCATATTCTTTCTATGTCACCCGTCAGGATCTCAGGCAGCTGTTGGGCCACAGGTTGCAGCTCAATGATCTGCTCATCAAACCTGTTCAGAGGATCATGAAGTATCAGCTACTGCTGAAGGTTTGCCTTTGAGCGTGACTGCGTATCTGCAGGCATGGCACAACATTCAAGAAAACAAACAAACTTACCAGGGAATTACATTATTAATCATGCAACCACTGTAATAAAGTCCCTTTGCAAGGGACAGTCAGGTGCTTTAAAATCATTACAACTCTAAATAAACCTCTCTCTGACTTCCAGGACTTCCTGAAGTACTACAGCAAAGCAGGAAAGGACGTTGAGGAGTTGCAGGTATGAATACATACAGTTAGCAGCTAGTTTATCAGGGTCACCTAAAGCCAAAGCAGTCTAAATCAATACAGCCCATGCAAAAATCCTCCCCTTTTAAAGACCATGATGTCCAGATGAACATGCAATATTTGTACTCAGTACTATTCTGAATCTGTATATCACAAAAGCATTGTTTACACTTACTGATTGTCCCACGTTCAAATTCTCTCATCAGAGGGCGGTGGAGGTGATGTGCTTCGTGCCAAAACGCTGTAACGATATGATGAATGTGGGCCGGCTGCAAGGTTTTGAGGTGAGATACAGATTATCTCCTCTATCGTCCTCAGAGACGCAAACACCCATCCAGCGTGACTTCCGGTGTCTGACAACGTTTGTGACAAACACACACACTGTTTCAGGGGAAAATCACGGCTCAGGGGAAGCTGCTGCAGCAGGATACCTTCTGTGTCAGTGAACAGGAAACCGGCAGCAGAGCGAAGGAGAGGAGGGTCTTCCTGTTTGAGCAGCTAGTCATCTTCAGCGAGCCAATTGATAAGAAAAAGGGCTTCTCTTTGCCAGCGTACACTTTTAAAAACAGCATAAAAGTAAGTGCCACTGTGTTTTGATGCATCTTTTAAAACCTCTGTGCGTTAGTGTGTTTTTCGTTATGTTTATCAAGGATCCTGTGTGCTTCAGGTCAGCTGTTTGGGTGTGGAGGAGCAACCTGAGCACAATTCATTCTTTCTAGTCCTGACCTCCCGCGGGACTGACGGCAGCGTGGCGCGCTTCGTCATGCAGGCGTCATCACCGGAAATACAGCAAGCTTGGTTCGATGACGTGAGCCAGATCTTAGAGAACCAGCGGAACTTCCTTAATGGTTACAGACCTCAGTGTTTCTTCAAAAAATCCACGCATTCAACAGTTTTTGCTGCTTTTGAGTAATGTGACATCTCGTCCTGCCGACTGCAGCCCTTCAGTCCCCAATAGAGTACCAACGAAGCAAGTCAAGCAGCCTGGGCAGGAACGTGAAGTCTCCAACTGCGTCAGCATCTGGTCTGGGACCTCACTCCTCAGCATCCATGGGCCGACGGCCGCAGACCCGCCCGCTGTCTTACAACACCTCGCTGCCCTCTCTGCATCCCCCGCAGCACAGCCCGGCCTCCAAGGCGGTGAGCGCGTGCAGCAGCACTCTCCCGGAGCATATCTCTGATATCTTCTTCGTTTGACTTGTCTCTCTCTCTGCTCTGCAGCTCAGTTTGTGCACAGAGGGGAAACACGGCCGCTGGGCCTCCAACGGGCTGCCGCCCTGCAGCCAGCACGACATGCAGGTACATCCGCCTGTCTTCACACAGCGCTGAGAGGGGTTTTTCAATTCCTAAGTGGTAACGTCAGCGTTAAAAAGGTTTGATACCCGTTGGTATCCAGCCATGAGGATATTTTAGAGATATTTATGTTTGATTCGTGTTGCTCATATACAATAAAAAGTCACCAATCCCACGTTAAACAGGTTTCAGATTACTTCTTCAGTTTCTTACATCACATCACATAGTATCTGGCCGGACAGCTTGGTGCTAATTTGGAAAAAAAACATGTCAACACAAAAACAATTTCCTTCTCGGGGGGAACGTTTGAGAATTTATTTTTTTGCATTTGTAAACATAAATGTAAAGGGCTGTTTGCAGCGGTTGAACCGGCTGCAGTGATGTACTCGTGTACTCCAGGTTGGTCCTACGGGACATTTGTCTTCGGTGCTGTTACAAGTGCATCACAGGACATCCTGTCTTCCTTCGCACACTCCGAAAAGAGATGGAAGTGGAATGCTTGTTTGTTGTCCTGATCACTGATGATAAGGGGAAATTACTCTCTCAAGTTGCCTTTGTGAAATATCCTGTTGTTGTTTCTGTGTAGATTTACAAACCTGGTCAAACTAAACTTTAGCAGGTGCCAATGAGTCATCCAGTTAATGAAAACACACTGATCTGCTGTTTTATCTCAAACACTCAGACATCCACCAAGAGGAGTGACATTCAGGAGTGACACTCCTCCACCAAGAGGAGTGACAAATGTCACTTGTGACATTTGAGATATTTGCCGTGATTTCACAAAGTAGCTTTGTGTTTCCATCCTGCTTTAGCTTCAGAGTACAGACAGGTCTGCCATGCAGCTAAGACCTTTTTTTATGTAATTTTCCGATTTTTATCAAACTGTCCCAAATTTCATAAACTGAAACTGTTTACAGGGGTAGAGTTGTATAATGTTATATTAGGATGAGGACCACGTTATTTTGTCATCTGTTGGTTGAGCAATTATAAACACTTTTATCTTCCTGTTTAGCCGTTGTTCTTCAAATTGATTTAATACCAAAAGTAATGTAATGACTAAAAGGACAGAAAGATAAAGTTTCTCCTCATAGATGCTGTGTGTCATTAATAGTCAAACTAATTAAATCTCTTTGTAACAATGGTAATATAAAGTAAGAATGTTTTTTCAACTATTACAACACTAAAACCAAACAAGTATGTGGGATGGGTTAAAATACAATGAAAGTCGTTTTGGATAAAAACGTCAGCTAAATGACATGTAATGTAATGTCATGTGATTTAATTAAAGTTTTTTTTCCCTCTCAGGATGCGACCGCCAGTTTCCAGGCGATCGCATCAGACGAGACTTCACATCAGCCGAACGATCCCGACGAGCTGAAGGAGAGGGAGCAGTAACCAACCTTCTGATGTAGCAGCGAGTCACAGTGCTCCGTCAGCATCGTTTGATTCACTCCTGTATAGTGTCATCAAGGTCTCAGCGTCTCCCATCTTTACTTTGTTTTAATAAAACTCCCTCCAAAATACCAACATGCTTTAGGTAAACCCGGGTTTAATATTTGTGATCCTGTTGGTTTGATTGTGTCCGTTAACTCTGAACATTCTCATGTCTGCAGCTGCCGACATGATGAGATGAAATGTGTGAAAGTATTCTGAATTCCATATTGTATATGTATATATTTCTTACTTTTTTCATTGAAAACACATGCATGGATATTTTTGTAATGCTTCATATTTTCATAAGGGGCCGCCCCCCCGAGGACTCTGATCTGAAATCCCTTCATGCTGTCATGCTGTGTGTTATCAAAAGTGGAGACTCTGAATCCGCAAGTTTGTTTGTGCGCAGATTAACAAATCGCTGTGTTTAACTCTTTTAACCCCGTCGTTGTTATACTGTCACCTGAACTCAAGGCAAAGCTCACACCCTAACGAAGCAGACAGAGGAAAAAGGAACAAGATAACAGGGGTGTTCATTTGTGACTGTCATCTTGAATGTAAATAATCTCATATAAAATCGCATCATTAAAAGTCTTTGAATTTTGGTGTCTACGCATTAAGAAGATTGCTGTTCCGTTCTGGTCGTTATCATTTTTCCTAAAAAACATTTCCCAGCGACTGCTGTAGCATCAAACATGTCCTTCCGTTTCGTGTTTCTTTGTTGTAATCCGTAGTTAGAATGCGTCTTCCGGTAATTGTTGTGTAATATTTTCCTTGAACCACATTTCCGTAAAGCATTAGTAAGGAGTTAGTTTTTAGTTGTTTTTTTCCCCTGTAATTTTATGTCAGTCCTAAAGGTCGGTTAATGTCTGCCCCAAAAGTAAATTGTCTTACCATAGTCTGAATCAGAGGCCTGTTAGAGGCCATGCCACACCGTACTATGACATAGAGGGTATCTTTGTGGATTCTTTACCTAATTTGTATTTTTAAAAATGATTTTCTATTTTGAAAGCTGTGTTGTATTTGATAAGATGAGAGGGGTTAGGTTATTTATAAAAATTGCATTGCTATTGAAACTGAACAATGAACCTCTTGGTGTACAGCGTCCTCTGCTGGACCCAATGAAGCACCGGGACAATTTGATATTTCTTATCAGATTTTATAAAATCAATCGTTGTATTCTTTCGTTGTACAAGGTACCACGACGTCCTCAGTTTTACTCATGGTCCCTAGTTTGTTTTCTTATACCAGATAAGGTTTCATGTTTTAAGGAGCTTCATGGAAACTCACTGCAAATATTACCTGCACTTCAATTCACCTTATTCTTGTTTTTGCCAAGTAATGACTGTGGCGTCAATATGAATGCTTTTATGAAGACTAAATTCAACATATACAAACTATGATATTTGCTGAGAGACATTTTTGTTTTTGTATTTGTCTCACACTTTTTTAGGTCAACAGTGAGGCCTAAAAAGAAATTTTACAATAATTTAGACTGAACAGTCCCCTCTTTCCCCACCCGGGGCAATGAAAGAGAGGCGTTTTGACAGACATTTTAATACGTTAACATTTGAAATGAATAAAAAAAGGCTGATAATCCTGTGACCAGAGGACTCACCCCAGTGGGTTTTGGGTGACGCAGGCAAGAACATTGCTGTTGTAACACATTAAAGATTTTCAGCTCAGCCATAGATCTTTCAACAGTTACAGATCTTACTTTGAGAGCATGTTCTAAACACAAAATTACACAAAGGCCTTTTATACTGTCTGATATACTGTACTGACCGAAACATCACGCAAAGTGGTTTGAAAATGTTCTTCTGGTGATTTGAATAAAAAAACATCAGCTGAGGAATCTCTGGCACATCTTTGCCAATAAACAAAATCTAGTTGTTATTAGGGAACTTCCTCAGATATTTGTGGAAAGCGACACACAGCAGAAGACAAAAATACAAGGCTGCTCCCAGATAACTTGAACCCAGATGTCATAGGACAGAAAGTTTGTCTTCCACAGACTTGATAAAGTCGCTCACAAAGGACATACTGGATTCTGGGTAAAGGTTGGGACTTAAATAACAACACAAAAAGCCAACAGCTGAACATTTGGCACAACCATTCGGGCAAAGAGCGCAGCTACCGAAAGGTGACAAAGTTCTGAATACGTTCTTCATGTGGCATCAGTGAACGGAATACCTTCGGTATGGTCTGCGTCTACAGGATTGTCCCTTTCGGGGAAGTGTCTGTCTGTCCTCCTTCTCACGCCCGCAGACATCGCTTAATCGCTTCTCCAAGCTCAGTCTTTTTTTTTGGAGGATAGTGCATATTGTAGGAGGACACATGTACCTCTGCTCACGTTAGCCAAGAATGACAACGAGGAGAATCAGACTGGAACGATGCTACTTGGTGGGTTTTTCCCAAAGCTTGGTATCTGTATGAGAACAATTTCTGGATGTATTGCCAAATACGGTTTAACAAAAAGAAAGTCTTGGATTACTCACAATGTTGTCAGGATTTAACGCGCAGATGATTCTCTGCTTTCTAGAGAGCCAACTTTCACGTCTGGCTTATTTGGTACGAAGACTTTTCTAGCGCGGACAAAATAAACATGCTGAAACTTGTATTTCATTTTTTCGCATTAAATAAAAAGCAGATCAAAGTGTGTATTTAGACTTATCTGAAGGGACGTGGCAGAGGACAACGTCTTTGGCAACTCAAAAAGAGCAGAGGAACCCTCGGGATAAAGAGAAGGGAAGCTAGTTATGAGTCAAACACTGAAATCGGTTCTTGAAGAACAGGAGGCCGTTTTTCGTGTGTGTGGCGTCAGAGGAAGCCGGCGGGTAACGAAACTTGGCGTATGTCTTGTCACTCTCTGATTGGCTGACCCAGGGGAGTCGGACTTTGGTAGCGTGATTGACAATGACATCATCACAAGAGCCCACGTGGAGAGATCCCAATCCATCGATGAAAAACTCTGCAAAACAGACATGCGAGTTGACTGGTCGGATTAACGTGAACCTCTCAGTGGGCCAGTCAATTATAGTTTCATATGGATACAAAGATACCAGATATGTGATTTATAGGATATTCACAGAATTTAAAAAAAGATAATATAATTATTTTAGATGTGAAGGCAGGGTGAAATCTTTAAACAAAGCATTAAACAAAGGAGGGGAGTTAGAAACTGGACTAAATTGGGTCATGACTAATGTAAATTGAATTACATCTTGATTTAAAGCATGCACTTAATTTAATTATAGCAGAGTGCTGAAAAATGTTTTTACATTATAATTTCTTTGCGGCAATCAGTCCTCAGGCAATTATGATATGATACTATCTCGATAAATATAATGCGATATGAATCTTTGAAACAGTTAATCTGAACAGTTTTTACACTGATTAAGTCTGATTGAGTCTAATGTTTTTATTCGTGCCTTTTTCCGACTTCATACCATCCTTTTGATCAACTCTTGCATGTGCCAAGTAGACAAAAAGTAAATAATTAACTCTGTAAGCACTGAATAATACTGAACAAAAAACAAACTGTATAAAGTCAAGGGTGTAAGTTTGCACTTGTTTTGGTGTATTTGCAAATGAAATGTAGCTTACATCATTAAATAGCAAAAATAAGGTTCTACGTGTGTGGCTGTAAGACCATGTCCATCTTACGTTATGCTCTTATGCTCCCATCTAAACTGTGTATTCAATATGAAAATAACACGTTCACTGTACGCACCCAGGTGAGCTACCCTGGCGAGGCGTGGGTCAAAGCCGACTTGCTGGACTTTCTCGGTGCGAGCCAGGAAGAAGTTAATGACTCCATCAGTCACGACACAGTTGGGGAAGCCTTGGATGGCGTGATGAAATCCTCTCCTCATGTGTAGGCAGTCACCATCCGCCTCCCCGGACTCAATGGAGATGGTCTGTCTGTAGGTGGCAGTGTAACCTGTGGCCTCCCGCACTGCACCCCCCACCTAGACCAAAACACACACACTGATGTCACTGACAGCGAAAACACCAGACTGTCATAGTTGTTTAAAAGCAAACAGTTGCCGCACCAGGTCCAGAGTGGTTCTCTCCAAAACGTCCACCAGTTTCTCCAGCTTGGTGTTGGCTGTGAAGACAAAGTCATCGTCCACCCACAGCACATACTTTGTAGTCACCTGAGAGACGGCCAGGTTTCGTCCAGCAAACCAACCCTACGACACGTGAAGCAGAGCTTGAATACCAAAATCATCAACGTGCAATCAAATGTCTTCAGCGTGAGTCAGGCACTTCTCCCACCTTTCCAAAGGGCATGATGTAATGTTCGATGTAAGGCCCAGAAATGGTTTGGGGGGTTTCGCTGTCATCAGCTATGACTATAGTGACGGTAGGATAGTATCTTCTCACGCTGTTTATAAGATCTTGAAGCTTATCATATCGCAGGAAAGTCTTGGTAGCTATGGTAACGAGGGCACTGACATTGTACTCTGCAGAGAGGGAAGATCAAGCAGCAGAGGAAACTGATTTTATTGTCTTTTTGACAAATTAAAATGAAAAGATATGAGGCTTACAGTTTGGTGGTGGAATAATAACATGATTAAGGGGGACGTGTTTTACCTCCTTTAGATCCTGTATTGTACAGTTTGGGCGTCACGCCGTGGCGGATTTTGATGCTGAAGCTGGCTTGATGTCCCTCTGTCTCAAACTGCACTAAAAGACACAACATAAGAAACAGTTAGTACATTTGAGTAGTACTATTGAACAGTACTGCACATCTACTTAAGTCATATATTTGCACAATCAGGTAAAAATTAGTGCAGAAGTTAAAACCTGCCATAGGAGGGTAAGAGGTAGAATGTAAATTTGTTCTGTGATAATGTTTTATCATCAGGCACCATTGTTTATTTTGTATTGAAGGAAAACACAAAGAAACGGAAACCTGGGCCAATATTTACTCCGTCCTCCATGGTTTTTTTTCATGTGCTGACATTTTTATGTCCGACAGCAGGTCGGGGGAGACAGGTTACAGGAAATAAAACCCCACATATCACACAGTCACGATCCAACAGGGCAACAAGGGAAGTGGACCTGTAAATACCTTCTGATCCGGAAAGAGGAAACTTAAAGAATACAATTAAATGTAAAAGTAAGAATTTCTTGGCATGGGTTAACTTCATGGAATCTCTACTGGTTGCCAGGCAACTGCTCAGACCCACAAAATACTGACTCATATCTCCCCATAATGCCACAAATAATTGTTTTTACCATTTTTCTTGATTATTTTTTTAAGTAGTACACATACGAGATATTATGTTTTCTTTTTTTCCTTGAGATGTGCTAGTAGGTGGCTTGTGTTACCTTTGCTCAGAGCCAGCTGCTTCTCTGTATGCTGATCTAAGCTAACCGGCTGCAGCAGTTATATTTACTGCACAGACATGAAAGGGATGTGACCTTCTCATCTCACTCTCTACCAGAAAGAACATACGTGTTTGTACCAAAAGGAAACACCGCTTACTGAGCTCAACGGCACATAAATCCGTACAAAGAAAAAAAACATTAAAATATATTTGATGCGAAATATATTTTTCTCCAGAGCCCGATAACTTTTTAAGAGCTGAGAAAATGAACAAGTCCCGAGAGAAGTTATTTCTAGCTCGACGCCTCACCTGTGTCTGCCGTGCTGGGGTGGAACAGAGTGTTTGTGTAGGTGACAAACTGCAGCTGTCTGTTCAGGTTCGGCAGCAGGATGCTCGACAGGGTCATGCGCATTGCGCCATCACCTTTGATTTTCACCCTGTCCACCTCTGCCGCCACGTTCAGCGTTCCCAGTGTGGCAGTGAGGTTTATCTGCGGCACGGTGGGTACAAATCTAGGTTTTAAAAGAGGGCCCATCAGATATCTTTAAAAGCAAAGCCATACTGAAATACTCACTGAGTAGTGGTCTCTGGGAAGGCTGTATAAGGCCAAGCCTGAAAGCATATGACAACAAAATTAGTTCCTCTGGCAATTGAGACAAATTCTATATCTGCAATCTTTACATCTTACTCTGAGTGACGCTTTTGTTCATATTTTCTGTCAGTGTTTTGTGATATTTTTTCAGAATTCCTATTTACAATGCTTTATATGTGATGCAGATAAGTGATACTTAGTGTCCTTTTTGTAGATCAGACTGATACGGAAGAAGTTACAGCCATCTCAAAGGTTGGTTCAATAAGTGTCTTGATAATTTACTAGTTGTACGTCTGAATTTAAATTGAATACAGCAACACAAACCAGTTTTAGCTGTAGATTACCAGTATATTTAACAATACATTCTTCTTTGTAGGTGTTTTCCCACTTAATCGGAGTTCTTACCTGGGATGATGATTGTTCTCAGAGGTCGTACCTCCACCCCTTGCGTTGGATACTGTAACGGATTGTTAGCCTCCGCAATGAGGAGAAGATCTGCAGGCGTCTGTGTCCTGAGGTGTGACAACCGCCATGAGGAAGTTGCATGCACGCTATGTGCCACATGCGCAAGTTTGGTTTTGCTCTTTGAAAACACAAACAGCATAGACCCCATAGCGGATAATTGATAAAAGACATTGATAGCTTCTGATTTTTGTTTACGACTGAAATGGTAAACCTTATTGTAAGAGTTTTTCGTTTTGATCTGCCTAACAATTTGTTGTTGTTCTGGATGAATTAAGATGGATAGAGAGCAGCATTTTAAAGAAATAACTGTGTAGAAAATTTGACAAGAAATATTAATATTCAATTGAATTAACTAAACAATAGTGCAAAGATTTAACCAAACAGACAACAGTGTAACGACATTACCGTAGTGGGAATTAATTGTCCAGAAATAGAATTTAAGATTCTCGATTGGTACCAAAATGAAAGGCAAAGAGGTTTTGTATTTGAGACAGTAGATGAGAGGCCATTGATGAGACCTAGAAACATTTTTAGTCAAGTAAAGCTTGTGTGTTCACTAATTGAAAAACAAAAAATACCATCCCTATAGCGATGGCCAGATAGGCAATGCCAATGCTTATTTTTCTTATATTATTACCATTTTAACTTATAGTTGTTTTATTAGTTGTATTTATATCATTGTTTTTCATGGTGTATGGGATGTCACCTCTTTTGGATAGAAATAAAAAAGTGAATCTTAATTACTAAGATTAAAATTAAATTCAATAATAAAGATGACACTGCATCATTATCTCCTCACCTCTCCTGGAAGCTCCTGTACTCCTTTTCTCGCCTCCTCTTCATTTCCTGCAGCTCAGGCGCCTGGAAGGCGGCGTGCAGCGGGTGAGCGGACACCCGTGGGAACAGGAGCTGCACGAAGGGCAGGTTCACTCCCCCGCTGTCCCCCTCGCAGACGCATCCGTTTCGGGCCAACAGGCTGAAGACAAAAGCGTGTGAACGACGTCTGACTTTAAGCGGAGTTAAACTGCATTCAGCTTAACGTTACCTCGCCACGTTGTCCCGGACGTGAAAGGGGATGTTTCCGAAGCGGCGGTCGGGTTCCGGAAGCCTCTCCTCCAGATGCCGCTCGTCGATTGGCCCCGGTCGCTGCCAGACGTCCACGGCGGTGGAAGCCCGAGTGGGCCACGAGTGGAGGAGAGCGAGGACCAGAACCACAGAGGCCAGGATGGCGAGCAACACCGTCTTCCTCACGGAGCGCATTCTGAAACCTGACGCAGAGACGTTCAAGGACAGAAATGACCGCTCATTGAAACGTGTCCCCGTGTACGCCAATTAACGTTAGCTGGCCACAGGTGGATCAGCTGTAAAGTTGAGCTAACGTTCATTAAGGCTAATGTGAAGCTACACGAGCCTGTTAGACAAAACAAGAGAATATCATCCACAGTTATAATCAATTATTTTTTCTTAAAATACCTCCACTGTAGCTGTTATGTGTTAAATATGTCACTGTCTGTAAAGCTCGTTGTGTTGAATTTACACTAAAATTGCAGTGAAAGCATTGCATTCTGGGAGCTTTCCCGTTCCCAACGGCCAAATGATCCTTTTTACGTTCATTTACTGGGTCCTGGGATTTTTAAGATCTCCTCAATTACGAGAGCCAAGATTCCTACTTTCGTAATTTCGTATATTTTTTACTTGAATGGCAATGTCGTCCATCTTAATACGTAAATGTCTCACTTTAGTTTTACCAGATTAAGAGAAAACATTTAAAAAGTGGCGGCTATTTTTCCAGAATTTATTCAGTCTTCTGGTTCGCTCTGGTTGCGGTAGCGATCCAGCGCGCACGTTCACACCAGACATTACGGTAGGCGCGAGACTTCAAAATAAGGGCAAAATTCCGGTGAACGTGATAGGACATTCAATACCTCAGTCTATAAATCATAGATTACTTAATGAATACATTCAAACCAGTGCGTAACCACACGTCCTTTATTGAGAAATACCAATCTGTACTTAATAAAATGTATTAATAAAGAATATTTTTACAAAGATCAGTATGACTTCAAACTGAAAGTAAATATCAAATTCCGAAACGTCAAGTTAGAATCACTTGCACACTATCTCAGGAAGTATGAGGACATTCTAATGTACAATCTCAGGATAAAAGCTCTTTAAAATCTAATTAATGTACCAACTTTCTTCAAATCTTTCAAAAGAAAATTGTTGCAAGTAATCTTACTTAGTAGACAGTTTGTCACTCAGAGAGAATGAGGAATACTGATTTAGGATTTTAAAATGAAAGGACTTTAAAATCTCAAGCATGAGCCAACCGCACTTACTGAAAAGGGAATAGTCAATAGTTGCCTACAGATTAATAGCCGATCAGGTGCCAAATCCGTTTTGTGTATCATTTGTATTATTAATGCACGTATTACTATCACCTCTGTGTTATTTAATCACATTAACACTGTCTGTCTGGCAAAACAGAAAGAGGAAAGACTGTTCCCCACCATGAACCAGGAGCACTGAGAAGGATAGAACAGAAATTAAAAAAGAAAATGAATGCAGAAGCATTTTTTTAATAAAAACTGCACTCTAGATTATATAAATCTATGTTGCTCTGTGAGCTGTCATAAAACGTTTGGGCATCCAAAATGCAGTCAGATTTACAACTAGCAATCGGAAACGTGGCCACCAACAGCTGAAGCTACTGTAGAGCATGATGGTCTATCAAAGCACCAGATGTCGGAGGATATTTCCTTTTCTCCAATTCCAAAACCATCTCGGCTGTGATATTTTAATTTACTCAACAATTATCAGACATCTTCATGGGTTCAGTGAGCCAAAAGGGATTCAACACGTCAGCTAGATCACACTGCCAACATAACTTGAATTCTGTCCAAAAAAATAAAAATAGCAATTCATTTTAGGGATGCCTTTATGAAGACCCAACAATGTCTTGTTGTGTGTTATGTCAGCTGTGACATAAACAGGATGAAAATGTAGATTCAGAAAGAGTCCACCTCCATTTATGACCAAACTTGCTATGCGCGAACTATATGCAATTGTTAGTGCAAACACTTAAAATAAGAAGTATTAATAGTAACAATATATTTGCAAATTCATTAACTTCTTTTTCTTTCCAGCCCTGAATGTGTGTTTAATGATAAGTAAAATGTTTACCCAACTGCCTCTATCCACTCAATGAAAGGGCATCCTTTGTAGACACCTGCATTCCGAAACCATGTGGACAGTCCAAAGCGTCCAAATGGGGCTCGGTCGATCACTTGCTTGCCTTACATCCCCCAGGGGGAATCCTGCAGGGTTCAGGGGTTGACAAATTAGGCCAAGAGAAAAAAATCCACGTGGCTCTGTGCACCTGATATAGCATGCATTTAAAAAGCTCTTCTACACTATATATATGCTCCTCAAATATGCAGATCCTAACAATAATTTAGTGGTCAAAAACTATTTTATAACATATTTTTGGAAAACAGGGACATGTCATTTGACGCTTTTATCCAATGTGACTTACACATGGTTTTACATGTTTATCCCATCCCACACAGGGGGAGAAGTGTGCAGCCGTAAGGGCGCCCGGGGAGCAGTTAGGGGTTGGATGTCTTGCACGGGGACACTTTGACATGGTACATGGAGCAGCCAGAGTTTGACCCTCAACCTTGCGGTTCCCAGCGCACCCTCTCTACTCCATGAGCCACCGTCGCCAGTGAAAGCCTAATCACCTAATATAATTCAAAACAAAGAATACAAATATCAGGAAGCACAAAAAAAGAGTGTCATCAGTCTAATGGACTTGAGTACCATAGCGGTGATGGAGAAACCATCCTTCAACAAACAGTAACCATGTCGTTCAAGAAAGAGTAGAGATGATCTGAAGTCGTGTGGAAGTGTCGAGGGGCCAATCAGAATGAAACTGTATCAGTGGTGCTCCTGTTTTAGCCTAAAAACGAGCCTATGAGAAGGTAAGGAGAGCCGTTGACATGGTGCAGAGACAGGGCTTCATTTAGATTGTGAATATTAAATCACCGCAATTTGATTTAACATCAACAACTGCTCCGTGCTGCGTGACTCCTCAATCATAAGATACATGCACCATAATGAAATCATCCGACCAGCAAATAGTCTTCCACATCTCCGAAAGGCCTTTGTTAGCCGACGAGAGGGAGATAAAAAAAAACATGCGCTAGCGGCGTGAATCGATTAGGCCATGCCTTACATGCTGAATCACATCTCCATAACAAGCTCATGTTGCTATGGGCATTTTATCAACAATTGCGCGTTACTGGAATGGTTCAAGCCTGTGTTTTCCTCGCATGTTTTGCCTGGTCGAGGAACCGTCAAATGCTCGACCAGCGACCGACATATGCTGCAGGAAACCGATCCATAGGCCTATTAATTTTCCGGTTAATTCAGATGAAAAGGGGAGCTCACCTCAGTTAAATGACGGACTGTGTAGGCAGTTTCGCATCTCACCCGGACGGAGGTTGCGCCTCTTAACATCAAATACGTCCCCCCCCCCCCCCCCGCCGTGGTCTTGTAATTGGGATTAGATGCGGAGAAATGTAAGGAATACAAACAGGATGCGACCGCACATAACTGTCCTGCAGGAAGAAGGACGCGCCCCACAGCAGCAGCACTGCTGAGCACAAACGCACCACAATACGACGCTCAGCGGTCCATCAGCAGAGCAGCTATATGACGGCGCTCCGCCACGCGACTGCAACATACAGTATATACCATCACGAGCGCTATCACGGTTATATAGAAATGAATGCATGCAATCTTGTAAATATGTTCCAAAACCCAGACCCGCTTATACATTTTACTCACTTTATGTGTTGGGTGTGTGCCTCTGTGCGTGTGCGTGCGTGTGTATGTGCAAATTCAGTTATCAACTTTGGCAAAGGGTGTGTTCAAGTGTCAGGGTACAAATGCATGGTGAAAACCAGTTATATCGAGAAAATATCCCCCATGATTGTAACTGAGATAATTCATGATTCATGATTGTAATTTAGATAAATTACAATGCTAACACTTGAGCCGTTGGCTTTAAGCAAAATTAGCTTTTGCTACCCAATTGGTGTCCATCCTTGTAGCAATACAAGTTCATCACATGGAAGGACAATTTACAAGTGCTTTGTTAATGGATACAACGTTAATGTATCCCTATGGTTTGATGCACTTATTGTTAGTCGTTCTGCATAAAAGCGTCAGCTAAATGACATGTAATGTAATGTAATGTATGTTTTCTTTATGATGCCACACAGCTGTAGGCGCCACCCATTCACGTTATGCCGGTGCAGTAATCTAATTCACCCCACAATTGAGAGGCACATAAATGGGCCAATGACAGAGCAGCGTTCTCAGATTGACCAATCCGCAGCCACCATGTCAGGCGTTCTGTGTTTTGTTTCTGTCATGAAGAGAGAGTCAATCATGGCTGCTTCCGTGGTGCGGTGGCTAAAAAGATTGTACGTCTTCGTGTTGACATGTCCCCTCTGTGTTCCGGCCTTCTTAAATTTGGAAGAGCTGAATGAAATGAAATATGCCATTCAAATTCTTCCCGACCCCGTCATGTTGGGCCAGGTGAGTGAGGGTGGTTGGGGGACTAAACAGTTAACGTTAGCTTGCTAGCTAGAAAGTAACCTAAGGCTATTGCTGCCGTTAGCTAGCATGTCATGTCTGCCTTAATTAATGTTACTAACGCGGGGAACGAATGACCTCTTCGTTATCTAGTTGATCATCTTAATTTAAAACTCTTGTAAATTAGTGGAGGAACTGAAGTTGTTTACATGTGAGCTACGTCTCAATCATCGTTGACAGCTGTCACAGCACAATCTCAGATTCCTCACTTAAGTAAACTTACGTCAGTTGCAACTTCATTAGATTGTAACTTACGGAAGCGTTATTTAATACTTATTAGATCGGGTAACGTTATTCTAATATGGTATACTACAATATACTGCGGCTGATATGATAGCGTTTCCTCTTCAGACCAAGACCGAGGAGGTGATGATCGTGTCCAGCAAGTACAAGCAGATGTATGAGTGTCGACTTCCAGCGCAGGCCGTCCGCTTCCATCAGGACGCTGCGTCTGAGCCGGACTCGCAAGGCTACTCCGGGCCAGACATTCCTGACCTTCTCAGTCCAATGCAAAGCGCTGAGTGTCTAGTGAAGGTTCGTTATCAACTGTTTCTATGGGATGCAGTTTAGAAACTAATTTGACTTATTTAAGCAAATCACTTCAATGCATGTTTGACTACACAGAAAAAGTTATCGGATTACTTGAGCCATATTCTGAGGTGATGTGTATTGTGATTGTAACTGTATTATCTAACTTTGCCGCCTAACGAATGAGGATACTGAGAGTGTTAATCCCCTACAGGGGACAAGTGCAGGAAAAGGTAACATACAAAAAATGAGCGCTTTCTTTTAATTTGCATCTGCACAAAGGAAATTGGGCAATATTGTAAACTTCAAAACAGGGTCAATCAATCGATCCAGAGCCAAGGTCGTGGAATTTGATATTGGTACAACACAATGGATGTGCCTATTAGAGCAGTGTCAGAACATTTGAAAACAGACCTCAACATCTGATTTGACAACATTTTATATATATATATAAAATATATATATAAAATCAAAAATCCCAGGTACAAAAGAATCTAAAGTTATGAAGCACATTTGTTAAGTTTATTCAGAAGTGTTCACAGTGGGCGATGGTATGCGACTGTGATTTAGTGGTATACCGTTCCTGTTCCAGTGGAATGTATTGTTTGCTAAAGTCAATCCGCTTCCTGATTTCGATTTTGGCGTCAGCGAAATACTTGGCAGACAGGAACCTACAGAGGGTGTCAGCTGGAAGAAGTGGTGGCCACAGTAACAGGGGTCACAGATGTTTTTTTTCATTCTTAGATCCTCTACTCCGATGATAAACAATTCCCAGGCTTTTATCTCATTCCTCTTCGCACCAAGCTGCCACAACCTCGTAGAGACAGTGACAAGCCTCGTCCAAGATGGCTTTAATTGTCTTTGCACCATGTGATGAAGCTCTCTATCAATATACTGTTTGTGTGTGTGTGTGTGTGTGTGTGTGTGTGTTCTAATGGGATGATCAATGATATTTCTGAGCAGGTAGCCTTGATGAATGGAAAATGCTTTTGTATTAAAACAATCTGTTTGCGGCAGACTAAGGACTGGTGGACATACGAGTTCTGCCATGGTCGGCACATCAGACAGTACCACCTGGAAGGTAAGAGCTCACCGTGTTGGGAATCTGTCTTTTTCATGACCTGTGGCTTGATTACACATGTTCCTCTTCTTTCCTCTTTAGAAACAGAAATCAAAGGGGACATTCTCTTCCTAGGTCATTATGAATCTGAATTTGATTGGAGCAATGAAACGGCAAAGGTAAAGTTTCCTCCGCTCGGTGGTTGCAGATGTCTTTTCTTTCTTGATGGTCTTTGAATACTCGTGTACAGCAAAGGACAAAATAGCACATACATGATAGAATGACTGAATCTGAACCCTTGTATACATTTTACAGTCGGATTCCTTGGGTGTTTATTGTACATTTTCACATTATTTGATGTGATAAGATAATTCTTCATTGGTTCCGCAGCGGTGAATGATAAAGTCCAAATGAGAGACCTACTGAAAGGTTTTGTATTTTATGACTAGAGTACATGTAAATAATAATAACTTCCTGACAGGTTTGGGCTGTAGAGCAGAAACTATACACATTTTAGGACCTAGATTTCCAACAAAATGTATCATTATTATTATTATTATTATTATTATCATCAAAAGCAGGCATTTATTGCTGAAGAATAATTTATCCATCAAGGCAAACACGGATCAACTTTCTTTAATCTACAAAAAAGATGATCATTAAAGTGTTTGCATTTGCTTTGCTCATAACCCCTTGGGGTGCATCTGCTTTACTCCAACAACACACACGGTGATTGTATTATTGTAGTGTGATTTTAATTAGTTTTAGTTAGGGCAGTGGTTCCCAAACTGTGGGTCAAGACCCCCCCAGGATACAAGCAAACGAGCGCAGCAGAGGGAGAGAAAGAGAGGGAGACACGGTGCGAAACAGGAAAAATGGTATGAAAAACATCAAATTTGAAAATACAAACTTTTGCACTGTTTACAACTTTAATATTTGTAAGTAAATTTACTTGAAAAGATATTTACAAAATGTAATGAAACTGTTAAGTGAAGAAGTAAAGGGATATGTACTTATTTTATGAATAAACACTTTTTTATAGTTAATGTATTATAATGAAATTAATTCAAAAGCTAGAACAATCATATTCTTTTTCCTTTTTTATTTGTTTGGGTGGAGGGTGCGTGGGGAGGTCTTAAAATGTCGCTCTATCCTCAAAGGGGGCCCTGACAGAAAGTTTGGGAACCACTGAGTTAGGTATACATGACTTACTCATTGTTGAGTGTTTATATCATTATTTATAACATAACACAGAACAAAGGCATTTTCAAAGTATTATCCGGTAAATTGGACTTAAAACCGATATCGTTGGAGCTGCTCCTAGTAATGCATAGTACCTGTGAATGCTTGTTTCATGCCCGGAGTGTCAAAGAACAGTTTAAAATCAGTTTGCTATTTAAACATTTTTCATTCTACTTTCCAGGCCTCCAAACAGCACCGGCTGAAACGTTACCACAGTCAGACCTACGTAAACGGCTCAAAGTGTGACCTAAATGGAACTCCCAGAGAGACTGAAGTCCGGGTGAGAGATTTATTTAAATTATTTACAAGTTTGAAAATGCAAATTCCACACTTTTCATGTTACACAAAGTGATCCTCTTAGACTGAATGGGAATTTGTGGGGCCTGAAAGTGAGACTGTTGCGTAGGCTCTCATGTTGACTGACCCAAAGCAAACCCTTGAAGTTGTACCAGTTTTCTAACTTTCTAACTCCCATGCTGCCATTTTTTCAAATTTAACTCACGAATTTCACTGTTTGTTTACCACGGTGTCTTAAATCCCTCTGGATAGATTCCTGCGTCTTCCTTCTTCTGATTGAGGGACCAATACAACGTCAACTATCCAGCATTATCACTGCAATTTATTCACAAACTATATTTACTACTTTATTATATATATTTTAATTGTTCATTCTGTACACATAACATCTGTTGTTGTCTGTCCATCCCGGGAGAGTGGTCCCTCCTTTTGGCGAGTTTTTCCTGTGCCAATGTGACAGAGGATGTTGCATTTGTACAGACTTTAAAGCCCTCTGAGGCAAATTTGTCGTTTGCGATTTTGGTGTATACAAAATAAAATGAATTGAATTGTATTAATTTGAATCTTGTTGTCCAGTTTGTGTGCGAAGAAAGCTCAGCGGACTACATTGCCCGGGTGGACGAGCCTCAGTCGTGCCGCTACGTGCTGACTGTTCACACAAGTCGTACTTGCCAGCATCCGTCCCTGCGGCCGCCGTCTACTGCCAGACCGCAGAGTATTGTGTGCCAGCCAGCACTAAGTGCCCAACAGTACATGGATTACGTCAAGGCTCAAGTCTGTAAGTAACATGGATGAAGATCGTCCTCTTTTACACTTTAATGTTGTATCCTGTTACGTGTCCAGCCGGGGACTGAAGGACATGTAAAGTGGGAACGGAGTATTTGAGTGCGATGGTGATTTTAGCTTGGAAGATTAAGCTGTAAAATGTACAACTTATTCGACATTTGTTGTTGAGTAGGTGTTTGATTAATGAAACCGTCAGTATGAATTTTAAAGCAATAAGAAATGTGCCACATGATGGTCGTCTCTGTCCCTCCCTCCTCCTTCGATCTGTTTCCAGCGGACACGAAGCGTAAAGTAGAGCAGATCTCTGAGGAGCTGAGGAGTCTTGATGAGATGTTGGCTGGTAACAAAGGGGCTGATGGTGCAGTGGAAGTGACAGCAGAAGAGACATCGTCTGCACCTGGTGATGACCTGAACCATTCCAACGCTGAAGGTGCATTGTGTTACACAGCAAATTACCTTCAAAATATTGTGGAAATGTGTCAGTCCACTGATTATAAATATGTTACGTGTTTTTCATGGCCATCCCACTTGTGTTTGCCTTACTTTTGAAGCAGATAATGGTGGTTTGTCTGAAGATGCCGGGTCAGAGGAGGCAGAAGATACTGACTTCTGGGAGGGAGTCACAAAGCCCGGGAGTTCCAAAACAACTGCTTCGCAGCAGGAGAATCGGGTACAGAGATACCTTTTGGAATTTGTTTTCCCTTTCAATGAATAAAAGTTTAAATGAAAGATTGTGGCATTGCTTAAGTCTCACAATTCAGATCATCTTTTGTCGTGTTACAACCAGACAGAATTGACAGATCGTCGATGCACTTTATTGTTGAAATGGTGAACTGGCATTATGTGTTTTAAATGTTGAGCTGGTTCTCCAGCCAGATCCCAACTTGCTAGAGGATGTGGGTTGATTCCTTTACCGCTTCACAACTCTTAACGGGATTTTGTTTTCTCTGCACAGGGAGCAGACGATGGCTATAACTCTCATTCAGACAATGAAGTCTTTGACGATGGGGATGAAGGTATCCTAATTTGTTGTCTCTTATTTATTTCTATACCGTTAAGTTCTCCGATTCGGCAACCGACCAATTTCTAATGCAGTACTTTAAAATCTTTTCTCTCTTCACATTAATGTCTTCCAGTTGAAAAATTTAACTTTAAAATCATCACTGACCCAGCAGACCTGATGAAATTTGTCCAACATCTCAAAGAAAGTAACAGGAAGGTTAGTACTCGCTAAGATTATACACATTTTTTAATAAATCACATTCTTTTGATAGTGTATGTGTATTCCATTTCATTGCATCCCTTCAACCTTGTCTTTTTTAGAAAGCACAAAACCAGGTCAAAAGTCAAGGAGACAAACCGATAAGCAGCAGTGTAACAGAGAAGCTTGATGAGGAAGAGAACGATGAAGATGAAGAGCTACTGCAGGAGTTTGAGGATGAGATGGCGGACCTCTCTGTGCCTTCTGAGAAGATGGAAGAGATAAAGGAAGAAATGCAGAAGGAGTTTGACAACATCATAAACGAGGTTTCAGACTAGAGACGATGTGTAATTCCAACATGATGTATTGAAATGTTATTACACCCATTGGAATAATCAATAGATGTTTTGATGTGATGGTCTTGTCTTGTGTTTCAGGCTCAACAGGAATTGGAGACAGAGGGTCTGAAAGGGGAGTTTGATCGCACGCAAGCAACACAGACACTGGGGACCACGCTGGACAAGCTACTCGATCATTTGGAGGAGAAAGACGTCCAGGACCCAGAGCAACAAACGGCGGCCGTTCAAAGAGCCAGTGACCCCGCCAGGGGCAGCCCCAGCCTGGCTCCGAAGCAACCAGGTAACCGGGCCCCCTCCCAATCTGTGGTCGTGTTCATATTCAACTCTGTGTCCACCTCCATCACAGTCATATGTCATTCATACGTATAGTAGATCTTCGTTGTGACGTTTTTCATCCCAGAATAGACGCACAATTTTTAAAATGCACACAAATTTGTGTTTTCAGATTGATATTTTGAAAAGTTAGTTTGTCGTCTTTCTTTTGCTGCCATTTATGTATGTCTGGGTGATTTTTGGTAGTTAAATCCAAACTGAAATCAATCACAGTATTATGAATCAATGACAGTACAGAAATGTTATTCTTCTGTTTCGGAAAACACCATCTTGGTTGTGACCTCCTCCTCCGTCCTGTGGCCCTGCTGATAGGTTTTTGAGGTGAACTGTGTTGTTTGTCCCTCTTTTGTCTCGTCACCCCAGACCAAGCAGCTGACGACCATGTTAAGATCAAAATTACTAAGTATAAGACGGGCAGCAGCCCTGATGGGGAGGTCAAAGTTCAGGAGATGGGCGAAGGAGACCCCCAGTGGCAGCACATAAAGGACGTGGTTAAAGAACAGCTAGAGAGAGCAGGCCTGAAGGCAGAAGGTATGATGGGTAGGGTCCCTAACACTCATGGCCTTTCCTCTCTTCTATCTGTTATCCTGAGCATATAGACCTTCTGTACTTCTCGTTTCATCTTTCAAAAGCAGAATACCGTCAGGTTAAGCTGTTCAAATGACACTTGTGTGTGTCAACAGTATGAAGGGCGTCCTTAATTTATTTTCATGCTGCCGGCAAACTTAAAACTTAACACAAATACTCTAACCTAAGGCATTCAATCGGGAAACTATTAAATTGTGTACTTTTAAAAACAGAAATATATCTCTGACAGCAGCTAGATGAAGCGTATGTTATAGACAAAAGAGAAATGAAAGGTGTGTGTTCATTTCTTTTTCATTCACACTTTTGTTTGTCATGCTTCATTATGATTGATTATTCAGAACCAATGATAAATCAGCAAACACACTTTTTCCTCTTGTTTGTCTTCGTAGGTAAAATTGAGGTGAAGATCTTGACACGAAAAAATGCGGAGGAGGCAGGTGATCAGTGGTTGACTGAAGAAGATACAAAGTCCTTCAGGGAGCTCCTCATAAATCTCCTGGTAATTTTAGAAATGAATGTAACTACGTTTGGATTCATCTCGGTGGAACTTGTGCACACAATGCGGTTTCGCAGCAGCCGAGTGCTGTACAGCAGGCTTCTTCCACTTTGTCCATTCAACACCTTATTTGCTTTATTGTCCAAACAGATTCCTTGTTATTACTGTAGTACAAGTTATTCCTCTGGGCCACACGGAAGACCACATTACACAGTATCAACACTATGCAATCTGAATAGGAGAATAAGATTGATCCCACACATTCAGAATTTCACCTCACACATTACACGATTTATAATAATTGAATACACTATATAGTGGAATAGGTATAAAACGGTATATATAACTGCACAATACTAGTAGTGTACAGTGAAGCATGTTCGCATCACACACATAATCCACCTCCTCGTAGGGTGTATCATATTTAGGCAAAACGTCTTTTTCTTGATGAATGCTATTCTTGATTTTTTTTTGACTGATTCTATTGATAATCTGAGTTAAATGTAACATTAGTTTGGCTTTAAAGCATTCATTTTATGTAAAGGTGAAGCATCCCATTTACGCTTGTTTGGTGGTACAACAAAGGCCGATTTTAGCTCTCACCCTCAATGACAGAATACTTTTACTGAAGCTTCTGATCAAAAGACATTAATAAAACTGTTGTGCTTTAGAAAACTAGGCTGTGAAATACGAGGGGTCGGTAATGACCAGTGGGATTCAGGCTCGCTGTGTCCACAGTTTCTTTGTGTTCTAGAGTTGAACTAAATTGCTTAAACACCCTCATCTAACATCATAAAGTCTGAATTAATGTTTTAGGAAATGGAACTTGAACCAGATTTCATCAGAATAAGGACTTTTTTGGGGGGTGGGAAACCTTTTTATTTTTTATTTTCCAGAAGCTGTATTAACATGCAATCATAAAGGTGAACGCATAATTTTTTTTTTCTCCACCAAACAGACCGGCGGCACAGAAGAGGTTTACAAAGAGCAAAAGAGGCAGCAGGAGCTGGAGAATAACTATAGGTTTGTGTGGGCAGAGTCCCAGGAGGAGTCCCAGTCATCCAGCACCTCTGACTCAGAAGATGTGGACATATGAGCTCATTCAGTGCCCTGTTGTGTCGGTGAACTCCTGTGGAGGGAACCTCAATCAATAAATAAATTACTTCAATTAAACGTGGTAGATGATATCTACTCTCCTCTTTGCACATTCAGAAAATGTGTGTGTGTGTCTTGAATAGGCAATGTGTGTGTCACCATTTAGCTGCTGCACGCAGCAACATCATCGGCCGCACTCTGCGGTTGAATGAAGTTCTGCATTTTCCCCTTTTTGATGGGATTCAGTTTTGAATGACAGTTACTTTCTTGTGTGCGATTTCAACTGAATATTTGCATCTAGTTCTGAAGTGGTCAGCGGCGCGCACACACTGTGTCCCCAGTTGAATTATTTGCATTTGTGTTATATGTTGGTCTTGACAAAGAAGTCCTTACATGTAAAAGTCAGCGGGGGGAATTGTGCATGCGTCAAAAAAAGTTAAATATTGTTCGCACAGGTTGTTCAATTTACAATTTAATCAAAAGAATGATTGATTGTATCTGGATATGAAAAACCAAGGACACATTTTGAGGGTCTCGTTTTAGTTCGCAGTTTTCTATGAAACTGCATTGCTGCATTTGGTGATTAGATTTAACACAACTGTAGATTACAAAAGTGGTTGTACACATGTTGTCACACTTATCTTTGTGTTAACCCAGAATTTTAACATTGTTTCACAAAAACATGCTGTGTGGGCTGTGATGTTTATGGATCCATACCAAAAACACTGAAGGTAGTTTATAAATGTACATTTCAAGTTTATACTTTAATTTGATTAAACTATGATTTAATTTACCCTTATTTAGCAAAGGAAAAGAAACAAGTCATTTAAATGACGAATCCACTCAGAACCTTTTAAAGGATTCTTAAGACGTGTAATTAAGGGCTGGCTTTGTATTATTTGTGAATAATTGTGACTACTTTGAACTCAACTTGTACATAATTCTGGAGTATATATGTTTTTTTTTCAACTAATTTGATGTATATTAGCACAAAGTTTGACTTGAGACCTGAGTAAATGAGGTCGCTTTAGGCAAGAAGCTCGTAACCAGGCGCTGTGATCAGATCAGAAAGCAGAAAACATGCTTCAAAATGTGTGGTGTGCGTTTCTTAAATTTCTCTACTGGATTTGTCTTCTAAAGATTGCTCTTGCGTTGTTATGCACCTTTTAATGGTCTAATCTGATCTTGGGCCTGTATCGTAATGCCATGGAAAACCAAAAGTTAACAGGACCAGTTTATAATCAGACACCTTTTATCGAGAATAAAATACATAATACAGTATGTGGAAAAATAAAAAACGCTTGTTAAGTAATTGCACCTGTATATTTCGTTTTTTCCCAGTAGGACGCTGCTGCGCTTTTGTTTTGAAATAACCCGATTTGACCGGAAGACACGGAGAACGGCTTCCTAATAAGTTAGAAGTAGCGTTAATTTAAGCAATGTTTTGAAACATTTATTTATGGGTGTTTTTGTCTAACGTTATTTTCACTATCGCTTAGAGCGATAAACGGTGAATTCCCCCTACTCGCGTCGGTGACGTTTCCGTTAGCTAACGTTATGTTGACGCTAATTTAGCACCGAAGTTAACGTTGGCTTTCGATCAAACCAACGGGCCGGCCGGCCGTTAGCTAACGGTTACCACCCCGCTAACCCCAGAACTTCAGCAGACGACGATGACGATAATAACTGCTGACGTTACTATAACTCGTTATTGTATCTCGGATATTATGTAATCTGGCTCGTGTAGTTCGCTCGCCCGTCGTCTCTATAACCGACCCCTCGGTGTTGCTAGCTGGGCTGTCGTTCAGGGAGGTGTGGGGGGCGGGGGGAGAAAAAGAAACTACGCCGGAGGACAAAACAAGCTCAGCTTTCCCTTTTACGAAGTTGGTGGGTGCCGTTATCATGAAGTAAACTGTCCGTGGGGGCGTTCGGCTGCTGTGGTGACCCCGTTTGTGAGTAGTACATTTAAACTCGATCGCAAACACGTGACGTTACTGACACCGTTAGCGAGGTTGTCTCGCGTGCACTCGCTGTCAGCGCGTACAGTGGCGAATGTTTCCGGGGCCGCGGGGCTCATATGAGTATGTTTCTCTTTTAACGTCTCATTCAGGCTCCAGCACGTTGAAAAGATTGCCAGGGAGACACCGGGTTTAAAATGACGGCCCTCAGGTCCAGAGTTTGCTTCTGTGCGGGGTTCGTGGTGGGAACCTTCATGCTGTACGCGTTTCTGCGCCAGGTGGGCTTCGAGAGGACTTTATCGCCACAGACGTCCGGCAGTTTCAATCAACTTCGCGGCCACCAGCAGCCCGACGAAGAGAAGAATATATGGAAGAAGGAGAGGTCTGCTCTTTTCAACCTGAAGCATCCTCATCATATAGGTACTATGCTTTTTTTTATTTTGTGTAAATAACGTTATCACATATGGCAAATTAGTACAATAACCCAACTGTGCAGTTCTAATAATGACACCTGTTTTTGTAATCAATATTTGTAAAAAAGTTTCGCTATATCTATAATGGAGCCGATATTTTTTACAAACGTCAAATGTGGGATTTGCTTCACTCAGCTGGGATTCCTCTGTAAAAAGGGAAGAAGTTTTCAGTACATTGAAACAGTGTTGTCCCTTCCTTCTCTTCACCACACCCCTCACACTCAAGGATTGTGGTTAAAAGGGATTTTTCTCTCCCATTTCACAATGTTCCATGTGATGAAGACATACACGAATGAATGAATACAATCTTCTAGAAATTTAGTTAGCGGGCAAAACATAACCATTGTTCTATACTTAAGCAATAAGGTACGAGAGGGTGTACTCCAATAATGTAACAGTTCGGAGGTGTTGTTGGGCCCGACGCGCAATCCGGCCAACCGTTGTGTGGTTAGAGGTTAAGCAAACACCTGTACAAGGAAATACAAACAGTAACACCTTTGTGTGCTGTGCCATCCAGCAAAGTGAAATAAAGATTGTCTGTAGGAGATTACAGACAATGTGATCCTCTTAAGGTGCTATTGCTTCTTGATTGGATTTAATATACATATCAGTTGAGAAGCCCAGACCTTTAGGCAAATCATTTTTAATATTATGGTATCTCTAAATTTGATTCAGTCGGCAACTGAACAGTGTCACTCGTGGTGCCTGGTGGAGCCCTTTTGGAGAGCTGTGAAAACTGCTAAATAAGACATTATATATAACGTTGTCTTCAATAAAAGTCCAAACTGGAAAAGAAACAAAAGGGACCTGGAGAATTGGACAAAAGAAAAAGACGGTTACTTTGTTATTTTCACACTTAAGTGTTTTTTTTTGCACAATAACACACAATTCGGATTTAGAAAAGACGTAATGCTTTTATTCAACACTAGTTCATTAGTAGTTTTTAAGATGTATGAATTACTGGGATGTCAGTCAGGTCAATTCCTCTCTCTAGATCGCATATTTTCACTTGATTATCATTTTCACCGCAGCCGGTAATGTAGCGTCTACAACGTCTACAAGTTCGCTTCCATTGCCAAATTTTTTACTGTATAAAGAAGAAAGAAAAGAAAGTATCCTTTATTGATCCTCTTGGGGAAATTATTCTCTGCATTTAACCTGTCCCACACAGTGGGAGCAGTGTGCTGCCGTAAAGGCGCCCGAGGAGCAGGTAGGGGTTAGGGGTCTTGCTCAGGGACACGCAACAGGGAGCAATCGGGGGTCAGACATATTCTTTTGACAATGAGGTAAAATCCTGCTCAACCTCATATAGAGAGCAATAGATGATTAGCTTAATTTATATTTTACAAAAACAAAGTTAAGACCGTTCAGCCTGTAACCTGGTACACGTATAATCCAGGGCCTGTACGTGTACTCGGTGGTTGAGTCCGACTGAACTTATTCAATTTGTCAACTGATTTTTCATGACTGTTTCTCTAAATTTGGTCTGGATTCGTAGTTTGAGCTGTTTGTTAATCAAGTAGAGAAATTTAAGAAACGCACACCACACATTTTGAAGCATGTTTTCTGCTTTCTGTCATTTGAATTTCGTAAATTGCAGTGTATTATGCTATGCATTGTATATTGTCACACAGTGTAAACCGTTGTTTACATACTTGCGTCTCCTCACCAGGCGAGGATAGCGGCATGGCGGATGAACTGTTCAAAAAGGTGCGTATTCTTTGCTGGGTGATGACTGGACCCAACAACCTGGAGACGAAGGCTCGGCATGTGAAGTCTACTTGGAGTCGCCACTGCAATGTTATTGTCTTCATGAGCTCTGTGGAGGATCCCAACTTCCCCACAGTGGGCTTAGGAACGAAGGAGGGCCGGGACCAGCTGTATTGGAAAACAATCCGGGCCTTCCATTACGCCTACGAGCATTACAGCAACGAGGCGGATTGGTTCCTCAAAGCAGATGACGACACCTACGTAATCGTAGACAACCTGCGTTGGGTCCTTTCGAACCACACGCCGGACGAGCCAATTTACTTTGGCCGAAGATTCAAGCCCTACACCAAGCAGGGCTACATGAGCGGTGGCGCAGGCTACGTGTTGAGCAGAGAGGCTCTGCGGCGGTTTGTTGAGGGATTTAAAAGCAAGGTTTGCACTCACACAACCTCTGTGGAGGACCTGGCAATGGGGCAGTGCATGGAGAAAGTTGGAGTGCTGGCAGGGGACACCAGGGACACTTGGCACAGGGAGACATTTCACCCATTTATCCCCGAACAGCACCTCACTGGCAAGCTTCCCAAGAGCTTCTGGTATTGGAGCTACTGTTACTACCCAATCTCAGAGGCAAGTGCAAATCATTCTGGACTTTCCCTTTATTGTTGACGTGGTATTACACTGGCATGATGCACTGCTAACGTCGTATTGGTGACGAGCATCCCGCATATGGAGCTAGAACCAACCAGAACCGAGCTACAGTGTACTCATCACAAACAAATATATAAATGCTTCACCTCGTTCCAAACGTTAGAGTTTGGCTACAATATGCCCTAATCTCTTTTAAAATACCCCAAACACAACTTTGGTATTACAAGTTAGAAAATATCCTTTGCAAATGAGTCCAGATATTGTGCTCTCGGCAGTACAAAAGTTGAACAATTTTTGAAGCTAAATGCTGTCACAGAAAACCACGCTTGCAAATAGCTAGACGGAATTGTGCAAAATCCAGTTGTATCTTTTAAATTTCTCTCAGACAAATCATGCTGAATTGAGAATCGAAGCGTATGAATCATAAATATCTCCTACCTTTGCCGTTTTTGAACAATATTATTCTGCTGTTTCTGCAATGCAATACGGCCAGCCCTCATCTTGCATGACTCCCACAGCTTGTTGCTTATATAATGACGTTAGGGGGTTGAAGGGTCGAATTTTACAGCCAATCCTTACTCGAGCGTCAATTTAAGCTTTACCTGTTTTGACTTCTGAGTGGCTAAGGACGCTGTTGATCATTTCCGTGTGGCTTTAGTCGTATTGGCCCACGGGAACCCGAGATGGACAAAAGGCATGATTTTGACTCTCCCGTTTCTGGGCCGTGAGTTCTTCACATAAGTCTCCTTTTTGGAGCAGGCTAGTCAATTAAAGTTAAAAAAAGACATGTGATTTTTAGTAGTTTAAGACTAAAAACTAGGTGCTTTTTAAAAGGGATGTCATTTTATTTCCAAACCCAAAGGATGTGATCAGGCACAAAAAGCTTCAAGAAATGACTCACTTTTTGTTCTTTAAGACAACTTTGGGACAGCGCGTAATATGTCAGTGTCGCTCGCAGCAGCGTGGGAAAGAAAGCACCGCAGTGACGACACCCCCCCCGGCTGTTAGTGGTCAAACTGGATTATCCAAAGTAACAAAAGCTGGTCTTTGTATTGTTGTATAACCACATATTTTCTTTATCTCCAGGGTCCAACCTGCTGTTCGGATGTTTCCGTGTCGTTCCACTATGTAGATGCTTTAAACATGTATTTAATGGAGTACTACACGTATCACCTGCGTGCCTTTGGCTACAGATATCGGTACCAGCCCCCGGCCCCAGCGGGGTACAGTGTTGAGCACTCGAGTTCCTGGGATGCTACGGATGAAAAAGAAGTGCAGACATCCCAGGGGAAAGAGCCAGGAAGGGGGGATGATCCATCCAGGACTGACAAGAGACATGATAAAGATCCCCCCCCTCCCCCTGCGGCTAGACAGGAGCTTCCTGCTGTTCCTGTTCCGGTAAATGTTTGACTTTGAGGGTGTGTCGGTTTGCGAAGGAAGTCTGATAATCTTGGCTGAAATCTTTACAAAAGTAAAAAATAGGTATTTGAAATGTCACACAAAAGTGCGTTTCTGATTGCCTGCTGCTACTGAGAATTGCGACTGAAGAGACCACGTTCAAAATCATTGAGCTGGCCTTTGAGGCTAAGAAGTGATTCATGACTTAACCTCATTCTATTTTTGGTGGTTTTACAGATGAACATTTTCTTTAAAAATTGATAATAGCTTTCTGTAACCTCCTGCTCATTTGTTGATTAACTAAAGCACCTCTTTAATCCATATGAACCTATTATGTTTAAGAAAAATTTGAAAAATAAAGGGTTTTAATTTTTATTTAAATGAAAGTGCCTCACCTTGCAAACAAATCAAACCATCTATTTTTAACGTCACAACGTTTTGCATCCAAAACTAGTCAGTCTGTAAACTAAGGTTGTCACAATACAGGCAAAAGTAATGTTTTGTCCCCAAGTGGAGAAATGAATCCTTTTATCTGAATGTATGCTGCGGTAAAAAAAGTATTTACATTTGTATTAACTAGTTTTTTATTACAATTTGTGACTAGGGCTGCAGCGACTGCTATTGTGTTCATCACTGATTTAATCTTTTTATCTATCTTCTCATTGTTCGACCCATAAGATGTAAAGAAAATAGCAAAAACTGCACTTAAGATTTCCTATTCAAATAACATTTAATGATAAACCGTGAAACACAAATACGATGAATTCATTACATGTAAAAGAAAATAAGCAGCAGACTATTTTAAACAATATTTTGAATAGTTGATTTTCGGCCGTCTAATTGATTAACCAACTTAATTAACTGTTACTGTGAAAGTGAAGGTGATTTTAGCTTTGATCTTGCAGCCCTAATCCAGTATTAGTGCACTAGAAAAAGGCAAATATGTCGTATTATACCTCTTCAAAGATATTTAAACCCCCCCAGAAAATACAGATAGGAAGTTAATTTCAGCAGGAAGCCATTGCTCCGATGGATGAGTGTGTCTCTCTTTTGCAAATACAAATACAATGAGGTGAGAAAGATGCTTCTAAATGAAAGCCAAATAATTAGATGTATACAGTCCAGCCAAAGAATTCCACGAGGGATGATACCAGACACACAACCTGGTGTGTTTCAATTGTTGTAATTTGTGTATGTTCAGTGAACTGTGTACTTTCAGGATGTTTGTTATCTACTCTGCAATACAAAGGTTCAGAGTAAAACACACCTTGAGAGAGAGGAGGAGCTTGTTGCTGGAGTATAGTTAGTGGAATGAATTCTGTGTATGTGCTTCCTGATTCGTCACTTGGCACCTGCACTGTCCACTCATCTAGTTTGTGCCTTGTCAAATTGAGATTGTAGGATTCATCCGCTGCACACAAGACTTGCACTGTGACGTAACCATGAGAGTGATGCTTTCAGATACTCAATACTTATACTTACTGAATCCTTCCAATGTAATGAGCATATCTTTTTGTAAAGCCTGTGGGTGACTTGTTCCTTCAAAGAGCTAGAAAATGTTTATTTTATTTTCTACAATGTTTGCAGACCCTATGTTTTTGTGTTTGTACACACAGTACAGTGGTTGTGCCTCAGTTCCTTTTTATTACTTTGTGTCCAAACAAATAATTCATTTTGTGGGTGCAGCAGTAATTACCAAATACAATTGTTATTCAGACAGAATAGTTGGTTCTTAGTGAAAACTGATTGCACTTTTGAGCGATTATAATTGCTGTTTTTCTTTTTAACCACTTAAACCTCTTATTGTCGTTCAAGGTTAGAATGTATGAGGTAATGCCTTTTGTACGTGTTTACACTCAGCTGCCATCTTATTTCAGTGCTTATGTTCAGTTTATTAAAATCCAAAATCCAGTTTAAACCAAATCAGAATAATTTAAATAATTGCTTCAGTTGAAATGACATATGTCCAGTTTTCAGTAGCTGAGGGCTTTAGGACACATTCATCTGCGAGCAGTTCGGGGGGCCCAAGACATCTGGTTTCTAATGCCGTACATCCAGTCCTTGACAATCAGCTCCATTAGGATTCTATCTACGGGAGAGCGTGTACAGTGCTGTATTTATATTTGAAGTGTATATGTGGTGGGATTGATGTCTTAATTGAGTCAATGCAGTTAAGTGTGTAAATGAGTTTTGAGTGACCACATGTGATCAGTGTGCAGGGTTGTTTGGTACTTTAATCACTATAAATAAACGCATATTTTACTGTACATTTGTCTGTTTTTTACATTTGCTTACATAAGTCAGAACAATTTACATCGACAGTAGAAAGACTTTCATGCGCGGTTAAAGTGGCTTTTTCTCCTGCGGCTCCATAACTTTGACCTCCTGTTACAATCGCTTTGAGTATTTATCAGCGCTGTGCGGGTCTGCAGGTTTTAGGGTCTGCGTTGAGGTGGAGGCACATAGGGGAAGCGTTGAAACCTAAGTGTAGAAAACAAGGCTTGTGAAAGATTCGTTAAAAGAACATTTCGTTATTTAATTTCAGCGAGGAGGCACATCCAAAGTTCTTACCTTTTCCCCCCATTATTGATGAATGGGCCTCCATTTGTTGTTAAATACTCCCCGACACACGGGCAAGCCATTCCTGTTGAGAGATTTTTATTCTGATACATTTTTAATAATTATACACTACCAGACAAAAGTTTAGACACATTTTCTCATTCAATTCAATGAGAAAGTGTGTCCAAACTTGTATGGGTACGGTTTTAAGTAAAACAAGGTTTAACTTAAAAGTGTACATTTAACTTAAAAAGGACATTGATTCGATTCAGAAATTGTATACAAAATATTCATGCAACATGCTTATATAAAAAGATAATACATTATATAGTTAAACATGGTTTTCCAAATCAAAAATGTCTTGCTCGATATCTTTCAAACGTATTTTGTTACAATGTTATCAAAAAATCTGCTCAGGGAAAACCCCCCAGTGTTTTTAGATTTGGAATATTGGGAGCCATTTTAATTTTTCTTAAAATAATTATGCACACGTTTATGTGTCCGACAAATAGCCACACAATTAACTGAAATAAAGCGCAGTGACTCAGTAGATATTGTATGACTTACTCAATGAATGCTTTGTGTTGCTGACACTCACCTGTTTGTCGCTGTAACATATCTGCAAACATGTGATCAATGTGTCCTAAACAAGAATGACAAAGTGTAACATGCAACACCACAATAGGTCAGTTCATCACAGAGAAATGCCGAAAACTGGCTTCAACTTTGTACTTTTTCTTGCTTCTGTGAGATGCAAAAAGAGTTATAGGTTAGACGAGAGCGTTTCCACAGTCAGTGAGAAAAGGTTCTGTAAAATGTGGTATATATAAAATTAAAAACTCACTCTTGTGTTTAGCAACACTTCTCCTTCCCATTAGACCCACAAAACCGTCATAGTCAACGTCTTTAAGTCTCTTCAACATAGCATCTTCTGTATCACAGCACTCCGGCTTGTTCTGAAATACAAAACTTAATTTAGCCTCTTAGAAATGATATAGAAATGTTTTGAAAATCTGCTAAAACAACTTAAAGTATCAGGCCATAACTCCCTTGACTTTGTAAATATTACATAAATAAGTGAATAAGGGAAACCTTTCTAGCCTTTGCGACATTTGTTTTGCACATATTAAAGCATATCAACAGATGTACATGGCAGCACATCCTGAACCATAAATATCATTAAAAGCTTCTTCTGGGAGATGGATAAATGGTGCAAAAAAGATATTCAAACCATGTGTTCAAGGCTTGGTAAGCAGCCTTGAATACTGCGTGGGACAAAGGATGGGATGTGCCCTAAATGTATGTAGCATTACCTCTGTGAGGGATTTGTAGGCATATTCCTTACATCCAGACCTCACAGGAAACAAGAGGAGGACGATCAGTAAAGCCAGAGTGCCGCAGCCGTTTGAAGGTCTTCCCATCGCTCTGAAATCAGATGCGTAAAAACAAATCTTCATAGATCCACAGCTGAACCTCCTCTCCAAATCATTTGGGTATGACTCTTTTTATTTTGATCATTTGTTTTAATTTATAGTTATTCTTTTAAGCAATTTTAAGTGTGCTATTTTCGTAGTCAGGGTTTTCCAGCAGACTAATTTAAATGATGTATTTAACTGTTTAACCGTCCCATTTTAATTTCAATGTAATGTGAAGCCAAATGACAAAATAAGTAAAATAGAAAGTTTTTTATCAACTAGTTCCCTCTTCTAACATAGTAAGGCTTCTTTATCAAAATATCTTCGATGAATAAAAACAACATGAACGTCTCACCTCTTAATAGTGTTGAAAAATCTTGATCCTCTCAACAGTTCACTCAGTATCAAAGGAACTCAATGACGACTGAAACTGTGTCTCTGTGCTCAGCAACTTCTCATCTCAATTGTTTTATAGTCCTTGAGCTCATATGTAATCAAATTAGAGCTCCACCCACCACCCAAACCCCCCTGCACCCTCACCCCAACATGCACACACACGTTTTCTCATCGGTCTCATCAAATAATTGAAACGGTCTTCCTGACATTTTTAGATACATTTGTAATATACATCTTGCATGTTTTCACACATGATTATTTATTTATTTACAAAACAAACCTTAATTGTATCACAAAGCCACTAAAACTTGAACGTAGGTGTTTGTGTTGGTGTGCGTGTGTGTGTTGGTGTGTGTGTTTGTTTGCCTCCCTGGAGAAATTGAGGTATTATGGGCCTGTGTAATTGGACGGGACTTGGAAACAGCGTATACGCCCTGTCTGCGGATATTGCTGCTCTGTCAACACAGTCAATAGCAGGGCCCTGTTCCTCGTACGTGGTTAACTGAGTTAGCCGGATAATGTTCAGGATGAGATGACGTTGATCGGGCTTTTCGCTTCCCCGAAGCAGGTTTGTCTAAATAGCAATACGTCGAAAAGCTTAAACCTGCTCCAGCGCAGGTTTGAGCTGCTGGATCAGTTCATCACTCCCCCGGAAAAAAAGGGCAGCTCACTTCCTCATTGATGAACGATCTAATTAAACCACGTACGAGGAACAAGGCCCTGGAAAGCTGGTAAACTGGAAACCTGTAAAAAAAAACAACTTCAAAACACTGCCTTCATCATAGTGTACTGACCTGTTGCGCAAGTATGAGTAACCAGGGCTGCTCATACTCAGCCTTGTGCAATGACACCTGCATTTACTTGGCATGCTTTACCGCTTCACAGAGGATCGTTGACACTACCGTTTACCTTCAAGGCTTCACTTGGGTTTAGAGTAGAAAAAGATATGCAGTCTGGGCACTTTTAACGAGAGACACAATGAGCTTTATTCATGACTGGCTGGTATGGTATGGAACTGGTTAACATAACTTAATGTTTTACTTGTTGCACTTGTATATTTGTAGCATTTGTGTATGTAGGTCTCTCCTTTTTTGGTGCGGGGGCTCTGCACCAGATCGTCCCCCGGGTACTAGATCTGAAGGAACTGTAGGGGTGATGTGGTTTGGGGGGAGTGAATGTTGGGTGAGCAGACGGAGTCTCGGTCAGAAGACCCGAACGGCAAGGAGTGAGAAAACGATGCAAGGCAGGTTGGATGGAACACCAGTAGTTTATTTCTTGATATTTCTTCTGTGTGCTGCATCAAAAACATAAACAAAGAAACAATACAATTCAATTAAATAATGGAGTGGTCAATCAAACAACAAACAATCCTACATGGCTCCTGGCACATGTGTCAACTTGAATACGCACACTTCAGGATACGCTGGAGTACTGGCAGGGAGTGGAAAAGGGTGAACTGCCAGGGGAGCAGACTATTTATAGTCTCCGCCTCCTTAGCCAGCAGGTGAAGCTTGATTGATTATGAATGACTGATTGATTCATTCATTCACAAAGAAATGAACAGACAAAAAGAACCCAGGTTCCAGGGAGTCTTTTCAAGATCAAAATAGATATATTGATTTGAATTTAAGAACCATGACAATATTGTATATTTTTGACTGTGTTCAAGCTTCTCAAACAAACATGAAATAACAATGTAACTTTTTTTCATCACCTGAATAATACTTTTATATCAATTAAGCACCAAGTTCCACAGTAGCTCTTTTGCAGCCCAGTTGTCTTGAAGCTAGATTCTTAAAATCATCTTTTCTTTGAATGACTTAAGGACTTTTTGGTAAATCTTTAGCTTTAAACCATATTTACAATAAACACTTTAAACTTAGGGTACTTTCAGTGTGATTTAATGAATTCCCACATGAGGGAAGAAGTCAAATTCAGGCTGTAGCTTTGATTGTTAAGGGAAAAACTGTGTAACATTACAGATTCCTATCCTGACGGTTTGTAAATGAATTTATGTTTCACATTTGAATCATGTCTATAATCCCAAAACGCTCGGCCATCTTCTTGACACAAATATTAAAACATTGTAAGTCACTCACAACCAGTTGAAGAGTGAACTCTGACTACACTAAAACACGCTGTGAATGTTGGAATGAGATCATGACACTCAACAAAGGGAGTTGTGATTCCTTGGCGGTTACTTTCCTCTTCAATCCTAGCACATTTTTGATTAAACACCAGGAGCTACTTATATTTGTTTCAAGTGTTAATTAAGAAATTAATCTGTAAACAACAATACTTTATAAATAGCACCTGCAAATTGGCAGTTTTTTTTCAGATTGACAACTTCAAACCCAGAGGGCAGCTTCCTTACGTACGCAGGCTGAATGAAGCAGGCGTGAACACGACATCAACCAACAACTCCATACTTAACTTGTTGGTAGTGCACAGTGAGAAGCTTTAATGTTGTAAACAATTCGATGACAGAGGATGAAAAGACAAGGCAGGAAGTGAAGTTAACCCAGGGATACAAGAGGCAGAAAACTACAAAATAAAACATGAAACAAACCCAAACCGTGACAATATCATCAAACTGGTAGGTCCTTCTGTTTTTGCCTCTGTGCTTCCAAAGCTCTTTAAGAATGTAATTTATTATAAGCATAATAATAATAATCAAACAATGCCGTCACAAAAAAGTAAAGAAGTATTTGCTCTGTGCGCAATTACGGCGTGCTTTATTTGAATCAAGCCAGTTTCAGTTTTATTTTTGTTGAAATGATGCAGCGAAGAAAAGCAGGAGTTTTATTGTGATTTTTCAACTCACTTTTTTTTTTTTAGCTAGTTTGGTCTTAATAAACTCAAGGAAATCTCCTTAGCTGGAAAACTCCTTTTAACTCATTTTAAAACCAAATCGATTATCTGAAAAAAGGTTACAAATCTGAAAATAGGGATTTTCATGTGACTTTTTATACAAGATAAAGATATTTTTCATATATTTTATCAACAGCCTGCTCCAGGGCAAAGTTGTGCTATTCTGGATGCTCTGAGATGGACTTTTACTATAGAGCTTGGTGTGAGTGAATGGGGCTTCAGAGGATAAAAGAAAACCTTTTCTAAAGGACGTTAGATTATGAATGTTATGTGTTGAGCTGTGGGGACAATACATGAAGGGTTGTGAATTAGTCTTTATCTCAGATAGCCCCTCGGTTTCTCTCACTTAGCACTTTTCTTCACATGCTCACGGCATTTCTTTGAAGTATTTGGGTCAAAAAAACAAAAGCCTCTCGTCCCGAGAGAGCGCAGCGGGACGGGGGAGGGATGAGGGATGAGAGGATAGCGGGGGAGACGAACAAAACTGCTCTGGGACACATGGACTTTCCCCACGTGAATCAATATTCAAGCCCTGATCTCCCTGTTGAGCAATGAGGCCAAAGAGAAGCGGCAGCTGAAAGACAGATGAGACAGAGGGAGGGTTGTGGGATGTCATGTGTAAAGGACTCTCATTGGAGGCAGAGAGAGAGCAGACTGCTATGCACATTGTAAGGGGGGAAAGGGGAAACAAAAAGCATCCTTCTACACGCTGAAGCCATCTCGGTCGCTCTGCTACATTCTGGAGTCCACGTCTGATTGTTATTAAGGTAGGTACTGAACACGTTAAGAAAGAGTGAGTGGAACCATGTTTATATTTTGAGGTTGTAGTTCGTACAAGAGAAGAAGGACAGGCTAAGTGTAGAGCCTCTGTGTTGGGATGTGTTGCTCATTCTTGCACATTTTTAAATATTCATTTGTTTGTTTGTAATGTAGATGACTTTAATTCCGTGCTGTTCATCTTCAATGAGAGTTTTTTTTGCAGTCGGACTGGATCCAAATCTAAAAGCTTACAATATTGTGCCACGAGAGGCATTACAGAATCGGACAAACTGAAAAGCCAAAAAGGAGCCAACGAATCATGAATCATTGAGTGAGAGTAAACGGCGGACAAAGTCGAATGCAGGGTCAACACTGTCAAACAAGGACTCATTCGTTCTATCAGTGTGATCATGTTTTTTTTCTCCCGTACTTAATGTTACAGTTCTGGTGGAATAAAGCTCTAACAAGTCTGGAATGATGTCCTCCAAGTTGAAGTGGCTGATTGTGATTCAGCTCCTGCTGAATGAACAGGCTTTGTGCAGGGGGCCACCTCCTCTGGCGCTCGGATCTACTCCACTTCCAGGAGCAGACTTCAATGAAGCGAGAGACGCAACGGCCAAACGCGATCACCCGCCTCTCCTGGGACACAAACTCCAACGTGGTATCTCGTCTGCAGAAAAAGAGGGGAGCATTCAATCTGCCAAAAATATAATATTAGTCCTCAGGGCCAAGCTTCCGGAGCAGTTACAAGATCACCTCCACATTAAGGGAAACGTAAGTTGTAGGGAGCTGCTGGCCGCCAGCACCTTGTACGACCCATCGTCCCCCTTGTTCCCCCAGGAGCTCTTGGCTCTCTCTTTGGTGCCCTTATTGGTGGTGGCAGGCTGCCAACAGGAGGCACAGACCCTGGTGCTCAAGCTGCACGACCTCCTTGGAGTGGCGGACACGGAGGAGCTCCTGATGGAGGTGGAGGGTCTGATAGAGCGGAGGGTGAGCAAGGCCGCATCGACGCCTGCAGGGAGGAATCGGGCAGGTCGCCACATGGAGGCTGTGATGTTCAACATCCAGCAGCTGACCGTGCTGGGAGAAGGTTACTCGAAGCGCGAAGGGCGCTGTGAGGGTTGGACCAGGGTGAGGGGAACCTCCCTCACGGGAACAGCCGCGGAAGGAGCCACGGGGGATCTCGAGGAGGCGATGAGCGCCTGCGAGAGACTCGGAGTCCTGTGTGCTGGTGTGACCAGCAGCGGACCCCTCAGACCTGGGGAGTACAAGGGAGTGTTAAAGAACGGCAGTCGCGTCTTACCCTCCGAATTCCCAGGGTCTGAATGTTGGATCCGACGGTGCCGCGCGGAGGAGGACGTTCCGACCGTCGCGGCCTCGGGTTGCCGGGTGAGGCGGAGCCCCCGGAGGAGCTGCATCAACAAAAGCGAGGAGCGCGTGTACAACGTGGTCGAGTGGATCCCGGCAGTCAGCACCCTCTACAACCTCGGCACAGCCGTGTACTACGCCTCAGTCAACTGCTCCGAGACGGCCAAGGAGAGAGCCATCCTCAGCGCGGTTGACCTCGGCACAGATGCTCTCATGGTGGCCACGGGGGGGACGGCCGGGGTGGCGGGCTACGCTCTGGGCGCGGGGGTGAAGACCAGCGTGAAAGCGGGCGTCAGGTATCTGCTCAACTCCATGAAGCAGGAGGACGACGTGCTGGTGAACCAGGTCGGCTGGGAGGACGGCGTCATCGCTGTGCAGTAGGCTGAAGGGTCAACAAGTCGACCTGTGAATATTTAGTTTATACATTTTTGATTATTCTTTATTAAAGGTCTCAGCGATTTTTGTAATGATGAATATAATCCATTTATTTAGGGTAAAAAGTGAATTATATTACACATTAATTGCAAACAAGCTTGATGAAGCTCATAAAGTAAGCTTTTAACCTTCCTTTGCTACTAGAACATGTTTGTTTATAATTTAATAAATAATATCAATGTATCATTTTAAGCAGCAACTTCTGAAGAAAAGGTCTCAGGAAATTAAACCTCGAATCCCTAAAGACGTTAATTTTACTCACTTTGCATCCTGATTTTTCTCTGGCCGTTGTCCGTCGTCATTGTTGTTGCCATGAAAACATTTTGTAATGTCAGAGTCACATTCCCAACTGCTAATATAATGTGTTTTTTTCTTTTATTTTTGAATGTCAGACATACATATTGTACAGTATATTAAATCTATACGTATACGTACAGACTTCAGCGTGGTTATTCTGCACACTCTCATGCTGCATGTATTGTAATTGTCTTGACAATAACAGTTTTATTGTAAAAGAAGTAGTGAGCACCTGCTAAGTGAGAATACAGTGTTTGAAGTGCAGTTTCACATTAAACTGTATTTTCTACTTAGACTAAGTGTGCTTGGTGTGTGCAACATTATGAATGCACTACATTAAATATAATAATCATAATAATTATGTATTGTATAATGTATAATCATCTTTACTTTCTTAAGTTTGGGTTGGACAACTTTTACTCATGAATTAAAGCTTATTTTACTTACGTGACTGAAAATATATTTTTTCATGGAAGACATGTCCCGCCATACAAAGCACAAGGTCCTGGCATTGTTCATGCTGACTCTGTCACACGCACATGCTGGGAGACTTTAACAAAAAACAGACGTTGTTATTGTTTGTACTATTCAGACTAAAATAGTCACAATCCTGTTGTGAAAATGATCCCTGAATGTCTATTTGAGGCCTATTTAAACCCAGATGGCTGACATCTCTCTGTTAATTGTGCATGTTCTTTCTTTTCCTTCAATGTGTGTTTATGTGGGTGTGGATGTTGTGCATGCAGCGGCTCTTCTTTTCTAATTAAAAGACCCCACTAGGACCAGCAGCCCAAAATATATAACTCCTAATGGATCATTATGTTATCTGTTTTTTAGGGAACCTATACGTTGTCAAACATGATTTCCTTAAACATATGAGAGGCAACTTTTTTTTTTTTTTTTACAAATTTGACCACTTTTTCTGTAACTTTGCACTGTACACATTTACCAAACAGGTATTTTTGCACTCCTCAATCCAAACTTAATGAGTTCAAAGTGAATAACCCCAGATAAAATATAAAGTCAGCAATGAACATATAACAAGCCCTAAATAGTGGAAAGAGATTAGGAAAAAATCAGATAAACTCAGTACAGAACAAAACAGCTCGCTTTCTGATAACAGTTTGGGATTTTGGTTTATTAAAGGAGGTAAACCAGTTTATGATTTTTTAAATAATAACTTATTTGTTTGTCTGAAAGACAATTTAAACGTTTTAAACTTTCCTCCATCTATCCAAAGAAGTTTGTTTGTGATGGAATCAAACTCAGCGTCTGACCTCTGGGATCTGCGTGAACAGCTGTACTTTATTTCATTAAGATATTCTGAACGCTCAATCTACAGCCATATTTGTGATGCGTTTTTATACATTGTCCTTTTAATAACTTATTCAAACTGATGATTGTGGCAAGTATGACATCTACTGGTGAAAGTGGGAACTGAAGAGATGAATAATAAATGCAAATATTCTCACTCAGGCAAGTTATAGGTAGGCGGACAAAATACACCCGAAAATGATAATTCTATAGGTAATCTTTTTCAAGTATATATTTAAAGAACCTGAGTTGAAGTATTTACAAGCATTGTGTACTTTTTTATTTTAATGGGACTTTACATACAAATATGAGTATTGTCAATGTTGACACAAATGAGGATAGATCAAACTCTAGGAACAAAAGTTATGGTGAGCCCACGGAAATTGGTTGTTATAACATTTTATAAATGTTTTTGCCGCCAAATAAAACAGGAGGGTGAACAGCTCCTCACCACACTCTCGCAGAAGAAAGATGGGAAAAAGTTTTGCTCCGGAATTTGTCGTTGAATTTGTCATCTCCATTTTAGGAAGTGTTGTGCATGGAAGGGAAGAATCCTGAATCCTCCCTTTTAATGTGGGATCAGGATGAACCCTCTGTAGCGAAGAGATGTGAGTGAAAGAGATAAATAGCCTTTGAAGGACAAGAGAAGATATTAAATGACCTTGGGGAAAGCGTGGGAGCCCTGTTGTGAGCTGCAGTTAAGTGTGTGTTATTTTTGCTTATACGGCCTCTGGTCTGGACTTCCAGCCATCTTCCATTGGAAATATTTTTATCACAGTATCAGTGTCTTAAACCCAAATATCCAGATGTAATACATTTCTTTCTACCTCCAAGAGGTTTGGTACATCCTTCATTAGATTTGAATGTGTCGGTGCATTGCTTTGTTTCCAACTGAGTTGGATAAATCAACGTGTCAGAAAGCAAACAAATTAAATCATTGTGTTCCATGGCGTATTTATGTGTTACAATCTAATCATCAAGAGATCTAATCAGTAGGTCGATGCAAGATTTTTGAAGTTCTTTTAGATCACTGTAAACAATGTGTCATGCCCAAAAAAATAAAAATAACAATTTGATTTTTCTTAATTAAAAATCCATTTTACAAATAGTCAATATGTTTCTATTTGCGTTTTTGAGACATGGAATATACCCAGTATTATTTGTAAATTATGATATCTGCACAAAATATATGCTTTTCCTGCACGTCCTCTCCGCTTGTCTTAGCTGGGCTCGGGCACGGTCCCAAAGCGGCGGGTCTAAAAAGCAGTTAAGCTAATCACCGATAAAGTTAATGAGTGACATTATAATTGCAGCATCCTAAAACACATTGCAATTAGGGCTCGCCCTTCGCCGCCCTACGCCGCGCTCTCCGACCACTGGCCGTGTCCTTCCAAGAAGACCCGACTCCAACTCAGTGCGAGAGAAACGCTTTAGTTTTGTGGGGCTTTTGAGTTGGTCTTTCCTCAACGCATTGATCGGGCAACAAACTAGGTTCATCTTAATATATGCATATACATGTTCTAATAGATTTTATATAAATATATATATATATATAATATCCTTTAATATAATATATTTATTATATGAAATTTATATTGGATATTCATAATAGTTACGATATGGTAGCTATATCATATTCTGAATAATGTTTTTATAATGTAAAATATTTAACTGCAAAGTAATACTGTGCGTTTTTTCATAGCGTCGTTTCTCGGGAAATCGTCGAACGGGGCCATAAGTTTCTATTTTGCCCACCACGCCCCTCGCTACAGATTGACGTGAAAAACGCACCAATAGCACTCGCGATCCATTGACCGGATTGGCCAATGAGCTGTTAGCCCTGAGCTCACCGGGAAGCTGTTTGACCACACCCGGGCATTTTGGCTCCTACGCGCTTTACCGACGACTGTGTCAGAGCCAAAATGGTGCCCTTTGTTAATTCGAGAAGAACCAGATGGGCGGAATTAGTGTCTATCCAATGAAAGAGAACAAAGTAAACAAATATTGAGGAAATAACAACCACACCGATTGCCTGCTTTAGTGTTGGTCGCCGACGTCTAGAAGCACAACTGAAGTCAGCTAGTTTTTTAGTCAGCTGGTAACGATAGAAAGATAACTATGTACCTGTCTTAAATGAGCGGTTAGCCAACGTTAGTCTGTACGACAGTTATAAGTGGACTGCCTAACCGCATTAAGTAAGGTAAGCAAACCACTTCTGTGTCCTGCGGCTGTCTACTCTGTTGACTGACGCTTCGTCCAAAACAAGCTAACGTAATGTCACATACGAATAGTCCGGTTATAATCGACCTCCAATGTCTTGTTAAAAAGATGAAATCTCAATTTGCCGATATTAAGCCCCATTTCTAGTCGTGCATAGCGTTCAGTGAAGTTACCTCCTCTGACAGCGACTCGCACTTCACTCCCTCAATTCCGCGTTACACACGTCACGTTTACGTATAGCGAAGTGGTCGCGCATTAAATGCGGTGTGTGCGTGTGTGTGTGTGCGCGCTTGTTCGATCAGCCTCAGGATGGCTCAGTGGGAGCGACTCACACAGCTGCCCGATGCTTACAAACAGCAGCTGGATGAGCTCTACAACAGGGATGCCTTGCCGATGGATGTGAGGCACTACCTGTCGGCCTGGATCGAGAAGCAGGAGTGGTAGGCCGCTCTCTCATCTCTTCAGCCCCTGATATCATTCAACCCATTTTATATCGTACAACGATTACATTAATTCACCCTGTTTTTTTAAAACTCTGTTCTTTGTATCTTGTTTTCTTTTGTTCTATAGGCAACGAGCAGCACAGGATCACGACTTTGCGATGGCACTGTTTCAGGTCCTGCTGGAGAATCTGGACATACAACACAGTCGCTTCGTCCAGGAGGAGTCTTTCTTATTGCAGCACAACATTAGACGCCGTAAACAGAACTTTCAGGTTTGTCTAAGTGGTATAAATAGAAAGCAAAAAGGCCATTGGGCAACATGGCTTGAACATTGATATCTATCTGACTCTCTCTCTGCTTACAGGGATACCTGGATGACCCGTGTGCCTTGGCAAACACAATCCTATGGTTTTTGAAAAAAGAGAAGGAAATCCTGCAGAGCGCTGATCTGGCTGAGCAGGTTAGGGCAACATTGCACAGCGCTGCTGCTCATAACTTAATATAACTATAATGTCATGGAATGGCATTTATATGTGTGTAATTTTTACTAGTAACAATTACACACATGTCTTACAAGAAGGCCACAGAGAGCGATGTGCTGCGTTACTTAATTCACAAAATATGTTATACATTTTGTTTTCAGCTGTTCTGGAAAAAATTAGTGGTCAGTCAGTTGAAAAACGCAACACGTTTGTACTGAAAACCAACTTCAGGACTCAGTGTTTGGCTTTCCACCAAGATTTTCCACCGAGCAGCAATATCGTTATTAACCGCCACATTCACTCACAGTTACTCTTTGTACCGGAAAACATATTGGCCAGTTTCACATGCGATAGTCTCTTTATCTCTTTGCTTTTATCAGGTCCAGTTGTTGCATGTAGCGGAAGAAGCCATGGAAACAAGCAGCCAGCTGGACATCGAGCGTAAAATCGCTGGCCTTCGAAATGAAGTTGAGGTGCAAAGTCTTGTTGCTTTATACTATTGTGTTGTGCTTTTGTAATTGAATGAATTCCCAGTTAACTCAGTGTTTTACTCTCTGGACTTTTGTGATATAGTGCATGGAACGTACAATGTCCTGTCTGGAGGAGCAGCAGGACGAGTTTGACTTTAAATTCCAAACCTATAAAATGGAAGGTAAGCTGATCAAAGAGTTCTGGTTAATTTCCCATACTGTGACAATGTGCTCTTAAGATGACTAATAAAGAGGCCTGAGTCACAGCTACATGTCCTCTCTTGTTTTGGTCTGTGTTATATGGAAACTTTGATGCCACTGTGGAAACGATTATGCAGCTGTGGTTGATGAGGCTGCGAAAAGGAAACAAATGCAAGTTTTTCAGCAACTTATCAACAGGCTGGATGAATGTAGAAAGGTACAAATATTCTTAATTAGCACCGTCACCTCTCCTTTGTCCAATAATTTTTCTAATTCAATTAACTTAATATGTTTTGTGTCATTCAACCCTCCTTTTTAGAGCACACTGTCAGAGCTAAATAAGCTCCTCGATAGGACTGATACGCTGATTGACATATTGGTGAAAAAGGAGCTGGTGGAGTGGCACAGGATGCAGCAGAAGGCCTGCATTGGCGCTCCAGAAAACGTTTGTCTGGATCAGCTGGAGAAGTGGTATGTTCATCTACATGTTTCATAGGTTTAATTTGAGACTTTCCCAATCTTATGTGTGTGGGGGGGTCTTGACTGTAAGCTGTAATGCTGATTCGTGTCCTCTCCCTAGCAGACCTCTAAGGCTCCTCCATGCGTTGGTTCCACCAATAATTGGTTTGGTAGGGGAAACTTTGTACTTTCATGGACCTAATCACATTTTCCTTTTATCTTGTAGGTTCACCTACGTGGCAGTGTGTCTGTTTCGGGTGCGGGAGTTTCTTGATAAGCTGGAGGAGCTGGTAGGAAAAGTGTCCTATCAAAACGACCCGGTGAAGTCCCAAAAACCCAAAATGCAGAAGAGAGCAGAAACTCTTCTTAAAGACTTACTCCAAAGGTCTCACTTAAAGACATATTTCCATAGACCGTCTTGCTCTCTTATCATTTCCTTGTTAAATGTCATGACATTATAGTCTCCCTTTTTTCTTAAAGTTCCTTTGTGGTGGAGACTCAGCCCTGCATGCCTCAGGGGAAAGGACCCCTGGTGCTCCGCACCAACGTCCAGTTCGCTGTGAAGACCAGGTGGGTGGCCACTCCTTGCAATCACTACAATGCTATGCATTTTGGACTTAACATATATATATATATATGTACAGACCTTTTCTAAGTATATTTCCACCAATGCCCTCACAGTTACGTGGTAATCTCTATCATTTTTGATAAATCCACATGCAGTTATTAGAATACTCGGTGTGCATGTTGTCCCACTGACCTGGAGTGACTCTTTGAAAGAGGGGGTACTGGTCTATGGTTAAGAGCTAAACCCACCTAAACTAGAATCACTGGCTGTAGTTGTTTTTCATTCACCGAATGGACGTTACAGCAGGGTAAGAGTAACCATGAGAATAATTACAACTGAATGCTTTTACAATTGACGTATTTGTTGTTTATTCTGACCTGTACAATGTTATGGGTTAGAGCCGACTCAAACCAATGGCTTTGCTTCAATGCACTAGCGAGCAACCTAACCACAGTCCGGGGGCGTGTGCCTGCGGTGTCCTTGAGCAGGGGAACACGGAAGGAAAACCCCCCCCAGCAATTCTACTATCAGCATTTTAATGATTCTAAAATATTATCCCTGGTTTAATATTTTCAGGCTTCTTGTTAAGTTTCCTGAGCTGAACCACTCCATGAAAGTGAATGTGTGCATGGACAGGTGAGTTCATTTAACCACACGGCAACCTGCACTTTGAGTTTTGGACTTCGATAGATGAGGATCTTATGTTGCCCCCTGTGGTCACCGCTTTGTTTTTCTCCCTCTGGAATCTAGGGAGGCTCCTCAGATCAAAGGGTTAGTATTTGTTTTATAGAACTTTAGCATTCCTATCAAAGGGTATGTCAACAAGAACTCTTTTTAACTTTGCATTTGATGTGAATTTGTTTGCAGATATCGGCGTTTTAATGTCTTCGGGACCAAAAGCAAAGCCTTGAACATGGCAGAGAGCCAGAGCGGGGGCATGGTAGCCGACTTCAGGCATCTTGTGAGTGAGAGTCATTTAGACTCTGAATAAATATTAAATCACAATGGATAAAACTCAACAACATGATATCAAGATTTTTAATAATTGCAAAATGTGAATGATACATATTCAACTCCAGACATTTCCACTGCACACATAAAACAGTCTCCATGAGATAAACTAGTGATTTGAAACACAAATGTAAATGACAATGCCTTTAATCTCAGGTGGTAATATTGGTGATTGATTTTTATTTTGTGTCCTATTATTTGTCTGTAGACTCTAAAGGAGCAGAAAAGTGGAGGTGGCGGCAAAGGAATCAATGATGTGAGTAGACGTGACCAATCCAGACGACTGTTCTTAAAGTTCACTCGAGTCATAATTCAAGGAGATGTGAACAACCAAAAAAATGCTGTGTGTTTGTTTCTTGTTGTCGACAGATTTCTCTCAGCGTCACAGAAGAACTGCACATCATCCACTTTGACACTTTATTTGAGATGAAAGGCTTGTCAATTGAGCTGCAGGTTGAAATTTTTTTTATTTTTATATTGCTGGTTTTATCAAAATAATAACATCAACCTTCATGTTTCTCTCTACACAAATGTAGCATTATGTTACTGTTTTTTATTTTACTTGATGAGGTAAACACAAAATAAGTTATCGTCCCCCGGTACCCAATTTAGGCCTCCTCAATCCCGGTGGTCATCATCTCCAACTCCAGCCAGCAGCAGAGCGCCTGTGCCTCCGTCCTCTGGTTCAACATGCTCAGTGTGGACACGAAGGTGAGACTAACACACCACGCAGCAGTCTGCAGAAATGAATTGCGAATGCATTCGTTAACGTGTGTCTGTTTCTCCAGGATGTCATGTTCTTCGCCAATTCTCCTGCAGCCACTTGGCCGCAGTTCGGAGATATGTTAAGCTGGCAGTTTCTCTCTGCCACTAAACGGGGTCTGAATGAGGCTCAGCTGGAAATGATTGCACAAAGACTCTTTGGTAAATGTCCTGCTGCTGTTGCTTGCCTTTGCTTATCTGTGGTCGCTCTCTCTAAAAAAAGGGATGAATTTGTTAATCGGCGAGTCAAATCAAATATCAGAAAACACTGGTCCGACTGTGACACAATTTAATTCAATGCAGGCAGACTAACTTGCTTTTACATATAAAGGCAAGTAATAACTCAAGGCTCAGCAACACATTTGGGCAGATATTTGGTCTGTTTTTTTAATTTTATCCACCGACTTTCTCGTAAGACTAGAGCTGATCATGAATGTCCAACTCTAAGCATTAGGGAAGGTGCTAAATTGATACTACTTTAACATAAATCCCCTGATCAAACAAAAGGATGTGCAAACTTAAAAAGGGGGTTTTCCATCATTTAGAGCAATGTCTAAAAGGGTGACAAATGGGACTACATTTTCACAACTTTATTTTCACAGCTCTTTTATTTATATACATTCGTCCCTTTCTGGAACTTGTATCAACAGAATAATGGCATCATCCAGCAGGATTTATTGATTTCTATCAGATTATAGATTAAAACTATTGTTTTTCAATGCATCTCCATCCAACCAGGAAAGCAGCAGACATATGACACCTGCAAAGTAACTTGGTCCAAATTTAGCAAGGTAAGAATAATGAATCCTATTAATATCTTGACATTTTAGCTTTTGCCTCTGGCTCGAAGGTTCGAAGGTTATTCCTTTTTTTCCTCTACCACCACCATGAGGTCAAAATCTCAGTTTGTTGGTTCATGACCAAATACCTAAAAAAAACGCATGAGATACCCATCACGTATTTGGGGTTTCCTGCTAATATGTACAGTACGTATGTACGTTACCCAACATGGATAATTGAGGCGTCGAGCTTAATAACTATGACCTTATGAACCTCAGCATGTTAACAACGTGACCGCGTTAGTCGACAATCCCTCCTACATCAACCAACAGTAGTTTTGGGATTTAATTCACTGCGACTAGTTAGGATCAAAAACAAGCTGCGCACCTCGTGTTTTATCCATCATAGTAACTCATAACTAGTGGTACCGAACAACAAACATCACAGCCTCACAGAGCAGCCAGCATGATCGTATATATTCATATTCTTATGTATTCAGTGTTAATGAATGTACTGCAGGTGTAAATTGACCTTTTCCACACCCGTTGTTACAGGAAAATACCCCTGACACATTCTGGGCGTGGTTCGATGGCATCTTGGTGATGGTGAAAACTTACCTTGAAGACCTGTGGAGGGATGGGTATGTTTTGGTCAAATTGGGGCCTTTAATCACTGGAAAATGGGAGAGGTTTCTTGTTTTTGTAAGACTTGTTTCCTCTACTGTAGCCTCATCATGGGTTTTGTGAGCAAAAGCAAAGAGAAGTACCTCCTGAAGAAGAAACAGAGAGGCACGTTCTTGTTGCGCTTCAGTGAAAGTGTCATCGGGGCAATCACCTTCTCGTGGGTGGAAATTGACATGAATGGTGAGGTCTTTTTTTTTCTCTTTCCTCTTCCTAATAATTCAAAAAAAGTGTGAAACAGTATAAACATCAGATACTATCACCCTGCCGTATTGTAGGTGAGCCTGACGTGAAAACAGTTCAGCCCTTCAATAAGGTCGACCTCTGCCAGATTCCCTTCCAAGAAATCATCAGGAATTTCCAGATCTTAGAAGCTGAAAACATCCCAGAAAGTCCTCTTCTCTACCTATATCCCAACACCCCTAAAGACGAGGCTTTTGGAAAATACTACTGTGAGAAGACTGGAAGTAAGGATATCAACTCCTTCTGCTATTTCTTTTTGCTTGTAGCTTACATACTTTTGGAGAGCAAAATTACCCCAAAACCCGCTTCATACCCGGCTTGCTGTGTTGGTTAATGTCATGTGAACAGGGTTTAGCCTCGACGTATTCCCGGGTGCAATAGCATTTTGTTGTGGTGTTGGGGATGAAAATGATACCTTACTTTTAAACTCATTCTCTTTCAGGTGACAATCCCTACATACAATACATCAAAACCAAGCTGGTGTTTGTTTCAAAGGAGTAAGTGCACTGTTCTTTTTCTCCAGGCTGGTTTACAGCATTTTGCTTTTTGAAGTAATACTTAACCCTCCTGTGTGGATTTGAAATGTGCTTATTATACTAAAACAGCAACCACAAAGAAAAGATACACTGCAAAAAAACCTCCAAAAAGTAGTGTTCCGACCCCCTTTCTTTAATGTCCTGAGCAACTGGTTGTAATTGCTGTTTGTCATTGGTCGTGTAGGAAGACACTGGAGGCTAGGTCACCCATGTCCTCTGGCATGGCACAGGGTGAAGTCTTGGAGCTGATGAGCGGCCTGGGTGGAGAGGCAGCTGGTGAGTCACGGCTCTCCTTGCTGTCCCATCCAGCTGAAAACCTTGTCCAAACGCCCCCTCTCCTTCCGTCACAGAGCTCTGTGGTGCATTCTTTACTTTGACCCTCCACTGTGGGAAATCATTGGGGAGAAATGCTGTTTAGATGGATGTCAAGCGACAGCTGTGAAACTGTTAACTTCTGACTTTCCCCCCGTGGGGCTGTGGGTGTCTTCTACTGCATGTGCATGTGTGGTAGTCTGCTCGACTGAACACGTAATCTAATCTGACTGTTTCTAACTGTATTTAATAGTTTATAGCTTTTTGATTCTACCTTCGACGCTTGAATTCTTTCACACTTTGCTTTTGTGTAAATATAATCGATGGAAAGATGTCCTCAAAACCAAACCGCACATAGCCACAGGTTAAAAAACACCAACGGCAATGATGAATTATGAAGTTAAAGATAATATGGCTGTACTGTTATTGCTCAGTTTTTAAAGCATTAGCATTTTATGTTTCAAGCTGCACATCTTTTTACCATGTTGATACACTTTTCCAGATGGTAGCAAAATCCAGCTACCAGCCCCTCTAAAACTCCATAATGAGGAAAGGTTCTTTTATTAAATCTATACAAAATCCAACATGTTCAAATGATAATACAATTGTGAATAATGGGCTTTTTCTTAGCAATAATATGAAACCTGGGCTTCCACTGGTTGCCTGGCAACTGGTTAGAACATATAAGTTTAACATATTATTAGATAAACTGTAGAGGTGCTGGTTTTCAGATTTCTTATCATATTTGTTGGAGCCAGGCGAGAGAATTCCCTCCTTCCCACCTCAGCTAATCTAACCAGCTTTTTGCTGTTTGCTTATCTTTAATGAACAGATATAAGTTCGATTGAATCTTCTCATTTAAGTCTCTGACAAGAAGGTACGTTTCTCTATGACTTTGGACCATTGACCATTGTGATTTAATATTTATAACTGAGTTATTTAAACAGTTACACAAATCTGAGTGCATTGCATATTGTTAGAAAAGTTGAATTATTAGAAGAGCTGACTCTTCCACGCCTTCAAGTCACGAGAATCTTGGTCCAAATGCGCTTGGCCTGCACTTTCTTTGCACATCACATTTTTGTGAAAGCAGTACCACAGATGTCTATAACACAGCCACGGTAGTGAACGCATTCTCATTCTTTTGTGCCTTTCTCTGTTCTCAGAACCAGGCGGAAGTCCTTCGCTGCTGTCACTCTTGGAAACGGGTCTCCCTGAGCCCATGCTGTCTGACTCTCTTGAACCCGCAGATGATCAGGCACTGATGTTTTTCCAAACCCCCTTCGACTTTGTTGATCCTCACCTCTTGCCAGATGACCCAGCGCTGCACGATTTCCCTCTCACAGGATTTAATTGCCTGCCCCCACAATCCTGTGGAAGCATTTTCCAATAAGCCTCCGTTTTGGATATTTAACCAAACCACTATCATTCATCATCAGCTTTACTTTCAGCAACTTGCATTACAACACCCACGTCACATGGTTGTGGCATACCTAGTAAATCACAACAACTTTTTTTATCTGAAATACTGACTGTTATAGATGTTTTTCTTTTTAATCAGCACTGTGCAGTTAGTCTCACTGAATCCTGATATATAAATGTCTATTTGAAGACACAAACTAAATGAATGAATTAGCTGGCCTAATTAGCTAGTGTCTTAGGGATGTTTATTAGACACATTATGTAAATGTTACGTTAAGATAATAAAGCAATGATTTAAAACTGCCCATGTAAGCAAATTACATTGCACTAAGTGCACCTAATTTTTGCCTAATTTTCACCTAACGTTTGTTGAGAATGCCCTTGATGTTACTTTATTGTTGCTACCTGCAGCTTGTGATACACTGTTCTGACACATCGCACTTCCTCCTTTTTAAGTTATATATATTGCCAATAAAAGATAAAAGGTAAATAATTTGGTTTGTATGTGTTGTTCCTATAATTTCATTGACCTTCCATCTGCAACACCAGGTACTGCAGGGGGTCGCGGAACTTTTGGTTGAGTTTTAGCAACTTGGGCGGCTGATCGCTCTGCGGCAGAGGTGTCAACGAAGTACAAATACTTCGTTACTGTACTCAGGTTTCTGTAGGTCTGTATCTGATGGTGTGTTCTGCCAGCTCCCATCAAGTGTGTAAATGGTTTGAAACACAGAAAAATGACGGTCACGTTGACATGGTGGATCATTTAATGGTTTTTAATTTGCTCTGCATGACCTCATGTGTTGGCGCTCTCCTTTTGCCTCAAAGTGTGCTGAATCATGATGGGAGCCGGGTTCAGGAGATTCCGATGCCAACCGAACAGGGAGAAGTCTGAGTTACAGACAGATATTCACAAGCCTCTTTATGACACAAAGCTCTCTGTTAACATTCACCCAACTACCCACAACTCAAAGGAACAGGTGTATCATGTCAATTTAACTATATTCCATAAATATACTGTAGTATTAAATCTTTAATATCTACCGTCCTTTTTTGCAGCTTGAAGGGAAATTTGTGTTGAGCTTCATATTCTTGGCGATGTGACTATTGATTATGATGATTAGTCAGTGTGGATTGAGACAAGGTGAGCTGTCTTTCAACAGCTTCGGAAAACAAGACATACAGCAACACTAGTCCTTGAGGATAAGTTAAGTCAGGGTCAGGGGCTAAATTTAGACATGGCATGATTACATATAAAGCTCATGGAAAGAAGCAAGTGGGCCCCAAATGCAGAGGTGTCAAGTAACGAAGTACAAATACTTCGTTACTGTAATTAAGTAGAAATTTTGGGTATCTATACTTTACTGGAGTATTTATTTTTCAGACGACTTTTTACTTCTACCCCTTACATTTTCACGCAAATATCTGTACTTTCTACTCCTTACATTTTAAAAAATCCTCGTTACTTCCGGCTTGTCGTAGTTCAAAAAACAAACACAAAAAAAATAGATAAATGGCGCTATGCGGACAGTGAATTTGATTGTGTTTGGATGAGAAGTATAAACATTTAGCATCCAGACACCCGATTGGTTTTCTCAGCGATGCGCCTGCAGATCGGAGCGACACCGGGTGGGAAAAGTGGTCTTTGGGAAGTTAGTATTTAGGAACATGGACCCTCCTCCTCTTCCTCCTCCTCTTCCTCACGCAGATTCCATGTAACGTTAAATTAGTATCTTCATGACCGTGGGTTTGTCCTAATTTTTTTATTGAGAGTCTGGCACAACACAGCGACTTGCAAGCAGCGTATTAAATAAAGTGATGTGTGTCTTAATGCGGCTTTGCAAACGAACACAAAGGGATTCTGTATTTGAATAACAGACCGCTGCCAGTTCAGTGTTTCCCATCGTTATAAACAGGGGTGCGCCCCCACCATGTAAAAAGTCAGGACCCCCCCCCCCCCCCTCATGACGTAGTAAACCTGGGGGAGACACTGCAGTCTACCGAATCAATGGGAACAACGTGTGTGTCCGTCCTCTGACTCGTACACTGGAAAATGGGTTGTGGTCAGGGCTGTAGTGGAGGGTAAACGCACGTAGACGTCGTATACGCACCTCTAGAATTTTGGAAATAGCGTTTACGCACCTATAAATACCGTTTACGCACCTATAAATAGCGTTTACGCACCTCTAAGTGGCGTTTACGCACCTCAAAGTTCCCTGTGCCTTGTATTCTTCCGTTGGAATAATCCGAAATAAACTTGGTGTAATTTTAAAACAGCTAAGACTACGTTTCCTATTGTTGAACATATAAACGCTGTAGTCTGAATCCTTTTCATCTGCGCTGTATTACCGTCTGTATTAGTAGTCGCGCGCTCCTGTGTTCGCTGGTCGTGCACCGTAAAAGGACAAGAAAAACGCCTGGTGACGCGTAGATTAGAAAACAAGTCAGTTCTCAATGTGAAAAAACATGCCTGTATAGGCTAATTTATGATGGACGGTAGGGTAGTACATGAGTGTTCCTTTAACTTTATGTTGGTCAGTGTAAACTGGACAGGCCTGCTTAAACTGGGTTTAACTCTTAAAATTTCAACATATTTTTTCAAGGCAGTGATGCTGAGGAGCACAGGGAGAGGAGAAACACCAGGTTCAATAGAGAGAGGAGAAGCACAGAGGAGCCATGAACCCCAGAACGCGTGTTCTGGGGTTCATGGCTCCTCTGTGCAAGGCAGGACCTGACGTGGAGGACAAGGAGGCCCTCTGGGCACTACTGTGAAAAGGAGACTCCGTATGTAGATAGTTCTTAATCTGCAATTGTCTTGTTGTGTTGTGTTGACATACTTTTCTTTACTGTTTTCTTAAATTTAATAAACTACAAACTACTAACCCATTTATTCATTGTCATTGATTGTATATGACTTTTACTGATAACATAATGCAATATAGCCAGGACAGCCTTACAGAGTCGCAACGCTTTGTGTTTTGCTTTGCTTCGCATCGCGTCGAGGTCTGTATGATCACAAAATTCAGAGTTTACCCACCTCTAATTTTACCACTACAGCACTGTCCCTCCCTGTTGCCAGGAAGTGAAGCAGAGACAAATTATTAGAAACTGTAGTTAATTATAGTCATTTGCTTTCAAGATAAAAATATCAAACTCTAAATATCTGCGTTTTGGACTGTTGGATAAAACAGGTCAACTTATAAAGACGCCACATTTGAATTATGGAAAACTGTATTCAGCACTTTTAAATGTTTACGTTTCATAAAAAATATTCAAATTACATTTGGCTGAATGTCTCCATAAAGAAGCCAAACGAATGGAACCACAGTTATGAAGAGAGAGAATTATATCAATCAGCCAGCCAGAGTGAAAGGGAGGATCTGTAGAACAAAACAAGGTTATAAGGTACTGCTATTCAAACACAAGCATGTTTATTAAACCATTTTATTTAATAAACTTGTATTTCTATTTGTGCTGTTTATTCTTAGTTATATATGCAATATGTGTGTTATTCTAATTGTTCAGACGTTACGATGACAAATGTAGCCGTTGCGCAATCAAATACAAAAGAAATGGCAGAATAAGCAGTGCTTTTACTGTCCATTCATTGACTGCTGTCATGCACGCCAGCATGTTATTTCGCTGTACGCGTATAGAGATTACAGAAGAGGTGTGTAAGAACTAACTTCAAAATAAAGGCACTTCAACTGAAAGTCTGGTAATCATATAAAAATGTGATAATATATTAAAAACAGTCTGTGAATTATAATGTGATTTCAATTGTGTAATTACTTATTCAAATACATTTATAAAGAATTAATTTACACAGAGCAGAAAATATCAGGAATATCAGGGGCTCGGGCCACGTAACCACCACCTCACTGCTTGTGCGTTTGTGCGATTGACCTCCTCCCGGGAACGTCGCCTCCCAGAGGACGACTGTTTTCCCTGTCTGTCCCGGAGACAAAGACCATGGAGACGTACGTTAACGACCCCGCGGCTGCAGGACTTATTGGACCGTCGTCAGTCTAATAGAAGGTGTAAGAGGCTTTAGACAGACTGCTGACAGTGAGGACTCCACCCTAAAATAGTTCCAGTAGCCAAGTCAATATGAGGATTAAGTGTAAACCATTGAAAAATCCCAGTCTGACCGGTTATCCAGGTGCATGAAGTATATGAAAGGTGAGCGTTTCATTGAACTTTTATGCAGCTCACTCAATTTAAATGAAAACACCGGTTATGTTCAGTTGTTTCTTTTCTTGGAATATAATGCTGCGTCTTTTTGAGTCAAATCATTTCTGAAAATGGGTTATAATGTTGTTCATGCTGCTTTGTCTCATCTTCATATCAATGTAAACTGTATCGTGTTCAAGTTCTTCAGGCTGGTGTGACGAGAGCATTTCTACTGAATAATTATCTAAATTGATCTTAATGTGTCTTTTAATTGGCATGAACTGAAATGGAATGTTTTCATGTGTTTTAATTCTCTGTAGTGGTGAACATGCTCTGACAACATCACATACAGTACAAACATTTTTAATGAACTTTATATGTAAAAAGAGAAATGAACAGCAGAAATCATATTTTAGTTAATAGAGGAGTTACAGTGTAAAGAAATAATAAAGACATTTTAAACGTGACATGTCGGCCTCCCTTGTGTGCGAATGCACTCTAGTTTCACTTCCTCCCCAGCTGTAAGATGAGGATTGTGTGTAATATTATTCTTATTATAGAATATAACCATCATCGCTGGTAAAACCGTTGCATCTCCGGGTCAAAGGTGACGAGGGAGTAAAAGATGTAGGAACGCAAACGCCACCACGTCCACGGTCAGAGTCATCAGCAGACCGTCCCAAACGTCGTGATGATGAGTCTGTAAGAACACAGAGACACGTTATTCCACATCTCCATTCAGACCGTCTTTGTTTTCTACAACCGTGTTACAAATAAATCCTTTGACTCAGACAACAATAAATTCAAATTAAATGCATCTGAAGTGTTGATGCTTGGATTCACAACGCAGATTCTAAATCAGGAGTTAAACATAACTGTTTAAATTCCACACATCAGTGAGACCTTGAGGCCCCGTGGCTTTTGTTGGTACGCTGCATGCAGTGGTGTCCAGCGTGTTCAAACCCAAACAACATCTTACAATGTCTGACCTTTGCAGAGAAGGCAACGATGGCGAAAGCAATGACCATCAGTACTCCGACAGTGACGAAGACGTGGTTCAAGTCGAGGAAGGAGGCGATGGTTCCCACCATGTGCGACAAGCTCACGGTGACCACTACCTGTGGACACAACTTGTTAAACACCGCCGGCCTCTTCTGGCTTTTATAATTACGTATAATCACATCTGTGTGTGAGACAGTAACCCTGATGTGTAACATTTGGGGTTTTCTGCTCCTGTAGGTGTCACCCACCCATCCCACGATGTTCCAGGGGTGACGTTGGCTGAAGGACTTGCAGATGCTGAGGGCGACGGCGAAGCCGCTGAAGGTGAGCAGGGAGCTGACGTAGAGCCACTTGTTGGTCCGTCCCTCCTTCCCTCCGGAGAAGGACGCACACAAGACCCCGAAGGAGAACAACATCTGGAGGGTCAGGACGCAGAACACCTGCTCGGGGAGAGGAAGAGAACATCGGCCACAGCATCGGAGTGTACAGTTTACATGAGCTGTGACCTTTTTATTATGTCTACAGGTAATAAAACGATCCGTTAAATACGGTGGAGCGGTGCATATAACAGCAACACGACAACCATGAGAGCAAAGAGCAAAGATCAGGACAAAAGCTAGAAAAGGAAAAAATCATTATTTTGTGTCAGAAAGATATAATTGTTCTTCTCTATTATTCTGTTAATCATCTCGTGCCGTATCTCCTGGCGGTGATGGAGCTGGTGGTGCTGGTGGTGCTGGTGGTGGTGAGGACACATAATGAGGAGCGTCCTGGGTCCCTTTGGAGACGAGGGGCTCGGGTGAATTGGACATTCTGGAGGAAACTGGGGGACAAACACAGAAGAGCAGTCAGACAACTTCTGTTTTCTGATCAGATGCAACCACAACCCGCAGAAACCTGTGAGGTGGGAAAGCACAAAGGCAAAGTTGGTCATTTGGTTTATGATGACAGTAATAAACTAATAATAATAATAACAGCAGCAGCAGGTGTGTTAGAACAGTCATTTATAGATGGTTTACTTAGTACATTATCAACAAGATAACAATTCATCTGCAACTTATGGTATTTCTGGAGTAACATTTCCAGGTATATTACACAGTATCATGATTTAAGTAGCAGTAACTTACAATGTTTTGGCCTCTTGTTTACAGAGCACAACTTGTTGAATTCAGCACTTCACCCTTGCAATCTGTATTTAGCCCCCTTTGCTTTAAAAACGTATTTTCAATGTGAAATGCAATAACATTTATGGGTACAGCAACAACCTAACGCATTAGCAACACCAAAGACACGAAAAATATTCTGGGATGTTTACTTTTGGTCCAGGTCATCATGCTGAAGGCTATCATGCTGCAAGCTAGCATATGCTAACTAGCAAACTACCTGCGCTAACGCTAACTAGCTTAACAAAAAGGGCCGTCTTTCCTGTATCGGGTGGGCAGCACAAGTAAAACACCCGGTTATAGTTCCAGGTGTGCTTCATCCAAACACTCCCGTACTTACAGAGTAGTGGAGCCGGTAGTCGTGGTTCAATCAGCCCGTTCATGTCGGTCTGCTGCCGTAACTTCGCCTCGTGCTGCGTCCGCTCGGAGCTCTGCAGGCGTCCAAGAACTCGCGCATGCGCGTTACAGATGTCAGCGGAGTTACGTGTTTACAAGTAATGTTTGAACCTGCCCGCATTATTATGTCTTAAACGCATCTTATTAACAGCACGCAGTCCGTAGTTTCATAATTATGACGTTTTAAGTGAAATATTAAATACGTTGAAATTACGTCTTCGCGTAGACCAAATTTCGCCGACCAGTTCATTAATTATTATGAAAATCTTAACGTTAATATCGTCTATCTTTCAACCTTACGTTACATCATAACACATTTGTCAACAAATTGACGTTTTCTGGCACGTTGATGTTTCATCCCATTTTTAGCCGGTTGAAAAGACGTTGAAATGAGGTCTTAGACGTTCAGACCTCATTTCAACCCGATTTCAACCATATTTCAACGTTGAAATTACGTCTTGTGCTCACTGGGCTCCGTCTAATGAACTCAATGAATACAGAAGCTGTTGTGACCTGAAGGAGCACACCCTCAGCAGTTTGTTAACCCTTAATGTCTGTGATCTTGTTAAAAGCCCCGATAAATACGACAGGTGAATAAAAAGCAGAGTGAAAGCAGTTTGCTCACTTTGGAAACAGAGCAAGTTAAGAAGACTTAGTAGAGTCAAGAGAATGTTCTCACCTGTGTGACGGGCTGTGCACCACGCAGTGCTGAGCGAGGACGAGACAACAGGAGTAAAACCGGCAGGTTGATACCTACATTCATTTGCTTAACACCCGGTGGAATGTTTCCCTCCCCAGGTATGTATAAATAAACTTGGTGTAATTTTAAAACAGCTAAGACTACGTTTCCTATTGTTGAACATATAAACGCTGTAGTCTGAATCATTTTTATCTGCGCTGTATTACGGTCTGTGAGCATCCAATCAGTGCCTTGCGGCTGCAGCAGCGACACCAATCAGGATCCAGGAGGTATGTAAACACACGTTGTGGATCAGCCCAGTGGTCCCCAACTTTTCTTACCTCACGGACCGGTTTCATGTCAGACAATATTTCGCGGACCGGTCGAGAAGGTCCGACGGGGGGTGTAGTAGTCGTTGCGGGCGGAACGACTGACGGGGGGTAGTAGTCGCGCGCTCTGTGTTCGCTGGTCGTGCACGGTAAAAGGACAAGAAAAACGCCTGGTGACGCGTAGATTAGAAAAAAAGTCAGTTCTCAATGTGAAAAAAACATGCTGTATAGGCTATTTATGATGACATAGGTAGTACATGAGTGTTCCTTTAACTTATGTTGTCAGTGTAATTGACAGGCTGCTTAACTGGTTAACTCTTAAATTCAACATATTTTTTCAGGCAGTGATGCAGAGAGCACAGGGAGAGGAGAAACACCAGGTCCAATAGAGAGAGAGAAGCACAGAGGAGCCATGAACCCCAGAACACGTGTCCTCTGTGCAAGGCAGGACCTGACGTGGAGGACAAGGAGGCCCTCTGGGCACTACTGTGAAAAGGAGACTCCGTATGTAGATAGTTCTTAATCTGCAATTGTCTTGTTGTGTTGTGTTGACATACTTTTCTTTACTGTTTTCTTAAATTTAATAAACTACAAACTACTAACCCATTTATTCATTGTCATTGATTGTATGTGACTTTTACTGATAACATAATGCAATATAGCCAGGACAGCCTTACAGAGTCGCAACGCTTTGTGTTTTGCTTTGCTTCGCATCGCGTCGAGGTCTGTATGATCACAAAATTCAGAGTTTACCCACCTCTAATTTTACCACTACAGCACTGGTTGCGGGGGATGTAACCTTTATCGCGCCATGTGGGTGGAGTGTGTTTGTGTAATGTAATGTGTATGCATATTTGAGTTGTGTCATGGCATTCATACCAACAAAGGCAAATTAAATTCATATTTATATCCACTCTTAACCTCACAAGATGTGATTCTTCTTGAGGATTTATAAAATCCTCACGGCATTTGTTTATTGGCAATGCCAACAAAAGAAAATGGTGAACTGCAGCAAGCACCGAACCGTGGCTACTTTGACCTCTGATTGACCAGGCAGCTGAGGGTTGTGATGACCTGGCTCGGACCACCATGACCGACAGAGGGAGACGCAGACGGTTCACCAAAAAGAAAGCATTCATTCAGCTTTTTGCCAGGACAATCCACACATGGGGGCGACGAGGCACAGTGTGCACAGACCGGAGGTGTCAAAAGTATTCACATTTATTACTCAAGTAGAAGTACAGACACCAGGGTTTAAAAAGACTCCTGTAGAAGTTGAAGTACCAACTCAAGCTTTTTACTTAAGTAAAAGTATAAAAGTACTGGTTTCAAAACTACTTAAAAGTATAAAAGTAAAAGTAATGTAAGAAATTCCATTAAGGACAAACTCTTAATGCGTAACCTCGCTCACACAACACGTCAATTTGTTCCAATGTGACCACCTGCCCTTGGGATGGTGGAAACATGGCGACAGAGACCCAACAAAACAACACGTGTATCTGACTTAAACAGATAAAACCACAAGAGGGAAACATTCCACCGGGTGTTAAGCAAATTAATGTATGTATCAACCTGTAGGTTTTACTCCTGTTGTCTTCTCATAACACCTACATCTTCCCTCCTCTCTCCTTGGCATCGTGCCAGTCTGAACCAACCTGCTCATCAACCTTGTTCTTCAACATCACGTTTTCTGATTTCAGGCTCATTGTCTCACTACTTAATTGCCTGCAGTGTTTTCAAACTGTAAATTAAACCTTAGATTAAAGTTCTTGACCAGATTAAGTTGTTAATCGTTGAATTCAAAGCTTGTTTACTAAAAATAAAAGAAGTGGCACCGCGGCTCTAGTTTCACTTTCTAACGTTCACGCCCTTCAAGTCCAAAGTAAGCAGCCTGTACAAACCACGAACGTCTCACTTCAGCTCAACGTGTCAATCAGAAAACAGAAGTTGTCTGACTGCTCTTCTGTGTTTGTCCCCCAGTTTCCTCCAGAATGTCCAATTCACCCGAGCCCCTCGTCTCCAAAGGGACCCAGGACGCTCCTCATTATGTGTCCTCACCACCACCAGCACCACCAGCTCCATCACCGCCAGGAGATACGGCACGAGATGATTAACAGAATAATAGAGAAGAACAATTATATCTTTCTGACACAAAATAATGATTTTTTCCTTTTCTAGCTTTTGTCCTGATCTTTGCTCTTTGCTCTCATGGTTGTCGTGTTGCTGTTATATGCACCGCTCCACCGTATTTAACGGATCGTTTTATTACCTGTAGACATAATAAAAAGGTCACAGCTCATGTAAACTGTACACTCCGATGCTGTGGCCGATGTTCTCTTCCTCTCCCCGAGCAGGTGTTCTGCGTCCTGACCCTCCAGATGTTGTTCTCCTTCGGGGTCTTGTGTGCGTCCTTCTCCGGAGGGAAGGAGGGACGGACCAACAAGTGGCTCTACGTCAGCTCCCTGCTCACCTTCAGCGGCTTCGCCGTCGCCCTCAGCATCTGCAAGTCCTTCAGCCAACGTCACCCCTGGAACATCGTGGGATGTGTGGGTGACACCTACAGGAGCAGAAAACCCCAAATGTTACACATCAGGGTTACTGTCTCACACAGATGTGATTATACGTAATTATAAAAGCCAGAAGAGGCCGGCGGTGTTTAACAAGTTGTGTCCACAGGTAGTGGTCACCGTGAGCTTGTCGCACATGGTGGGAACCATCGCCTCCTTCCTCGACTTGAACCACGTCTTCGTCACTGTCGGAGTACTGATGGTCATTGCTTTCGCCATCGTTGCCTTCTCTGCAAAGGTCAGACATTGTAAGATGTTGTTTGGGTTTGAACACGCTGGACACCACTGCATGCAGCGTACCAACAAAAGCCACGGGGCCTCAAGGTCTCACTGATGTGTGGAATTTAAACAGTTATGTTTAACTCCTGATTTAGAATCTGCGTTGTGAATCCAAGCATCAACACTTCAGATGCATTTAATTTGAATTTATTGTTGTCTGAGTCAAAGGATTTATTTGTAACACGGTTGTAGAAAACAAAGACTTTTCTGAATGGAGATGTGGAATAACGTGTCTCTGTGTTCTTACAGACTCATCATCACGACGTTTGGGACGGTCTGCTGATGACTCTGACCGTGGACGTGGTGGCGTTTGCGTTCCTACATCTTTTACTCCCTCGTCACCTTTGACCCGGAGATGCAACGGTTTTACCAGCGATGATGGTTATATTCTATAATAAGAATAATATTACACACAATCCTCATCTTACAGCTGGGGAGGAAGTGAAACTAGAGTGCATTCGCACACAAGGGAGGCCGACATGTCACGTTTAAAATGTCTTTATTATTTCTTTACACTGTAACTCCTCTATTAACTAAAATATGATTTCTGCTGTTCATTTCTCTTTTTACATATAAAGTTCATTAAAAATGTTTGTACTGTATGTGATGTTGTCAGAGCATGTTCACCACTACAGAGAATTAAAACACATGAAAACATTCCATTTCAGTTCATGCCAATTAAAAGACACATTAAGATCAATTTAGATAATTATTCAGTAGAAATGCTCTCGTCACACCAGCCTGAAGAACTTGAACACGATACAGTTTACATTGATATGAAGATGAGACAAAGCAGCATGAACAACATTATAACCCATTTTCAGAAATGATTTGACTCAAAAAGACGCAGCATTATATTCCAAGAAAAGAAACAACTGAACATAACCAGTGTTTTCATTTAAATTGAGTGAGCTGCATAAAAGTTCAATGAAACGCTCACCTATCATATACTTCATGCACCTGGATAACCGGTCAGACTGGGATTTTTCAATGGATTACACTTAATCCTCATATTGACTTGGCTACTGGAACTATTTTAGGGTGGAGTCCTCACTGTCAGCAGTCTGTCTAAAGCCTCTTACACCTTCTATTAGACTGACAACGGTCCAATAAGTCCAGCAGCCGCGGGGTCGTTAACGTACGTCTCCATGGTCTTTGTCTCCGGAACAGACAGGGAAAACAGTCATCCTCTGGGAGGTATTGGGCTATTTAAACAATAGGTTAGTACATAGTACACACAACATTGAGTTTCTATGTAGAGTAAACAAAGAGGATTTTACAGATCTTGTGATTATTTGTTGGAATGTTTACTTGGATTTACAGCTTCTTCTCCTTCGCCAATAAGGAAACCAGACGAATGGAACCACAATTATGACGAATGAAGATTGAAGATTATAAATATTTGTATTATTCAAAGTGTTCATTGCCTAAAAGTCATTTGAGTGACGTCAGACACGTAGTCTCAGTTCATCCAGATCACCTGTGCAGTTCAACATCGGAGGAGTTTCTCATTGCATCGTCTCTCCAAGTAACGTTGGTGTTATTTGCCTGGCATGATTAACATTCTCCTTCCTTACATCTTGTTGTCTTCCTCATCTTTGTAATTTTAATATTTTACCAATGACAGTGTTTCTAAATATTTTATTTTGGTTTGTTTTACAGAGGCACTGGATTAAGGACGCCAGCCGTTCGCTGTTTACCTTGTTCCTAATCATTTTATGATTCATTTTTTTATTATTGTATACATGCAGCATATTTTATGTTTTGTTCTTTGTTACAAATGTCTAATCTAATAACTCCAACCACTATGACCAAAATGAGGTTGGTTGTCTTTCTTTAATTTGTGGGGAATTAAATGCGAAAGTATACGGTTATAAGTTAACGGTAACATTCTGGTATTTATAACACAAAAACAGTAATCCAATGGTAACAAACTGTAATCCAATATACGGCAACATACCGTATATTACAGTAGGGCACTGTAAATAAAACAGTAAGTTACTAGCGTCGACTGCCAGTAAATTGCAGTTTTGCAAATTGCACAGTAAAAAGTTTTTACCCCACTGGTGGTTCATTAAAATGGCTCCACAATGGTCACGTAGCACAGGGAACTTTGGTTTGTGTGTGAAGCCCGTTGCTTCTTGTCACAACACCTACATCTTCCCTCCTCTCTCCTTGGCATCGTTTCACTGACCCGTTTGTTGATAAGCATCATATATGCTGCACTAACCTGCTCATCAACATCCTTTATTGTTCTGTTACTGTCTTCAATGGGAAGTTTTCCGATTTCAGGCTCATTGTCTCACTACTAAATTTGCTGTAGTATTTTCAAGTTTCAAAACCGTGGTTTAAAGTTTTTGACCAGATGAAATTATTAATCGTTGAATTCAAAGCTTGTTTACTGAATATAAAAGAAGCGGCACCGCGGCTCTAGTTTCACTTTCTAACGTTCACGCCCTTCAAGTCCAAAGTAAGCAGCCTGTACAAACCGGGAACGTCTCACTTCAGCTTTCATTTATTGTCCACTTGATGGCGCAGTAGAGCAGGTGAAGCACCACGAAGCTTCGGCCCATGTGTGACACAATTGGATGGAAAGCTCCAATGCTTCACGAAGCTTCATCTCACCATCACTAGTGACCACGGAGCAGCTGGGGCTCGAACGACCGACCTTTCAGTTAACCAGCGCACACGCTCTGGATCTGAAATGTCCTCTGTAAGATCAGCTAATACGGAACAGACAGACAGACTGCAGTGCATCTGAGTTGCACTGCGGCTCTAGTTTTACTTTCTAATGTTCACGCCCTTGTTGTCAGTGCTGTAGTGGTAAAATTAGAGGTGGGTAAACTCTTACGTCATTTTGTGATCATACAGACCTCGACGCGATGCGAAGCAACGCAACACAAAGCGTCGCGACTCTGTAAGGCTGTCCTGGCTATATTGCATTATGTTATCAGTAAAAGTCATATACAATCAATGACAATGAATAAATGGGTTAGTAGTTTGTAGTTTATTAAATTTAAGAAAACAGTAAAGAAAAGTATGTCAACACAACACAACAAGACAATTGCAGATTAAGAACTATGTACATACGGAGTCTCCTTTTTACAGTAGTGCCCAGAGGGCCTCCTTGTCCTCCACGTCAGGTCCTGCCTTGCAGCGTTCTGGGGTTCATGGCTCCTCTGTGCTTCTCGCTCTCTATTGGACCTGGTGTTTCTCCTCTCCCTGTGCTCTCTGCATCACTGCCTGAAAAAATATGTTGAATTTAAGAGTTAACCAGTTAAGCAGCCTGTCAGTTACACTGACAACATAAGTTAAAGGAACACTCATGTACTACCTATGTCATCATAAATAGCCTATACAGCATGTTTTTTTCACATTGAGAACTGACTTGTTTTCTAATCTACGCGTCACCAGGCGTTTTTCTTGTCCTTTTACCGTGCACGACCAGCGAACACAGAGCGCGCGACTACTAATACAGACCGTAATACAGCGCAGATGAAAAGGATTCAGACTACGGCGTTTATATGTTCAATAATAGGAAACGTAGTCTTAGCTGTTTTAAAATTACACCAAGTTTATTTCGGATTATTCCAACGGAAGAATACAAGGCACAGGGAACTTTGAGGTGCGTAAACGCCACTTAGAGGTGCGTAAACGCTATTTATAGGTGCGTAAACGGTATTTATAGGTGCGTAAACGCTATTTCCAAAATTCTAGAGGTGCGTATACGGCGTTTACGTGCGTTTACCCTCCACTACAGCCCTGCCCGCAACGCTATAGGGCGTTGGTTAAGGGGCACTACAGAGTTGAGACAGGCAGAGGTTTCCGAATTGCTGATATTAGGCATGTTTTGTTACAGAGGAGGATCCTGTGCTGATTTTGTAACATTGGTTTTTCTGTGACGTAATCGACACAGTGTTCTGAATGCACCAAAATATAGTTTATTCCACACATAAATACATAACATACTCTTGTACATTTCTGTAAAAAAGAAGAAGTCATTACAGAGTTAAACGTTGTGGTATAATTTAACTTAACTTCATTCATTTGACTTTTTCGATTCCCCAAAAGGATACCGATACCGTAGCTTTGGGTATCAATATACTATCAGAATCAATACCGGTACCACTTGTTTATGGAATTAAAAGAATTGCATTTAAACATACTGAATTTGTTTTCATCAAAAATAATGGTACACCAGATTTGAATACAACATATATCTTATATTCAAAGATCCATGAATACATAAATGAATACTTGATACCACACATTTGTAACAAAGAAAAGTAACCTAAGAGTTGCAACATGTCGGTGCTGTTTTGACGGAATAATATTATACTGGCTTTACATCAGGCAAATTTAAGGCCCAGGGGTTTATTGTCTTAGTTGTGACCACCAGGTCCATAGGCAGCTGAATGGTGCAGCAGCCCTGATGAGCAACACGTGGTAGGCCTGTCGAAACTGACGATTCATGACGGCGTAGAGCACAGGGTTGATACAGCTGTTGAGCCATGTGAGGTTTGCAACGAACATGTGCAGCACCTGAGGGGCTCGGTTATTTTTGTCTGCTATGTTGAGCAACAGAAAGGGGACAAAGCAGAAGACGAAACACAGAAAAACAGTGAAGCACATGCGTGTCACACGCTTAAATTCGTCATCATCTCTTGAAGTTCCCGAGTGGGAGGAGGGTTTTGCAGTGGCGGGAGCAGGTGGGGATGAAGGTGATGCTGACACAATATCAGGGGGGCACTTGATCGCTGATGAATTTGGGTCCGTGGGAGACCTCTGGACAAATTCGGAGGAGTTTTCACAAGTTATCTCATCCGTATTTTTTGATGGATCCGTCTGGCTGCTCATCTCATTGCTACACGTCTTTGCCGTGCCACTCTCTACACCACTATCATCAGTCCCTTGTACCGAAGGAGCTGTTTTCTTTCTGGAAGACCGGCGGCTCGGCCTGTAGCGGAGCAGAGCTTGTGAGGCAACCTTCACACGTCTGTAAATGAGGAAGTAGAAAACACCAACACAACCCAAACCCACAAAAAAGTAGAAGAAGAGCAAGATGGTGCTGTAGGGACGACCCCTGGTGCGGTGGAAGCTGCATGTGCACACCTGCGGCACAAACACATAAACAGGCCACAGTGGGCCAAAGCTGGCCAGGCCTAGTGCCCATGCCGAGATCACGAGTAAAATAAGACCACTGTTGGAGAAGACACGGTCAAACAAGGCCCTTTTTGTGACCAGGAGATATCTGCTTACTGCTACCAGACAGAGCGTGATAATAGAGACAGAGTTGGAGAGGAAGAGCAGCAGGCCGAAGATACTGCACCAGACCTGACCGCAGCGCCATCTCAGGTGTAAATAGGAGTCAATGGAGATGGGCTGCAATATGGTGCAGTACAGGAGATCCGCTACGGCTAAGTTGACGATGAGCACATTGAAGCGAGTCCTCAGATGTGGGTCGACGGCGAAGGCCAGAATGGTCATCAGATTCCCCACTGTGCCCGTGAGGGTCACGGCACATCCCCACAGCACTGCGAAGTACCGGTAACCAACGACGGAGGGACTGTGGCAGGAGAAGAGGTCCTCCTGTGTTTGGTTTGTGTAGTTCATCAGCACTCTGTCAACTAAAGGGATTTAGAACAGAGGTTTGCTTCTTTATAATGTGCAGCCAGAAAGTTAAACTTACAAAGAAAGAAAAGTGTGACCACCAGTCACGTTCTTTCATACTGCACACGTCACTTTCACTTATCACTTTAACTTTTATTCCTTTATTTTTAAACTAAGCCATAGCCTTATATTACTAACCCATAGCAGTATATTTTGAACTGTTGTCTTGTCGTCCCTTAGTTGAACCCGTCAGCTGCTTACGCACCAACCGCCATGTCAAATTCCTTCTATGTCTGACCTATTATGGCAATAAATGTTTTCTGATTCCTGATCCCGAAGGGACTACAATGACTGTGTATTTTCATATTAGATTAAGACAAATAAAAGACCTATATTTTCAAAGAAATGTCTTACCTTAAAATCCAAAGACTTCTGCCGCTATCACCAGTGGTCGTACTCTGAATGTGTGTCCTGCTGATTCATTACTCTTTACGTGAATTCTTCCTCCTTGCTCAAGTTCCCTTTATACAACAAAAGGATACGTCATAGGGTTTTCCAGTACACGTTGGAGTTGGGCAAGAGAGATCTTGTGTAGTTCCTGGAAAACTTTGAATTAAATGGAATAACCAAATTTGGGTAATTTGTACTTTATTAGTGAAACAACTTTTTTGACATTTTTATTTTAGCAATAAGATATGAGAGGCTGTACTTTATTGTCCAATAATGTAACATTTTGAGGGTGTTGTTAGGACCGAAGCGCATTATAGCTCCCTTTTAAAAAAAGTAGTTGTAGCCACCAAATGTTTTTATTGCATTTCACTAGCCTGGAGAAAAATAGCCCCCCTAAGTGCATGTAAACAGCATTGCTCCATCGCATTCATCGCTCATGACGTCCACCTTAATTGTCCGGTTGCGACAGCTCGCATTGCCCGTAACCGATTATTTTGGTTTTTTAGTCTTTTTTGGTGATCGCCACAGAGCTAAAAACTGAAAAGACAAACTAACCGTCGACTGACCGTTGATTGGATCCACCCACCAGAGTCTCACCAAATCTATGATAAATATTTGATGTAATATTTATATATGACATTTATAATGAACGAGCGGTATAATTGGGCAGGATATAAGACGCTTTATTGATGAAAATGGTATTTCAGGTGTTAATTGAATGAAAAATCACAAATTTATGGCCAATGTCTTTTAAAGTTCTTTTGCATGTGTCATCTTTTATTTTGTTTAGTTGCCTTGTATTTCACTTTATGCCTTTTTTTTGCACAATACACCGATGAGTAAAAACCACAATGAATTGCAGAGGGGTTTGATGTTTTTGACTCACTTGTTACAATACGTGTAGGGTCAAATGTCAAAAGAGGAAGCACATTACTTACGTTACCAAACTACTAGGAAAATAAACACCAGTCAAAGTTGAAAGCATGAACTCAGTTTAATGATGTTATATATGATTTAGTTTTAAGTTAACAATTAGGAAGCCCCAACATGGACATTTTCTCACTTTTTAAATAAATTTACAGTAATGTTTCAATACACTTCTCCTACATAACAATTAATACATTTGTAGACATTTTGTTTTTATTGCAGTTAACAAGAAAAGTCAGCAGGAGTGCTCAAAGTATTGCTAGTTTTCCTTTCCTAAAGCGCCCCCTAATGTTTCACTATCCATTATGACAGTTTTTACGGGGAAAGTTTGGGGTGACGTAGGTTCGGAGTACACAAGGCAGAGCAGACAAACTAAATATTTTTTTCTCACCACAAGCCTAGATTACTACCATTTTGTGTTTGGTTTTTTTTTGCTTACATCTGTGTATATGTGGTCCTCTTCCTTCTGTGACATATTGCTGGTGTCTAACATCTCAATGTCCGGCACAGTACTCGTATGGGATTGTGATGTCTGTAAAATGATGTGTGCAGATAATGCAAAGACCTGCTAAGTCATCTGTAAATATTTTTACCGCTTTGCTCACTGTATGGAAATTATTTCATTCAGACACTGAGACCTTTCTGTGTTGTGCAATGAGGTGCAGATCAAAACTATAGAAAAAATAATAGATGACCCATTTAGATGGAGACCTTTCACTACACACCTGTGTGCTTTGTGGGATTTAACGCACAGTATTATCAGTGGCCATTCAGGGAGAATCTGGCCAATCATCAGGGGAACTGTTTAATTGGACACAGTTTTATCTTGACCTTCACTAAAAGACACCTTGGGTTCTCTCATTCTATTCTTATTTTCTCTCCCATTACTGTATTTCACACAAACCAAGTAAACGCTGATACTTGCATAATGCACCAGTTACTATAACCTTTTGTTGACTGTTGTTGGTTGACACATACCTAAAGCGGTTTTAAGACTTGGATGTAGTTCATTCCCTTTTGTTGTTCCTCTTTAACTTCCTGTTTCATTCTTTCAACAAAAGGCCAACTGTGAAAATGTACACATAGTACAGAAAAATGTTGACCTGTGTTAAAATGCTGCGGAAATTGCTGGTACCTTTTCTCTTCAAAGGCCTCAAAAACAAAACATTACAGTGGTATAATCCACCGTACAGTGACAGCTACATTATGGTATCAGCTAACATCAGAGGCAACTGCTACATCTAACCCAGCGGGTGTGTTTTTGATTACATTGAGGGTTTGGATGTAAAATAAATCCTTGCAGAGGGGAACACTTAAAACATAAGAGAGGTAGGGTTGGAGTGAGTGAGCCAGTTGGAAACTGTGAAGGATGCAAACAAAGTGTCTTTGAAATGTCTGAGATTCGTTATCTCTGCTTCTCCCTGTTAACGTAGCAGTAGTGGTCTGCAACCACAATATGCGCCATGAAGAGTCATATCTTTTTATTACGCTATAATGAAACAGCAGATGGAGCCACAACAGCTGATTCGGCTCTTGATGGCACATGGTTGCAGGCCTCCACTTCACAGTGTGCTTCTTCCTGATTCGTCCTCGTTCCCTCATCGTCAATAAGGAGTGAAGAGGATTGGCCCGTGCGTGGTGCGAATGGGACCGGGGGCGGGTCTCAGCAGGCTGAGAGGTGTTCCCTGTAGGAGGTGGTGGTGGTGATGGGAGGTCGGGCAAGGAGAACGTAGTGCCAGGTGATTGGAGGATGCCGCGGCGGCCATTGCTGCGGCGACGGCCAAGGGATTTGGTAAAAGTCCAGCCCCCAAATTTTTGGGAAGTTCCTTTGAGATGAAGGAAAAATATTGAAGTAGGTTTAATAATGCATGCAAAAGTGAACCTGAAGGATCATTTTTTTTATCAGTATCAGATTTATTGGCCAGGTATGCTCACGCATACATGGAATTTAAAGCCTTTGCTCTCCACATACTGTAAATAAAGTTCTTTACACAAATACACAAAAACAGAAAACAAGTGAAACCAGTGAAGGTACAAACATTTAGCAACTATACAACATAAATATAAATATACAATCCTAACCTACACAACAAACACAACAGCAGCGAACAAGAAGATGGAGTGTGACTGGTTAATTGTTCATAAGTGAGACGGCCTGTGGGAAGACACGGTTTTTGTGCCTGCAGGTTTTGGCGTACAGTTGGAATAAAGTGGAGAACTGTGGATTATAGAAAAAAGGGAGAGTTTCTACCATAAAATCTGTGCGCTTCTTGTGCCGACTCAGAAGAGGATTTGGTTTCCCGGCGACTCCATCTCGATGCCTCCGGCTAGATATGTGCTGAAGCACGAAACGGGATGGCAGTGTTATTGGAAACTGAGATTGCTGGAATACTAGGTTCACTCAGAGTCGTAAGATAAGTTGGTTCTCTCACCTGTTTGAGCTGCAGCTCCGAGTTGACTCTGACGTTGCAGATCTCACAATGGAAGGTGCGTTCCTGAGCGTTGGGGTCGGAAGACAGCTCCCCCCCCTGCTCCGGGCTGAGTTTGGGACCGAGACGTGGGTACGCTTTGATGGGTCCCAGTCCACTACGAGCCTCCAGAATGGTTTTGTGTTTGGTACCTGGAAACAATGATAAGAAGGGTATAATCTATGTTGCCAATTAAAGCCAGATGGTTTTCAACTGCCCTTTCGAAGATGTACAATTCGTTTTGAACCTACAGGTTAAGCAAATACGTTAAGCAAAATAAACGCGTCTTGTATTCCTGTATTTGCATTTACTACGTGCGACAATATTAAGTGTCAGTACTATAAACTGAGATCACTTATTGACAATATGCAGCATCTTAACTTGCCAATCCTTCCACTAAGTGGCACCAATGCACCTTCTTAAAATGTAGTAAGCTGTGATATCAGATGCTTTTTTGCTGGAAAGGACACTTTCAAGAGTTTATTAAATGAAAAACTTTCTGCACGTCACTACGGCCCAAACTTTATAATCTAACCAGGCACGTATAATTATGATTACAGATTTTCTCTCCAAATCCCTACACCCTAAAAAAATCATAGAACATAAAATAATTAAAGTTGAAGATTAATTTGACTGATAGATTTGCCATAATATTTCTGTTATAGGAATTTAATGTATTGTACATTTTTTACATTGTTCATTCTGTACACACGACCCATTGTAGTCCATCCATCCCGGAGAGGGATCCCTCCTCTGACGTTCTCCCTACAGTTTCTTCCCTTTTTTCCCCTTGGAAGGGTTTTTCCAAGGGGAAAAGGGTTTTGCATGTCTACAGACTGTAAAGCCCTCTGAGCCACACTTGTAATTTGCGATTTTGGGATATACAAAATAAAATGAATTGAATTGAATATTGTTATCATGAATTCGGCGAAATCAGTTGTTGTGGCTCCAACTTCTGTTTCATTATAGCAATATAAAAACAGCAATCCTTCCACAGTGGCACCAACTTTAAAAAATGACATACGTCATGTTTAAAAGGTCATGCTTGGGGAGTTTTCAGAGTGCACACTACATAATGCTGTTGTTTCTGAGGGTTTATTTCTCTTCAAGGTAGCTAATACTAGCTAATAGGTGAGATGGACCTATAAATATGTGCACTCCCATAAAGCCATGTTTGGGTTAACCCACCTTTGTTATGTGCCTCCAGTTGTGAGCGGGAGTTCACAGCCACTTTGCACAGGGAACAGTAGAGAAGCTTCTTTGATTTCTCTTCCTCTGATTCTCCAGAAGAAGGGCTGGGTGCTGGGGACGGGGTCTCAGGAAGACCAGCCGCTGCCGGATCTGCAGGGTGGGTGCTGAGGGCCCCGGTTGCAGAGGGAGAGGATGGCAAAGGTGTGCTGACAGAAGTGAAGAAGGGACATTCTGCGTCTGAGCTCAGTGTGGGGGTCAAAGGTGACTTGTTAGAGTTAGCGCAGGATTGGGGGTCATCTGTAAACAGCACAAAGTTTTCAAGTTAGTGAATAATTTGTGGAAAGGCAGCCAAATAATGAACTCTTCAACCCAGGGGATTATAGTTTAAGTTGATTTAGCACCACGAAATGACTTCTTTGAATCTGTATGGATCACAGAAATGTAGCTGGTTGTTTGAAAATCCATCTTATTTTTTCTGGTGATTGTATTAAGTTAAATTACCATCCCATTTCTCAAGAGAAACCTGCACACAAACACTGCACTTTGATCAGTTTCCATCCAATCACTTTACACAACAGATGTGTCGCACATACTGATGTATTTTGTGACAGATGTTTCACATCACAGGTGATGCTCACCCTGCTTATTAGGATCAGTCTGAGGGCTGGATGGCGAGGGGCCTGATGGGGAAGGCGAAGCAGCAGGGGGAGGGTGCTGCTTGTCACCCTCGTGGAGACGAGCTGTTTTGGATGTCTCGATCCCCTTCACCCTCCGAGCGTGGCGGTTCCCCTTGTAGTGGGCCTCAGCCTGGCTCTGGCAAAATACCAAGACATTTCGGAGGTTTACGTGAACTCTTGGATTGGATGTCCGTTTTTAAAAGAAGATTTCACTTTGATCACCATGTTGGCAGGGAGCATACTGCCATGTGAACCCATGATTATGTGCAATAATGCAATAATGTGTCAGATTTATTTTTCTGGTTAGCAGTACAGCCACAAAAGTTCTGTTGAGCCGCTGGTCTGCAGGTCTGATGCGCTGATGAGGCTGTAAGGAATGATTAGCCCTCAGAATATTCTCATCTTCTTTCACTACTTGTGTAATCACTGAACTAGCCCGCTGAGCTGAAGGTGATTATTCTCCAAAACCTGTTCTCCAAAACCTGTTCGTAAAAATGTACACGAAAATCTTGAACATACAAATTCGTAACAATACATACGAACTGCGGTGGTTAACCAAGACCCTTGAGTGAACAACATGGCGGACCATGTTGGATTCTTGAGTGAACGTCTCTCCGCCATGTTGGATTTTTTGAGGGGGTTAGGGTTAGTATTCTATTCTTACAATTTAACATTGAATTCTCGTTAAAAATGCAATCATAACACGTTTATTTTACATCGTTAGACTTCACAAAGTGTGTTTACGGGGTGCAGGTCCCCATTCACTATGAATAGGGTGACGTCATCAGTTGCAGTCCGTATTTATGTATTCGTATGTATCACTACAAATTTGTATGTTCAAGATTTTCGTATACATTTTTACAAACAGGTTTTGGAGATCAGGCTGATTATTGAGGGTGGGATTATCTAAAATGGACCGGATGGCAGTGGGTAACAGTGTCAGGTGACAGTCAGCTGCCACGGGAAGAAAATGGAGCAAATCAAGAACATAAGTGTGTGTTTGACTGCTTGTCCTTGAATGATTGCACTCAAGAGGATCAGTTTAGAGTCAGGAAAAAGGAAAAAGAGAGTGTACCTTTTAGTCAATCTCCAGTACATTTGCAGGCCTTAAGTTTCAGTTTATTAGAGTTCAGGTAATGGTTGACAAGGTATGTGTTTAATTCATGATCAATACAATTTAAATAAAATTAAGCCCTATTTTTTATGCTTTTATTATTGCCATTTTTTAAAACAACAACAATATAATAATTATTATATTTACTCTCTGTAATTCCATCATTGTCCGTTAACATTGGTATTAGACTTATATTATGAGGTGCAGAAACATCCAATGTAGCACCAACTAAGTGATACTGCGCTTGAAAATTGGAGTTACCGTTCATTTCCAGATATGTGCTCGGATGAAATTGAAGAGAAGAAGGAGGTGAAGTTCCTGTCAGCTCCTCACTAATTCAGTAATACAATATTGTCTGTGTGACTGAATGTGGATAGGCCTGCTAGAATTAGATATAGGTTTCACCAAGTCAATAACAAGAATGAAGGACCTGCGTGAGGCACGTGACTGGTGAGGGGCCTACATGTGTGAGACTGTGGAATGCTTCACTAAGGCAAAGGGACATTGGTGTCCACTATGTCTCTGTAAGCCTGAAGTATTAACTGCCAATGCTAGTTACCTATATAGCCCTCACCCTGATTGCCGATGACAGAAAGGCAGATATAGCTCTGCCTGTGTAACCCAACTCCTCTGACTGCTGCAACCCAAAGCCCTGCAATTAGACAAGGAGATGAAGCCCTACGACTCCACAAACAAATGTCAGCAGAGAGCTCACATATTTAATGCTCCTTTTTCCCTTGGCCTATTCTTATTTCTCTCTCCCCGACTGCAACTCCCAGTTGATTTATTTCTGCTTGAGATTAAATATAGTCACTCTTCTTGTGACCTTTGGTGTCAGATCTTAAGAAATCAATGATGGTGTTCCGTCAGTTCATGCATAAAGTGCTTGACAACCCAGGAGATGGAGAGGGGGCGGGACGCAGCAGAAACAATTGGAGGTAAAAGAGATTAACGCATCAGATCTTGAAAAGAGTGAAAAATGATAAAATATAAATGATGTTGGGCATAGTAGGCATAGGCAAATAATGGACTGACAGAAGCTGCGATAGAGCCTATGGGAACTGGGAATTAAGATGAATGAAGAATGACTGGGAAGGAGATTTAAGAGCAAGAGAAAATGAGAGCAAATGAATGCCCCCGAAATCCTTTTTCTCTCTAAGCAGCATGTGTTTTCTATCTCTGAAGCAAAACAGGCACAAAAAGGAGTGATACTGAGTCTAGGAAATCTACTGTATGGGATACTGGCAGCAGCAACAGGAAGAGGAGATGGGAGGAAGCTGGAGATGTGGATAGGAGGAGCTGGGACAGATGATACTGTATCCTCAACAGAGGGGGGAGTAGAAAAATATAAACATGGAACACAAAACATGGAAAATGGTGAGCAAACGGATACGTGACTGGGACAAGTTTTGGTTTGGGCCTGAGATGAACGAGAAGAGAAATAGAAAGAGAGAAAGAGAGAAAGAGAGGTGTCCAGCATGGTACTGCAGTGGTGACGATGGCTAATGCAGCATGGTGTGACGTCAGCCTTGCAGCACTGCTGAGCTAAACACTTGCAGGCTAATCTGTCCTCTGTGGCCAGAAATGAATTGCGTTGTTATGATTGCCACATGTGCGGCGGCTATCGCAGCAGTGAGAAGAACCTTGCTCTGAATGGTTCGCTATGAATCAATCATCCCTTTTTCACTTTGTCTAAGAACTCGAGAACTCCCATTTATCCTCTGCCTCCCTCGCCCATCAACACAAAAGATGAATGTTGGTATTATTAATGTACTCTGGGTTTCGAATGACCTGAAGAAGACCTGATGTAACATAATGAGTGTTTGCCTGCCTTTAAACTGCTGCAGCGCAGCCCAGCCAGTGCAAGTAAGCCAAGTACTATACTGCAAGCAGAGTATTCCTTCATTATTAAAGAATGTCCACCGTGCTTTACGCTCCCAGTCTCTCAGGTTACTGTGTGAAGTGCTGTAAAGCCGCAGCAGAGCAGATGCACAGCGAGGCTCACGGCTAAAACAGCAGGCACAACAAACAGGTGGCTCAGTACGAGACATCCCACTGCATCTCACAGACGTGACACCAGCACGCTCATGCCTGCACATGCACGCTCCAATTTACCCAAAGGGAAATGTGGACATGCTGTAAGCAGCTCCCACTCGTGTTGTGTGTTCCAATGCTCATGTAGACCACGTGGGAACACGTCTGAGCAGGGGAGATATAATTAAGCAGCCCCTCATAGAGTTAAACAAGTTTCACTCCTTGCCTGTGTCCGCTGTTGCATTTAGAGTAGAGGTATTTAGCGCTTCATCACAGGAATGGATTTATATTTTTAGCCAGGCTTGCATGTCGGGCATGTGTTTTATTTCTACTCTCTCTACTAGTGTAGGTCAGAAATATCAAGATTTGTCCTTTGTAAAAACTTGTTTATTGTTGATGAATAGTCAAACTTAGGTAATTAGCTGTACTGTATGACAAATTGAGTGTCAAAATTGTTGTGGACTGTTTTCCTGTTGTATAATTTAAGAGGTTACACTGATTTTTCTATCGCTGAGCACATCAGTCATGACATCCAGTAGCGGGGTTTTGGATGTCCATATTACGAGCTATTTGCTTTTCAACTTCAGTTAACACTACTGCCTTTTTAATGGGGACACTCAAGTCATTCATCTAGAGTTTCATAACTTCATAACTCTTTTATTTCGGTCCCTCGGCCTCATGTCGGTGTAGTGCCGTCTCTAAAGAGTGAAATGCAGAAAATCAGCTTTAAGGTAGTTTTGAGGACAAGCGTGCGTTAACTGTTGGATTATTATGTCGTTATACTCCCCATTATATTCCCCTGTAATATACTTTTACAGCCTGATACAGTGCACACAGTGTAGACAGACAAAATATCTTGAAAGAAACTGGCTTGCTGTCCTTCCAGCTGATTTTATGACACAACAGACCCATAAGCTTTTGATCGTTGAAATGCAGAAGTACATCCAAAAAGCTGCTGGAGAGTAAAAAAATGAATTAAGCTGGCCGGGATTTTTTCTGTCTCCTTCCCCCCACCCATCTTCCTTGACAGGCCGAAATTGGAGCTGAGAAACTGTGAAGTTCTCACCTGCTCCAGCTGTAAAGTCAATCAGCAACTGACTTTGGCTCCAGCCAGCTGGCTTTTTAGGTCATGATTTAATTTGTCCAGAGTGCAGGTGTACGACTCTTGACTGTTTGCTAAGGTCCCCCCCCCCCCCGTACGGTTTCTACACTACTACACTTTTTTCTCTTATGCGCATTACCAGCCTGAAACTGTTGTTTTTGAGAGCTGAAATCACCAAAACATGTGGCTATTCCTTCAATATTAGAAGTTTATCCATTAATTCCAATAATATTTGGAAAATCTAGCTGTAAATTATGTTATTTTATCCCATTTATGTGTGCGAGGATAAACTAGGATAAACTAGGAAGATTCTCTCAGCTGGTGCATAGTCAATTATTGACCAAGTACTTCATTCATGATGCGCTTTTTGTGTACTGCAAGTACTATATTAATTAGCTGTATATGCTAACACTGCAGCAAACATTTGACCGATATTCACACTCGAATTCATTTCTTACACTTTTTGTGCATCTGCTTTTGGTTATGTAAAGGCTGGGAGAGAGACAAGGTCTTCTAACACCAAACATCACTCGTGCTGCTGCCCCATGCACATTGCTTTGGCATGTTTTAGGAATCCAAAGCTTGACAAGCCCGCTGTGCCAGCTGCCATAAAAGCGGATCCTTCATCTGAAGTGTTTAAGGTCTCATACCTCTGAGTTGAAGCGTATTTGACAGACGTTACAAGAGATGATTGGTCGCTTTGTCTTCACCATAGGCGGCCCAAAGGTGTGCGTCATCACAGCTTTCTGGACAGGGTCCATCTGCGGACAGACAACCCAGAGGTCACATCAAAGGTTCAGCAGGAGAACCTCGGGGCAGTATTTTCGGTGTTCTCCTTAACAGCAGTCCAGGGATTGTGGATGAGAGAGAAAGGTGTGAAAGGAAAGGTGCGGGTGAATGACAGGTGGGGGAGCTGAAGGTGGAGAGAGCTGGGAGATAAAAAATAGAGCAGAAGAGTGAAATGAAGAGGGAGCGGTAATTGATGTGGACAGGGGGTGTGTGTTTTCACAGCGGCAGCTGGAGTTCTTGGGAGCCGTTCAAACGCTTTAATTCATGACGGGTTTAAAAAGGCCTAATTACAGAGTCCCAATTTAAAAGAAAAAAGAATTTGTGTGTGCTTCAACGTTTTTCTTTTCATAACACCACATTTTACTGCAAAGCTTATTGAAAAAAAGCTATCAAATTAGAAAAATCGGTGCATAAAAATATGCTAAAAAATAACTATGGATATATGGATATAGATATAATAGCATATACGCACACACACAAACATTTAAATATCTGCCTGTAACGTTTTCTCAAAAATAAAAAACATGCTTGTGACAAACAAGCAGATCAAGCACAGATGTCCGCCCTATCATGAAATCTTAACCGCCTCATTTTAGTCGGCTAGAATGGGCTCGTGTGAGCTCTTTGGCCCATTGGCAGGGTTCAACGACCACAGCGCTGGGTGTTGCCCTCATTAAGTAGCCAAAAGCACACTGTGGTTTTGCTCTGCCTCTCATCTCCTGCTCAGACTGTGAGCGGCTGCTGCCAAATGAGAGACTGTTTACACTCTCAAGCTGCAGGCACCAGGGGAAATGGTGGGATTGGTCTGGAAACTTAACCCTGTACGCTTTGTTGGAACATTTTTAGGTTTAAAACTTCAAACTTGTTTCAAACTTCTTCATCTATTTTTTTTGTTTTTTGTATGGAGACATGAGCGATTCACAACGAAACCAGGATTTTGTCAGTGTACGAGGTTCCCATTGTACCCAGCTGGTTATCGGCTTGCCTGTGAATGCAGGGTTTCATGCCAAGAGTTGTATAGAATTTGTGCAACCGTAATTGCATGGCCTCCTAACTACGCATTGCTAGTATAATGTTATGGCTCAATAAGCTTGCATTTAGCATTTATTTCTTCTAGCAAGAATCTGTGTTGCACATAGGCTTGCTATTGATTTACCAAGTGAGGCGTATCCAAAGAAATTGATCAGTGAAATGTGATTTTTAGCTGATTTTTATCCACACCTTATAAAAATAGAAAATAAACTAGTCCGGGACAAGGACAACTGTATGAGAGGAGAGCTAATTTCATCTCATCAAAGTGAATTATTATCAGTGTCATGTTGCCAGAAAGCTTGGTTAAAACAAAACCCCCTCCATCATAGTACACACCTTTTATTGGTAGGTGTCCTCCATGTTGATATCTCTCTGTCTGCCTCATTGTGTGTCTTTTGCTGCCATTCTTTTACCACCTGTTCTCATCACGATCTCTGTAATAACCTCATTAACCTGTTGGTCGGCTCTTTCACTCTTTCCTTCCTCAAACAGTGCAGCTTTCGTGGCACCAGCAAAGTACACTGTGTCATTTTAATATCTAGGCTTATTTACAGCGTCATTCATAAATATTTGATCTACTTGGAGTAATATGAGTGAATGAATATCACTGGATGACAGCAGCATCTCGGACGTGTCTACATTTTACTGCACTGACAGAGAGTGATTTGGATTGAGGTGCTTTGGCGTTAGTGGACATACTCAGAGGTCCTTGCTAAAGCAGGATAAATGATGAACCTGTGCGAGGGTAATTATGCCTGAGTGCATAAAGATGAGCATAATGATACTGTGTCTGTATGTGTGGTGCATGTGCTTCCCTGTTTGTCGCCACGCTGACCTTCACATGAAACCCAATATCGAAATGAGAAGGACCCACAGAAAATGCTGACTGCGGAGGATCCAGCGCTGCGCCTGTTATGCGATTGATTAGCTGTAACTCATGTTAATGCAATAAAACACTTGCATCGGCATTTTCTCAATCATGCTGAAACTCACTCAGCCAAATAAAAAGTAAACAGCTGTCACCTTATGATTTTGGATTAAGCAGAATAAATCCTCAACGCTTTATCACTTGTCCTCAAGACAACTCTCCAAAACCACAATTGCAAGTCGATAACAGATCCCAGATGCCATTTGTGCTGGTGTGTGTTGGCGCAGGTGGGCCTGTCTGCACTCACTGTATTAAAGTTGTGGAAGAGGCCCATGCCGGCCCGGTGAGGCGACTCCAGGGGGAACTGGAGGAAGGGCTTCATGTCTAGCGGGGTCGGGATGATAGAGGGGCTCCTGAGGAAGGCAGGGACCGGCCCCGGTCGGTTTACACTTCCTGTGGTACAAGCAAAGATGGGGAATGAAGAGATTACAATGAAAAAAGCACAAGTCCCTGTAATTGATACATCTGATCCAGCGTTCTACCTCAGAGATGATAGTGATTTGTATCACAAATGGAATTCATCGCACAAGTTCTGTTAGTTTCAGGATGATAACACACAATTAATGATAATTATTTTGATTCTTGAAAATTCTTAAAGGTCACAAAATAACATGTTATATATATATGTTTGTTTATTGTGTATGTATATATATATACAGTTCACTAAAAGACTATTGTCTAAAGGTTTCGGGCTGTAGCCTTAGATTCAGACCCTCCCTCCCTCCTAGAAAGCTATTTTCGTTAATGAAGGCACAAAGTATAAAGGGGAGGGGTCTATAGATATTATATATGCACCTGTATTGTGGGCTGTCGATAAAGGAAACACCAAATGCCAAAGACAAAGTTCACCCTTAGCAAAAACTTTTTATTGTTTAAATGTATATATACTGGAACAAGTGCCGGCTGTAAAAGCAGCTCATAATATAAGCGCATTAAAATGAAACACTCACTGTTTTCTCAATCTGAACCTTTGCATAATTTTCCCATGTTGAGCCCCACCATCCACACACTCCTCTCCGCCTCACTTTTCTCCCAGCCGTAGCTCAGCAGTGGTGAATGCCTGCACTTGAGGAGTCTTATGTGATGGGCAGGGGGGGCTAAGCTCCTTAAGCCTCGCAGCTGGGGTGCTGCAGATATACGCCTTTTCTCCATTTCTCCCTCTGTCTCTGTCTCGCCAAGCACAGTTTTCTATCCCCATTTCATGGTCCCTTATTCCGTCTCCCTGCCTCTGTATCCCACATCTGGGCTTCTCCTCACTTCAGCACCAGCTCTTCTTGCTGTTAAGTTCCTCCTCCTCCTCTTTCTGTTTCGCTGTCTTCATTCCGCTTTCCTGTGGTTGTTGTATGTAGCATAAAGAAAACAGCAGGCTGCTTCAGAGAACGTGTATAATCTTTTCTTTTTGAGATATATATTATATGCAATCGTCATCGTCCACTTCCAACGCTTTGTGATGACTGCTTACCAATTCTGTTACATTTGAAAAAGAAAAACTGGTCACTTTTCAATACAAGGGAAGAAAAGGCTATTTTGGTAACAGCGGAGGAGGCTCCTTTGACAGCAGGGTAGACGTAAAGAATCTGCCCTCAAAATCAGAAATAGATGGAGGGGAAAGTCTCTCCTTCCGGCACTCCTCCTAAAACTCCTCCTTGGGAGTCTGTGGCAGCTGAAGCTCAATCTGTGGCTCTTCTCATATGTGTGTGGCTACTTTTGCATATGCTGCTGGGGAATTAAGGAGTTCAAATGGTAGACGGTAAACAAGGTTTAAAAGCGGAGGTCATGATATTCTTCAGACATGCCATGAGGTCTACAGCTCACATGCTGTACTCATAATGCTGAGTGAACAATCACACCAACATGTCGACATGCATTCTGCTGTTAACTTTGACATTTTCACATTGGGGTTTGTGGAGATGGACCCGCGTTAGGAGGCCTTGAGTGGCCTTTCAAACAACTGCCGTCATTACTGCATTGGATTCCTTTCTTGGACGGTGTAGACATGGTTTTAAGATACATGTCATGTATCTTTACGGCTCAATGACGGGTTTTTTGGACACATTTAGAGCTACAAGACAAAAGAATACAAAATATCAAGCTTTGGCTTATAATACATGGATCAATTAATTGGAGCTATTTAACATTGGCACTCACTCTGTTTTCGGGGGGGAATTTTCTGCACAGCCGTACAGCAGCTTGATGCTGTGTGAGTGTAGCAGCAGCAAACCCTTGACCTACCCTCCTCCTGAGTGATTTACAATGACATCAGATAAGTGTACGTCACAACTCCTCTACAGCGGCCGGGAGGCTGTGCATTGATTGGACACATTCTGAGGAGCGTTATAGTGTTAAAGTGATGCCAAACTCTATAAATCCAGGCCTGTCCGTCTACTGCTCCCTCTCTTCACTGAAATGAACTGACGGCACGGTCTCACCCAGCCCCTAATCCTACGGACTTTTTTTCTTCTAATGCAAATGTTTAGGCGAGAAAAAGATCAATGCCTGTGTAATAGCTTATTGAATCGTGGTGTGGATTGTGAGAGAGAGGTGTTTCGACAGAAATGAAGAGATGCAGAGAGGGAAAAACAACGACCAGGGAAAGAATCTTATCGGCACAGGAGATTGCACGCACAGGCATGCACACGCCAATATGCTGTGACTAAGGCCTCTCAAATTGGCAATTCATTTAGCCAATTTCGGTTTAATGATCACAGAGGTAAGGCCAATGTCAGTCACGTCGCTCAAGCCGCTCTGTATTCCCCACGTGCCTCCATGTTTGTGCTCCATGATGGGACGGCAGACTGGGTGACATGCTGTCTAACAGAATAATGTCTGACAGGAGGCAGAAGCATTGCAGGGTCCAACCAAAAAACAAGAGAAATGCAGCCACCTTTAGTTCCAGCTCCACACTCCACTAAGACCGGCGGCTTGGCACACAATGCCAACCGCCTCACATCTGCATCTAAATGGGCTGCTGTGCACACGAGACTCTGAAATGAGCTTCATCTGGCGGATTAGCCAGCAAAAAATCATTATCGTTACAGCAGAGAAAACTGTGGCAGCGGGTTTATTAAACCAAAAAACACTGGATTCACTGTGTTGCATTTTGTGCACAAGGCAATGTGAAAAAAAAGGTTAATTAACATTTGGCAGCAGATGACATCAGTATGTCAACGGCCGTCATCTGTTCAAATGATTCAGGATCCTATTTGTTGATTTGTGGCATTTTGGTATCAGGGGGCCAGATAAAAAGTAACTCTGCAAAATATCAGCTCTCTCATTTGTGGCGTAAATGTAATGCAGCTGTGAAGGTTGTAACCTTTAAAGAAATAGAATGCTAACTTTGTCATGATTGCAGGAGGGAAGACAGCTCTGTCTTTGTGTCGCATACTGCTGGCGTGAAGGACTGAGCATGAAATCCAATTTACTGCAGCTCAGCTTACCCTCAAGTCAAAGGCAGCTATTTCAACAAAAGCCGGGGACAGGCGACAATACACTCACACACACGCACACACACACACACACACACACACACACACACACACACACACACACACACACACACACACACGCACACTCCAATGTTTGTAGTTTGAATGAACAATGCTGTAAAAGGACCTTATAGGTTTACCGCTGATTAATGTGTCTGTGTGAGATGTGGACAGTGAGGAGAGAACACAGGGAAGAGGAGAGAGGGCTTCTGGGGGAAGAGAACACAGTTGATTTCAGTTTGCACTTTGTTTTAATGATAGATGCTCTGCGCCCCGGCGGCCAGGCTTAAATGCCATCTCCTAGAGAAATCTCAGAAGTCCTCTTTTACTAGAAATGTCTGTTTTTATTCCTTGCTCTCGACATCAGTTGGCTCCACACTCTGATTTTATGCCAATTTTCACCAAAGAATTAGATGTAATATGTAATGATGGCAGTGCATTGCAGCAGGGACTTTATTAACAGCTCATTTCTTTCTGAAAAATCTGTTCATCTTTGTCTTTCCTCAGCAGAAGAATATTGTACCTTACAAAAAGGTTAGGAAAATGAAAATGGAGATAATGCACAAAGAGAAGTTTGGAAGGAAATGATGGCAGTGGTGCTCAGAGGATCAAATCGATTGAGCGAGGAAAAGCGGTCAGGACGAGGCGGTAGATGAGTTGGAAGGGGAAGGGAAGCACGCAGGAGGGGGAGGGAGCCGCATGTTTTGAGGTGAGTCCAAGGTGACCAGAGGAGGTAAAGAGCCATGTTAACCTCCAGGTTATTGCACAGACAAATTGCCATCTGTCAACTAAAGAAAACAGTTGTACTCAGTTGTACACAGTTCAAACTGTACTGTTTTTGTACATTGTCAAAAGAGTGGAAGCAGTCCATTCGTTGCAATGCTTTTAAGGCTTTTAAGGCTTAACCCTTGGCTGTCACGTGCAAAATGTTACATATGCATGAACAATTTTGGGTTATTTTGTTGCTCTACATTGTCGTTGTCTACATGTCATGTCTTGATTGTAACATATACAAAATACTGAGGCATTATGGTAGGAAGAAGGGTTATGAATGGTTCATTTTAACGTAAAATCCCAGTCTCCCTTTCTCAAATAAACTATAAACTCAAACATATGTATATATTATAATAAAGATAGCAATAATAATACACCTAACTAATTGCTGGTAACTTACAAGACATATAACACGATCAAATAGCCATCAGTCCACAAATGGAGGAGGTAAAGATGGATGGATTCAGATACTTTTCCTTTCTAGTCTCCGTTTATTTTGGCCTCTGCTCCAAAAATGGCCCACCCATGATAAAAACTGTAATAACTGTGGAACTACTCTATTTGTACAATGTATGTTTGTGAGGGTAAAGAGGGGCCCTGTAAGTACTATAATGTGTAAGAATCAGTTTATATGTTAAATATATCAATATTATGGTACTGGTTCTGACCTGGTTCTGGCTTGTTTGGGCCCCATATGGGGTCCTCTCGTTTCCTTAAACATGATGAGTATCTTTCTCTAACCAAGGGGAAAGTGTTGCTATTTCAACCACAGCGACAAAGTTATCCTAACTTAAACAAAGTTATTAAGGGCATCAGATCAGAAAAGGCTTCTTTGTGTCGTTCTGGAGAGCATGGACACATTTACATATTATTTTGTTTGATCCAGAGGACTAGTTAAACATTTTTCAACCCATGCAGATACGCCTCAGTTCATGCGTAACCTCGCTCACACAACACGTCAGTCCGTTACAATGTGATCAGAAGGTGCCTGCAGATCACGTGACCTGCCGTTGGGATGGTGGAAACATGGCGACATTCAGAGACACAACAAAACAACACGTGTATCTGACTTAAACAGATAAAACCACAACCCATTTTCCAGTGACACGAGTCACACACACACGTTGGTTCACATTGATTCGGTAGACTGAATCAGTCAGCGGTCGGTTATCAAAACATTGGCCAAATAACCAGTATTTTCAGGCTTCATGAGCAAATACAGAATCCCTTTGTGTTCGTTTGCAAAGCCGCATTAAGACACACATCACTTTATTTAATACGCTGCTTGCAAGTCACTGTGTTGTGCCAGACTCTCAATAAAAAATTTAGGACAAACCCACGGTCATGAAGATAATCATTTAACGTTACATGGAATCTGCGTGAGGAAGAGGAGGAGGAAGAGGAGGAGTCCATGTCGCTAAATACCAACTTTCCAAAGACCACTTTTCCCACCCGGTGTCGCTCCGATCTGCAGGCGCATCGCTGAGAAAACCACACCATCGGGTGTCTGGATGCTAAATGTTTATACTTCCAAACACAATCAAATTCACTGTCCGCATAGCGCCACTTATCTAGTTTTTTGTGTTTGTGTTTTTGAACTACGACAAAGCCGAAAGTAACAAGGCTGTTTTTAAAATGTAAGAAGTAGAAAGTACAGATATTTGCGTGAAAATGTAAGGAGTAGAAGTAAAAAGTCGTCTGAAAAATAAATACTCCAGTAAAGTATAGATACCCAAAATTTCTACTTAAGTACAGTAACGAAGTATTTGTACTTCGTTACTTGACACCTCTGCATTTGGGGCCCACTTGCTTCTTTCCATGAGCTTTATATGTAATCATGCCATGTCTAAATTTAGCCCCTGACCCTGACTTAACTTATCCTCAAGGACTAGTGTTGCTGTATGTCTTGTTTTCCGAAGCTGTTGAAAGACAGCTCACCTTGTCTCAATCCACACTGACTAATCATCATAATCAATAGTCACATCGCCAAGAATATGAAGCTCAACACAAATTTCCCTTCAAGCTGCAAAAAAGGACGGTAGATATTAAAGATTTAATACTACAGTATATTTATGGAATATAGTTAAATTGACATGATACACCTGTTCCTTTGAGTTGTGGGTAGTTGGGTGAATGTTAACAGAGAGCTTTGTGTCATAAACCCGGCTCCCATCATGATTCAGCACAGTTTGAGGCAAAAGGAGAGCGCCAACACATGAGGTCATGCAGAGCAAATTAAAAACCATTAAATGATCCACCATGTCAACGTGACCGTCATTATTCTGTGTTTCAAACCATTTACACACCTGCTGGGAGCTGGCAGAACACACCATCAGATACAGACCTACAGAAACCCGAACATGTAAAGTACACAAGCAGACACACAAAGGCAAAATGTGCAAAAGGGAGAACACACCTACAGAACAATGGCATCAGAGGTACAGAATCCAGGTGCACGTCCTTATAATTGTAAACAATAGAGAGCACAAACGCAATTTTCAATAGACAGGAGAGAAATGAAAATAGAACAAAAAGAGATTCTGTGCAGTCGATCTACATTTAGCATATTGTTTTTTTCTGCAGAAACTGAAATTACAGGCTTCATTTTGGGAGCTGATTGGCGTCTGAAGGAAAAGAGTGGTTTTAAGCTGTAGCTTGGTCTTATGCGGTTATGCGGCGTATGAGTAAGCCTGGTGGCCTATGCAGTTGCGGTCTGCAAACCTACGGAACGACAAAGAGCCGTTATGCCCAGCCTGTGAGCCCGCCTTGGAACCATAAATTACACAAGCGTTTTTGCAGCATGTTTCCAGGCCTTCTAATTGTATAATTATGGTCCGGTAGTCCTCCAAACTATGTAAAAGAGATGTTTTAGCTATTCACTTCCAAAACAACAAAAATGGGATTTTTTGTGATCTGACAAGCAGGACGGAGGATTTTAGTCTCTTGATGGCTGTTAACGTTGTTGTTAATAATAGGATCAGAATACTCATAATGTTTAGTGCTACTAGGGACAAACCTCAAGGGTCCACCAATAAAATATATCAACTTGGATTTTCTTAGTCCCCAGGGAACGACTTTGGTTATCCCCTCACTTTTTATATGGCATGATAACTGGGTTGCATTTTTTTGTTTTTAAGTGAAATATCTCAACAGCTATACTGGACCACAATTCAACACGGCCGAAATTCATTCACAGATATCCAGATTAGAAAGAGAATCAACCCCGAGGACAGAAATATCAACAAAATGTTTCCTGGAGAAACGTTTGGCTGACTTGGTTTTACACCATCTTGGCCCCCTCAGGAGGAATTGTGATAACTTTGGCGCTGCCTTGGTCTGACCCACAGTAACAGTACACTCCATCTCGTAGCTTGCACATGACCTGACCAACTGCAAATCAGTGTTTCACAACTTCACACTGTAGGTGATTCAAAAGGAGTGCCGAGGACTTCCTGATAGCATCAATATTATCCAACATATTTAAAGTTCTGTGCAGGGGGGAACATTACTCTCTCTTGGGTCTTAGGGCACTATAGAAAAACCTAGTAGGAGAAGGTAAAAACATCTGTCACTATTTTTTGTGTGTGCTATCATGAGGTCTCCCAGATGCTCCCCAATATTAGGCTGACATCATGTAGTCTGATCCCAGCGTAAGGTCAGATGAAGATTGACCTTCATGACTGATGTGCTTTGTTTACCGGTCCATCGACCCAGTGGTTCAGTCAATCGTCTTTGTATATTGAACAGATAATAGTCACATGGTCTTTTTTAATTGGACGTAAATAAGCAGGTTGTTATGAAAAAAACAAATACATGAAAAAATGCTCCATATATCAAAGACAGGCTGTATAAAGTACAGATTCTATATTTATTTTACCTTCCATTCTCACTGACGTATGAAATATGTCTCAGTTTGTCAAACATACCGAGTGACGGGTGCATTTCTCTTTTTCAAATGTCAATTCTTTTCATCCCTCGCTGAATTGCCTTGATTCAAAGGTCATGTTGTTTATCAAAGACAACATGCACCTGTGATTCCTTTGGAGGACATTGATGAGTGGGGAGATTCTGCGTGTATGGATTGCCTCATACCGGTTGAGTGAACAGTGATGCAAGCCGTGGAGGTTTTTTCATAGTGCTGAGTGAGGTCTTTGCGTCAGACTAAAAGAAGCTTTGGCCCATTTTTAAATAAATAAAGACCTCAAACCTCTATGTCTGAAATATTCATCATTGGAATCGTTAAGTCACTGGACTGCTTTCCACACTGTTCTGCACTGAGGGAGGTGAGCCTGTTTAAGGACATTTCTTTCATACACCACTGCTGATTGTGTCGACATGTTTGAATTTGTCTTTTCATTAAAGTATTTAGATTTTTCTGGTGATGGACAGACTGAGAGAAAATTTGTTCTCCTTGTTTCTTACTCAATCTTTTCCTGTCAACACTCTCTCTGTTTTTGCCTTTCATGGACACTATTTTGGTTTGTGGACTCGCTTCTCTATTTCAGTGAAAGAAATCGTATACAGTGTATAAAACCCTATCGTCCAATGCTGATGTGATCTTGTGTCAGTGTGCATGCAGAGTTAAAGCTTCAGCTCTGGGGAGGGATTACCACAAGCTCAGACTCACACTCGGATCACAGGAAGAGTCAAGCAGGGGTGAGAACAAGCAAACTAAATAGTAGTCAAATATGTAGTTAGCAAGGATGTTCCTTGAACGAGGTTATAATATTAATAATCAAATACAAGACCAGAAGACAGAATTGATATTCATAAACTTGCAAAATGTTGCAACTGAAAATGTTAATGGTTTTCGTAACCTAAAGCATGTACGTTTTAGAGATTTTTTATACAATCCAGCAGAGAATGTGCATGTTATTTGGTTATTTCTGCAATAATGCCCCTTTGACATTCATTCAATAAGACCGAACACACGTTCATTTTTGAGGTGATAAATGTCATCATGTTTGAGTTAAGATAATGCTTGAGTACTTAAATTGCAGTATCATCATTTTATATATTTTAACTAAAAAGTTTTGTTTATGTTTTTAAACCTATAAAAGTAATTTATAAGGACGGTCCGCCATAGGGAAACAGCCTTTTAAACTTTTCTATCTCTTTTGCATTTCTTTTTAATGCTTTTTTGTCTATGTGCAGATAGGGCAGGAACTCTAGAGACGCTCATGTGCATATGCGTATATTGCAATAGTTAATAATAATAATAATATTGCAGTATTCATGATAACACACATGAATAGGAGTGACACTTCATGAGGTCAACAGGAAGGCAATCCCTTCATCGGTCTGTTTTTCTTAATCATTAATATGTGATGAAGCAAATGCATCATCTAAGACGCATCTAAGCCGGCGACAGCAGCGCACTCATACAAAAGTGTGTGACAGAGATGAGTGATCACCTTGGCAGAAGAGGAAAGTAACAGGGAAGAAACAACAAATCGGATTAATAATAGTAAAGAGAGAAAGAATTGCTGATTCAGTCTTACCCAAGATCATCCTGTAGATGTCCACCGTCAACTTCTTCTTTCACACGTTATATTCTTGCTTGACTCTTCCCTCCCTCGATCAGCTACGGACTCAAACCTGAAGCATCCAGCTCTCTCGCTCGCAAAAAATCAGAGTGGGACAAAAAACCACATCCCAGGAGCACAACCTTCACTTTGCATCCCTACGCCGTGTGCCTTCCGTTCCCCTCGTCCACACGAGCTGCTTCTCCTTCAGATCTCAGCACGCGTCTGTTGCTCAGCCAGCTGTTTCCAGAGGAGGAGCACAACAGCAGCCCCAACTGCAACACAACACGCACTCAATTTACCGCAAGGAAGCCTGTAATATATTCACAGTTTCATATTCCCTGCAGCATGAAGAACACCACAAAATACAGCTGAGATGGAGCCCTTCCTCACTGAATGAACCTCTGCACCACAGCCTCTCTCTCTCTCTCTCTCTCCCTCTCTCTCTCTCTCGTCTAGCTCTCTCTCATATTTTGGGGTTGGCCATAACCTAAAGGCACCTTGTATTCCCGAGCCGCTATTGGCCAAAGGCTTAGCCAATGAGAGCGGTCGGTGCAGAGCATTTTCTTGTGGTGTTTGAATGAGAAGGAGTGACAATGCTGCTGTCGGTCCTGCTGTCTCTCTCCCTCTGTTACCCCTTTTTTTCTGCTGTTTACAATTGACGCCCCCCCCTCCTCTCCTGGTCTCACTCTGCGCCGTGCCTCACACCGACGGCATCTGAAACCCGTCTGCCCTCTCAACATACCCCACCACCCCAACCCCCAGGCTGAATGTCTGGTCTCCATTTCTACATGCATGTTTGAGGGTTGGGTGTTGCATTTTGAGTTCACACTGTAGTTGGCTTTTCACCACTTGAGCAGTGCAAGGAAAAGCAGAAACAGAAGAGCGATAGAGACTGACAGCTTGAGTGTCTTGATGAAGCGTTGGAGGGAGGGAAGAAGAGATTGAGGTTAACACGGCCTGACGGAGGATGGAAGTTTAAAAGGAGGAAATGTTGAAGATGTGATGGAGCAGGAGGATAAAGGAGCAAGCAGACAGCTGTTTGACAGGCAGGCGGCGCTCAATGAGCTGAAAAACTAAGCTCACTTAGTTACTACTTACAAAACTGATTTATATTCAAGGCTGTATCAACTGTTTCCGCGCAAGATCAGGCAGCATGACCTCCAACTTTGGAACATTAGGTGATTTACTTCTGCAGAAGTTTTAGTAAATACAAGCTTACAGTGAATCAGATAATGTTGTCTTCCAGCCTGTGTGTGTATTTAAGCATGGGTTAACCTAGGATAGAGTGTGTGTGCGTGTGAGACAGGGATACGGTTCCCTCATTAGTTGAGTTGCCTGAATAATGCAGGTAGGTGTATTGTTGTGGCCAATGGGCCAGGTGCTAATGTGGCTGTCTGGGGTCAGGGGGCAGACACAGCATGACTTTAATGGATGTCACCATGGGAAACTGTAATTGGACCACTGGACTCGGGTGACAACGTTCTGCATGTGTGTTTCTTTACTGATCCTCTGAAAAGTGTTCATTAAATAAAACACTTCACAGAGAAAGGAAAGAGTTTGGGTTAAAAGATGTGAGGAGTTACAGAGCCCTCAAAGGGCCAGTTTGCAGTAACGTGGGCCACAGAATGCCAAACAATGGTGACGGACGTCGCCTTCTGATGTCTGCTGCTTAGAAAGAGACGATCAGAATTATTATATGGGCTCTAGGACTTAATGTATTCAAATGCTGCAGCATGCTATCTAGTGAAACCGTTTAACTAGAATAGAGTATAACTAGAGTATCTAGAGTATATAAAGAAGAGGTGGATTACCCTCTTCTTGGAACTAAAAAATAAATGTTCTTTTTTGCATAAAAAAGTAGTACAATGAGTGTGTATCAGGGTTTTAAGTACACAGAGAACACAAGTGCACAGAACTGTATAGTCAATAGCACTGTGTGTGTGTGTGTGTGTGTGTGTGTGTGTGTGTGTGTGTGTGTGTGTGTGTGTGCGTGCGTGCGTGCGTGCGTGTGTGTGTGTGTGTGTGTGTGTGTGTGTGTGTGCAGGCTCGTGATTACGTGCATGTGACCTCAAATAATCCTATCATTTTTTCATTCTACCCCGGTGGGCCATAAACGTGTCGACATGCTTGTTGAGAACGCTAATTTTAGCCTTGATCGTTAGCAGCGAGTCCGGAGTAATCCTGCCAACATTTAATGGAGTCTTCATTTCTTATGTGACGCTGTAAAACGACCTAAAGCTTTGTGTTCTATCAAACACTCTGAGGTTAAAGTGGCCAGACGGGTCAGAGGATGAAAGCTACTTATTTATGAGTAACTTAACGTGAATGGTATACCCTGCATGAGTATGATTTAATTTTGCAGTCCACAGTCAAATAATATGAATTGTTTCTTGAACAACAATGAACAACCATATTTTAACGCTATCCCATGACTTTTACTAGTTTTACTAGATCTGCTGTCAGAGTGTCTGGACTAAGGTCTAACAAATTAAAATAATTACCTTAAAAGTAGCGAACTCAGTTTGGTTGTGAATCAACATGATGTAATGTCACATACAGCTTCTCTCCTGTCCTGCTGTCAGATCAGCAACAGGCACAGAGCTGAACAGCGTGCACCTCAAGAGTTAAAATAGTCTTCTAGAGTAGACCGCGCATATGCACAAACACACACATATAATCTTGCTAAAAACGAAATTCTGCCTCCTTAGCAGCTGCCGGTGCAAATAGGTGCAGTGGTGTTTGTGCTGGTAGCGCTGTTAGTTGTAAGCTATCTCCAACAATCTGCAAACTTCTGGTCTGCAAGCAGTCAAAAGAAGTGGCAGATGAACGACAATGAAATGTGTTTTGAGAAAGTAAAGTCCATGAGTCAGAAGTGGCGAGCTATAATGTTATGCAACTTGCTGTAGCACACCCACACACGGATGCAAAAGGGACCAATCGCATGGCTCTCCTGGCAAAGGTAATACGTTTATTCTGGTAAATTCAAATTTTATATCATATAGGTAAATTGTTTCCACAGATTTGATGTTGACAATCGGGGATTTAATAATGGTTTGTGGAAGGCACCTGAATGTTTAAAGTTTGATGAATTCCTTTTATTCTTTTTACAGTAATATGCTTCTTTTTCTTCATCCAGACATACGTTTACATGTGCATGACCTGGTAAATGTTTGTTTTAGTTACAGTTGAACTAATCCGCAAACTTCTTCTGTTAAACTGACACTGAAGAATTGTTTGAATCTTGCAAAAGAAGGAGCGGAATGACAACTCCCTGTAACGTTATGAGCCACATATCAACCTACAGTTCTTCCCTCGGCAGCATTCCCTCCTTGTATTGCGTTAAGCATATGTTCCCAGCATAACTTGAATCTCAAGTTCATAAGAGAGAATACTTCTATCACTTCATCACACATTCATCATCATTAATCCAGCGTCTGCAAAACTCCTCCATCCGGCTGTGATGCTGATGAAAGTACAATTTGGCCAGGAATGTAAGAAAGTGCAAGCCAGTGCAGAAACTCTTTCTCCCTTTGCCTCCGTCACCCGTTCCTGTCCAGGACCTAAGTGCAAACCGCTGTCCGACACGGTTTTCATAGACGACCCTAACTTTCATCAAAGAGAAAAACCTTCAAAGCTTTGTGGCTGTCAGACGCTCTTTGTTTCTGCTCATAATATTGCAATAATGAGAGGATTCTGTCTTATCCAACTCTTGGTTCATTTTTAAGTGATCAAAGGAGGAATGCTCAGAGTTGTGGGTGGTGTTGCATTGCTCAGATGTCGATGATAATCTTACCTGAGCCCCACAATGGTCGTCCAGTAGAGAGTCAGCCAGCATAAAGCAAAATAGAAAGCTGCCATGGAATTAGTAAAAGTACGCTTACGTTACTTAGATGAGATACATAAAGTGGACCACATGACCTCATCAAACGGCAGGCGGCTTGATGTCCAACTTCTTCATCTACCGCATGTCTTTTCTCTTTTTTCAGATGGATTTGTATCTATTCTTTTGTTCCTCTGTGTTTTCTCTATGGGCTTTTTTCCTGTCCTATTCTTTTTTCAGGGAGCAGAAGAAACAAATGCAAAAGATTCCAGAGGCTAATTGTGCCTCTTAGGATGGTGGAACCTAATATGTCAGGACAACTGTGGCAAGAGGGAGACACAGGCAGAGAGAGAGAGTGAGTGTAAGGAAAAGGAGGGGCAGGAAAGAGAGGAGGGGTACCCAGCGACGGGTGGCAGATCAGACGAATCGAGGATCGGAGTGTACGTGTGTTGTAGAGGAGCAGTGACACGGCGAGCCCTTGAAATTTGAGAGACAAGAGGGAGGGAAAGCAAATGTTGACATGGTGAAGCAGAAGGAAATAGCTTTATGTGATCAATAATGTAAAATAACTTATGTATACAAATATGAAGATGTAGAAGTTCAACAATGACATGGCACATTAGACTGCAGTTTGTACGATATTGGCAACATTCTGATTTATTATCTTGTGTAAGGGACAGAAAGAGGTCCTGACTTAATAACATACATTTCCCAGTTGTTGTTAAAATTCAACAACCTTAATCAAGATGATATAATGATGATTTGACATACCCTCAGACAAATAATTGTGTCATCTTGTTACACATTTAAAGTTAACTATGCTGTTAACTATTCTCTTTATTTAAGGTATTACAGGATGCCTATTAGATTTGTTATTTTGTGTGTGTGATAAATAACCTGTTTGTTCAATTTAAGCAGAAAGAGATTCAATTCTACTGATTTTATTCTTTTCCTGCTTTTCTATGGATCATCTTTGTTCAACATTCCCTGTGTCAGTGTTTCAATTCACCTCCATCTTCTGGAGGGAGTTCTGTGCTCTGCAGGGGGCCATTATCATTCAGGTTTTCACCCCCAATCCAAGAGCCAGACGGGGAAGAAGAACCAACAGATGAAAACGGCCTTCCCAGGATCCTGCCGTCCGGGAATACGCCTACAACACCCTGACCAGCAGTGTGCGCGTGGGTTCCAGCCTCTGTTTCCCGCATTGGAGAAGGAACCGCCTGTTGACCACGTGAGAGGAGTCCAAGAAACTGGCCTCAAAATTTCCCGGACATTTCGAGAATCAGAGGATCGTCACCCCGGCGGCATTGAGACTCAAACTTCCTGGATCCACATGTATCCACCCCACGTTCCACCTATCCAAACCTGTTGGGGAGGGTCCTCCGTCCAGCTTGACCCATCACAGGTAGTCCTGTCTTCTCAGGTCATCGCCCGCTGCGTTCTCACCGGTGTGGTCGAGGCCTTTCATTAGCTGGTACATTGGGAGGGAAATGGTCTGGAGGAGACGTCCTGGGTCGTACTGCTTCTGCGTCTTACTTAACTAGCACTATACTTCAAATATAGTGCTTTGATCTGGTTACAGTAATCAAAGTGTGAATTAAACTGCAGTCAGTTATTTATGCTAAACTCT